GATGAAGGTGTACGCCCAACTCCTGGACTGGCGACGCCGCGGTGTGGCAGTATCTGTCGGCCGGCTGCAAGAGTGGTCTAAAGAGGTGATGAAGGTCCTGTTCCCGGACGTCAAGTGGAAGGCGAGTCAGCGCTGGACGGAGCGGTTCCGCAAGCGGTGGAATCTCACCGTGCGCATGAAAACAAAGGTGGCACAAAAGACACTGCAGCGTAAGTGCCCGTCCGTGCTCCTGTCATCCTATCTTGATTATCTTGCTTGAATCTTTGTACTTTCTTGCCCATGCATGTTTATTTGCCGCGGTGCTCATCCGCCTTTTTACCCGTCCCTCCCTCCCCTTACGCAGACGTGGCAGAGCAGTGCAAGGAGTTCTGGCAGTATGTCCGCGACGCACGCCACGAGTACGACATCGACAACCGTTACATTATCAATGCCGACCAGACGCCTTTGTGGCTGGAGATGCAGGCGACTACCACGGTGGAGCAGACGGGCGTAAAGTCGGTGCCTATCCGCAGTGGTGGATACCAGAAGGAGCGAGTCACTGTGATGCTGGCGTGCACAGCGACGGGCGAGAAGTTGAAGCCGTGGGTGTTTTTCAAGCGCAAGACCCTCCCAAAGGGAGACTTCCCGCCTGGTAAGAAGCTGAAGTCGATGCGCGTGTTCCCGAGGGGTAAATCTATATTACATTCTAACCACCGCTTGCTTGTATGCAGATGTCGTGGTCGGCTGCCAAGCTAACGGGTGGATGGAGGCCTCGGGCGTCATCGAGTGGCTCGCGAAAGGCGTGGTGCCGTTCCTGAAACCGAAGTTCGGAGTTCAGAGCCGTAGCGCCATGCTGGTGCTCGACTCCTACCGTGGTCACCTGACTCCCGAAGTCAAGGCGAAATTCGCGGAGCTCAACATCGTACCGGCGGTCATCCCGGCGGGATGCACGGCAGACCTGCAGCCGCTCGATGTGTCGGTCAACAAAAGCTTCAAGGCGAGTGTTCGGCAGCAGTACCAGACCTGGTTCGAGCAGGACGGCATGAACATCCTGACCCCCGCAGGTACGCAAAGTGTTCTCCCGTGGCCTTTTTATGAGCTTGTCTGCCTGCGTGTGGTCTCACGTTTCCCACCCCCGTGTTTGTGGTGCAGGGAACATCAAGAAACCACCTCCGGAGGTGGTGCTCAAGTGGATTTCACGGGCGTGGAAAGCCGTGCCCGCTGAACTGATTAAGAAGGCGTTCCTCACCTGCGGCATCAGCAATGCCCTTGACGGAAGTGAAGACGGACTGGTGCTGGCGCACCGGAGAGCTCAGCTGTCCCACGAGGTAGAGGTAGATGACGACGTCCAAGCAGACGGCTTCTTTGGCAACAACTCCACGGAGCCTGAATTGGACGAGGATTAGGCCTTAGGCTTGAGTGATCATGAAAATGGTGTGTAGGCTAGAAATGAAGTCCAATGTATTGGTAGTTTTAGTTGAAACTGTTAGCTAGTTTGTATTTAGTGGGAAAATCCAACGGGAAAAAGCTTTTTATATAACAGGGGTGCGCTTATAATACGTAACGAATTTTCAGAGGGTGCGCTTATAATTGAGGATCGGCCATAAGCGCATTGCTCCAGATAAAAGCGCATGCGCTTAACATAGGCCTGCGGTTATATCCGGGGCGATACGGTAGCGTCGGTACATCAGGTACGAGCGAAAAAACACACACAAACGAAAGAACAAAACAAACAACCGAACAAACAAACAAAACGACAGAACCAGACTCTATGTTGCACTGCAGTACACTACGACCATTGCAACACATTTCCTCATAACTAGATTGCTACAGGTACAGGATGAAACCCGCTGAACTATTCAGCGGCTATTGCTTTACATAATCAACACCGTTTGTCAGAGTGTCATCATCACGGACAGTCACACTGTCATAGTCACCACTGTCCTTGTATTCACTATCTCTGAACGCGAAGTACCAGTACTGGCACAATATCTGTGGAACAAGCAGGGGCACGAATCAAGGCGCATGATTGGGAGAGAGAAAGGGAGTAAGAGATTCTTTAGTTGACTCGTTATCGTAGCCGTTACTGTCTATGTGATGAGAACAAGGGTAAAGGAGAATTCGATTTATGCTTGGTAAACATGGTCCCGAGGTAGGGTATTATCACAGCCGTTATAATTACTCCCGACGTCATCACAGCTTTTTACTATCACACCCAGCTTGACGACACCTTCACAATCGCTCCGGTTAACATCACAATCAGAACCCTACAATCACATCCGATACAATCATAGCCTTCCCATTTCACCCAGAAGGAGTTCCATGGTCATGGTCTCAGAAGAAGGAAAAAATGACATCTCCTTCTGAGCCCATCTCAAAGGGGAGTCCATTGTCAGGCAAGACGTTATATTCGACTCAAGAAAAAATGATAACAAAATCGATTTTTGAGGCGGCGCCTCAAAACCGACAGAAAGTATTGACTAAGCATGAAGTGCTGTCAGTGCTCACAAAAAAGTATTGACAAAAGTCGACAGAAAGTCTTGACGAAGAAAAACACTCACAAAAAGGTCCATGGCCAGGCATGATGCGCTGTCAGTAATCCACGGCAGGTTCGGCCGGACCTGCTTCCACTCCAGCGACCGAACCAGGATACTCCCGAGGTACGCCAGATTGCCAGCCACCGCCAGCGCAAAAGCGGGCGGCGCCAGCCCCTCAACTGCCCCGCGCGCGCAGTTCAGAATTATCGGGGGTAATCGCCCTGTAAAATAGATGCAGGTCATGGCCCAGCCCAGAAACTGCCCGACTGCCCGCAAAAGCAACTCCTCGTGCCGTTCCGGATCGTCTGGGTAGTCTGGATCGTCAGGATCGGAGAAAGAGTTTGGAGGACCTGAGAAAGAGTCGAATTTTTTAGGGTCTGAAGAAGAGTCTGGGTCATCAGGATCGGAGAAAGAGGTTTCCTGAGAGAAAACACGGCCCTGGGAGGAGATGGGATTTGGTGCGGTGTAATCTGGTACGGAAGGGGTTTGGTGGTTCGGGAGTGGCTCGGATGTTGGTTCGGGAGAAGGTTTGAGAGGGAGGCTTGTTGGTAGAAGTAGGTGTGTGCTGGTGGATGGTGTGCGATCAGAAGGCTCTTGAGTCGACTTAGACGGCTTGACCGGTGGCATGTCATTAGATGCTTCAAGTATCTGGAGTGCCTGCAATTGAGCATGGTGGGTGGAAACAGGTGAAAGGGAGGTTTGAGAGGGAGTTTCGGTGCTGGTGGATCAGACGACTTTTGAGTGGACTCAGAAGGCTTGACAGGTGGCATGTCATTAGACGCATCGAGGGTCTGTAGTACCTGCAATTGAGCATGGTGGGTGGAAACAGGTGAGATGACATTTGAGTCGACTCAGAAGGCTTGACAGGTGGCATGTCATTCATTAGACGCATCGAGGTCGTTTTTGAGGCGCCTCAAAAAGGATTGACAGGTGGCATGTCATTCATTAGACGCATCGAGGTCGTTTTTGAGGCGCCTCAAAAAGGATTGACAGGTGGCATGTCATTCCTTAGATGCATCGAGATCGTTTTTGAGGCGCCTCAAAAAGGATTGACAGGTGGCATGTCATTCATTAGACACATCGAGTGTCTGCAGTATCTGCCATTGACCATGGTGCCATTGACCATGGTGGAAGACATTGACCATGGTGCCATTGACCATTGTGGGTGGAAGAAGGTGTTTGGGACGTCAGATGCGAGTGAGTGGGGAGTTGCGGCTGTATATCAAGAATGGGGTAAACTGACAATATCAGGGTAAGCAAGGTGACACAACACAACACAACACAACACAACACAACACAACACAACACAACACAACACAACACAACACAACACAACACAACACAACACAACACAACACAACACAACACAACACAACACAACACAACACAACACAACACAACACAATGCGATTCGTTCAACAATTGACCTCTGCCACGATACAGAATCCGAATGGCGCCACGTGATAAAAGAGTTGTTTTGAGACAAGAAGGAAATGGCATATTGATTCTCAAAACAGAATCCGAATGGTGCATACAAGAAGGAAATGGCATATTGATTCTCAAAACAGAATCCGAATGGTGCATACAAGAAGGAAATGGCATATTGATTCTCAAAACAGAATCCGAATGGTGCATACAAGAAGGAAATGGCATATTGATTCTCAAAACAGAATCCGAATGGTGCATACAAGAAGGAAATGGCATATTGATTCTCAAAACAGAATCCGAATGGTGCATACAAGGAAATGGCATATTGATTTTGGCACTCGAGTGAGCATACCTCCACAAGCTTTCAGAAGCTTGAATGGGATCGCGCCATAAAGCCTGACAAGAGGGGATTGCGCTGCACTGGTGTTGTCCCAGTCAGCAAAAATAACCGCGTATGAGCAAAAATAACCGCGGGGGATGAAGAGGAAGAGGCGGAGGCGGAGGAAGAGAAGGAAGAGGAGGGGAAAGAGGAGGACTCCAAGCGAGCATACCTGTAGCAGCTTTCTTGACATTGGCCTGACGAGAGGGAATTGCGCTGCACTGGTGTTGACCCAGTCAGCGAAAATTACCGCGGGCGAGTGTGGGGAGGAGGAAGAGGAGGGGAAAGAGGAGGAGGTGGTGGTGGTGGTTGTGGTGGTGGTGGTTGTCGTGCTTGCCCAGGAGTGGAGGGAAGAGGGGAGGGCAGTGTGAAGGGAAGGAGAGGAGGAGAGGCCGAAGACAGCTGAGATGGTGACGAGGGCTAGTACCTGGCGTGATGAGGGGAGGAGGGGACGAGGAGAGAGAAAGGGACACTGGTGAATGATGGCAAGGAAACATTCAGCGAGCACAATATCACTCACTGCATTGAGAGATGGTGAGGAGGGGCTGCGAGGGAAGAAGCTGACATCGAAGGAGCTGGAGAGAGTGAGGCAGCGTTTGGGTGGACGCAAAACAGGGTAGTTTTGAGCCAATTCAACACGAGAAGACCTTTTATTCGACTCAACATTCCACACTCACCGCGTTGAGGGAGGGCGAGGAGGGGTTGCGAGGAAAGCTGGCCCCAAAGGAGCTGGAGAGAGTGAGGCGGCGCCAACTGCCGGAAAACGACCCAGATGACCTGACGGGGGTGGGGGGGGGAGTATGGGGGATACAGCAATGACTGAGATGCCGAGGAGGAGGAAAGGTGCCAGGCCAAGGAGCTGGCGCCAAAGTGACTTTTGAGTCGACTCAAAAGGAGCCAGGCCAGGGAGCTGGCGCCAAAGGAGCTGGGCTGGAGAGAGTGAAGCGGCGCCAGCTGCCGGAGAACGAACCAGATGACCTGATGGGGGTTGGGTTGGAGTGATGAAAGATGGATAAGGAGAGAGTGAGGGGAGACGCGACGAGACGCCCCAAAGGAGTGGGGCTGTGCAAGCTGCCGAAACGAACCAAATGATGACCTGAGTAGCTCCTGTTTTTTGCAGAAACGAACCAAATGACCTGAGTAGCTCCTCTCATGGGCTTTTGAGGCGCATGAGAGGAGCTGGAGAGAGTGACACGGAGCCAGCTGTCATGTTGAAATCACTTTGAGAGAGGGAAATCAATTCTCAAAAGTGATTTCAGAGAGAGTGAGACGCAGCCAGCTGTCAGAGAAAAACCCGGAGAGATGAGATGAGAGGAGAGGAAACACCACCACATCCCATCCACCACATCCCATCCACCACATCCAATCCACCACTACAGCACCACACCCACCACCACAGCACCACACCCACCACCACAGCACCACACCCACCACCACAGCACCACACCCACCATCATATAATAACCCTGCGGATGCCACAGCAACAGTCCCATCCTTACTGCCCAAAGGACTGTCGCTGTGGCATCCCCTGCCACTGCTGCCACTGCTGCTACCACTGCCACCCCCACTGCCACCGTCAGTGGTATCCCCACCACCCCGCATCTCACCACCCCGCATCTCACCACCACACTGCACCCACCCACCCCCATCTATTCGATTCTTACTGTCCAAAGGACTGTCGCTGCGGCATCCCCACCGGAATAGACCTGCTCTTCCCACCCGCACCACTGCCACCACAAGTGGTAACACCGTCGTCCCCACACCACACCACCACAACACACCACCACATCACACCCAGCCCCACCCATTTAATTCTTACGGCCCAAACGACTGTCGCTGCGGCATCCCCACCGGAATCGAACTGCTCTTCCCACCACCACCGTTGCCACCGCCACAAGTGGTAACACCACCTTCACCACACCTCACCACCGCTGCACACCCAGCCAAACCCATTTGATGCTTACTGCCCAAAAGATTGTCGCTGCGGCATCCCCACCGGAATAGACCTGCTCTTAGCACCGCCACTGCCGCCACCACCACCACCACCGCTGCCACTGCCACCCCCACTGCTACCACTGTTCCGTCTGCCTGACGCACGTCCACCAATCCCCTGGTGCCACGTGTCCCTCTGCTGCTCCCCCCTATTCCCCCCTCCAACTGCGGAGGCTTCAGGGAGGGGGAGCAGCGTGCGGGGATGTGAAGCCGCATCCTGGATGATCGGGGGAAGGGAAGGGGGAACGCCGGGGGGAAGGGAGAAGGGGGTAGGGGGAAGGGGTAAGGGGGAAGGGGGGAAAGGGGGAAATGGGGAAGGGGGGAAGGGGGAAAGTGGGAAAGTGGGAAAAGGGGACAGAGATGGGAAGAAGAAGGGCTTAGAGTTCTTATCGGGAAGTGTACAGGGAAGGTGAGGAGGGATCTTCTGAACCATCTCAATTCCTTAGGAAGAAGAAAGGTTCCGGAAGCGAAACCCAGGCTGATACCTCGTTAGAATCACATGCCTCGTTAGAATCACATGCCTCGTTAGCATCACATGCCTCGTTAGAATAGAATCACATGCCTCGTTAGCATCACATGCCTCGTTAGAATAGAATCACATGCCTCGTTAGAATAGAATCACATGCCTCGTTAGAATAGAATCACATGCCTCGTTAGAATAGAATCACATGCCTTGTTAGAATAGAATCACATGCCTCGTTAGAATAGAATCACATGCCTCGTTAGCATAGAATCACATGCCTCGTTAGCATCACATCGCTAGCAACTCAGACCTTGTTAGAATCACATACCTCATCAATCATGGCGTGATATAGCCCGTTGGGTGCTCCGTAATCATCCTCAATATAACCATCATCACTACCATCACTATCACCATCATCAGCACCAGCAGCAGCACCAGCACCAGCAGCAGCACCAGCAGCAGCAGCAGCGGCAGATGCGGAGGCAGTTCCGACAGGGGGGCCTTCTAGCAAGGGAGTGTTTCTGTTGGGGGCCGCGAGTCTCCTGCCCCTCCTCTCCCGCCGCTGCTGCTGCCTCTTCCTGCTGCACGCTGAGAGGAAGTGCTGTAGCACTAGCACACACGTGGTGCTGGTGTAGAGCTGTGATGTGACAGTATTGGACGGGGGTGGGAGAAAAGAGAACATATTTTTTCTGCTGCACGCTGAGAACACGGGCTGTAGCACAAGCACAACTGTGTGGTGCTTGTGTAGAGCTGTGTGATGTGACGGTATGTGGGGGAATGGAAACAAGTGAGAAGGGCGTGGAGGGGTGGGTGGGATGGGTTTTGAAACGACTCAGAGGCACAGATTACAGCAGAGAAAAAGCGGGGGGACAAAATGGGTGCTGGATTATTCAGAAATAAGAGGAATAGGATACGGCAGGGAAAGAGGGAGGAGAGTGGAGGGTCTGAGGATGACTTAAGTGAAATAAGAGATGGAAAATCTTTCAAGTATTAGGGTGTAGGGTCATTTTGAGACGTCCCAAAAACACCCTCTCTACAAGAGGTAGGGTGTAGGGTCCTGGAAATTCTGTAGGGTCTTAGAACGTACGATTGCTGTGAAGAGCTGGGTCGGAAGCTGCGGAAATAAGATGCAGGCAGGCAGAAGCGATGGAAGGGGGAGTGAGCGGGAGAAGGGAGTGGGGAGGGAGGAAGCACAGGGAGATGGAATGAGGAGGACAGGTTACAGGTGGAAGTGTTATTTCCACTCAAATTCCCCCTTTCACAGGTTACAGGTGAGAGGTGGAATGGAAAGAAGGGAACGACATAGGGAAAGAAGAGGAGGGCGGAGGGCGGAGAGCGGAGGGCGGAGGGAGGGGGGATGACGAGGGGAAGAATCTACGGGAACAAAATGGAACGAGAGGGCGTGGGAACGGGAGCAACAGAAGGTACCAGATGGAATTAGGCGAACAAAAGGAGAGAAAAAAAACAGGGCTGGCACAAGACATGGGGAAGCACACTGTGGCACTTCGTGTGGATTCGTGTGGATTGTAAAAAAGAGCAATAAGGCACTTCTGAGAGCCAAAGTGCCACGTGTTGTGTGGATTTTAAAGAAAGGGATAATGCACTTTTGAGAACGCACCGTGACAGGGTCCAAGAGGCAGCCGAGGAGATTAAAGACATCTCTGGAGGACGGGAAATGGACGGTGGAAAACAGAGGTAATCGGATTTGGACTTAGCTTGTTCCCATCAACATTCGCATCCCGACTTGGTAAACAAGCCACAAATACCACCACATTTCCTGGGTCGAATAGGAAACAACCCACATTTTCTGTGCCGGATTACCCTACTGTCAGTCACCCCAAATCTGGGACCCAGATCCACGTCAGCAGTAGTCACTCATTCCATAATAAACGTAAGCACCGTTCACCCACCCCACGATCCACGTCAGCACCAGCGCGAGAGGCACCTCCTCGAGCTCCACGCCGCTGCGCGACGCCTGACAGTTGGCGATCACCTGCGGGACCTCCGCTACCGCCCAGCACGCGATACTAAAAAGACCTAAGTAGAGCGACGCGGCGTCGCGCGCGGAGCACACGCAGTCGCCGAAGACTAAGTACTTCCACCGGGAGCAGCCCGACGGCGGAGATCCCGGAGCGGGAATCGCGGCCGCGGGACAGGATGGGTCGAAAATGGTCATGGCGGGAAAATGGAGGTATGGATTTTGCCAGGAGGGTATTAATGGTTACGGCGAAATGTGGTAACCGTGGCGTGTTAGCGAATGACGTGGCGGATTCGAGAATGACGTGGCGGATTCGAGAATGACGTGGCGAATGCGAGTAGGAAACGGATGCGAGGGAGTATGGCAGCTCTTTCGCCTGAAATGCAGCCCCGATGGCTATGATGCCTCGAGAGAGATCGAGGTGTGTCAATAGTCGTACTGATAGAACTATCCGCTGGCTCCTCTCTGAACACCTGTCGCATTTCAGAAGTTCCAAGCGTGAGAGAATAGTGAATGTGACTGTAGCCTGCTTTCCTTCACTAAAAAATAAAGCCGCCTCCTCTGCGTGGCCGCTTTGCCACCCTTATGTGGTATCGATAGAGGGTGAGGTGGAAAGGCCACGTGGTTAGGAATTGAACGGCAACCTGGTCCTCGATGTTTTACTACGAGCTGCATCGACGGCTGATATCGTAGGAACATCTGCCTTTCCAATTGGCGTTGCCGAATGTCATCCTCGTGGCAATTTCAAGGTTCAAGGTGGACGACAGTTGTGGCGGGTAGCAAGCGAACGTGAACGAAACTGGTTACGCAGACATGATCTGGGTGGGAACGATATCTGGTCGAAATTGCTCCTCCGCTGTCAGTTTGGCCTCAGCCAATCAAATCGCACGCGTCGTTTAGGTCCAGCGACTTCATCGCACAAATCGCTGAGATCTCTTAGGTCCACCAATATCATCGCACATTTCGTTAAAACATTAGGCTTTTCACCAGCTTAGCACTTCCCCTTGGACATAGGGTTAGTGGTCCAAGCTCAGATATTGCCGTACTTAGTTGTTTTCGTACCAGATATCCCTCATATTTGTTTAGAGACCTCCACTAGGACATTTTATAAGAATTGCTTCCCACAACTTACAATGGAAAAGGATAACTGCCGGATTAGCAAATGCGAGGATGAGAATAAGGGAGCGAATGGCTGCAGCAGCGGCGAAGTGCTGAAGCCGTCTCCTACGGACGCCGATAAATCCGCCAGAAGTGACCGTTGCGCTGAAGATTCCGCCGGCGGTCGCCGTTCCGCGGATGGGGATTCCATTCCGCTGCTTGAAAAGAAATCCAAGTCGTTGACGGATGGGGATTCCGAGCCGTTGATTCATGGACGACCTGAGCCGTTGGTTGATGGAAGATCTGAGCCGTCCGTTGATGGGAAATCCAATCTTCTGACTAATAACATATCCGCGACAGCCGTTAATGGAGGATGCGCAGATCCCGCGCAACGGTTAAATGAGAAGCTCTCAGGTGTGTTTTTGTGAGCTACTTAACGGGCGAAGGATGGGGGAATGATGGTTAAACGGGATGACGTATTTTGAGAATTCTTCATGCGGCTTCTGAATCCCTGGCTCCGTCCCGTTTCCCCCCGTTTCCCTTCTTTAGCATGTTCCGTTCCGAAACGTGTCCCCCCCTCTCACCCGTTCCCTTTCTAGCGCTTGCCTTTCCGAAACGTGTTTTAGGGATGTTTTTCTCCCCATCCACTCTTCTCACCCCGTTCAGAGATGCACCTGATGGAAAGTGAAGGGGCCGAGACGGGGAGACACGGAGGGGAAAGCGATGAAGCGGAGGCGAAAGGAAGCAAGGGGGCATCTGGGAACGAAGGCAGGGGGGATGTCGTGAGAATCGCAAGGGACGGCAGTGCGGAGGGAAATGAAAGGAGTGGAGAGGGAGATGAAACGGTTGTAAGGGACAAGAACCCAGGAGGGGCAAGGGAGGGAAGGAAAGAGCCGGGCGGGGAGGAATTGGTGGAGCAACGAGGTGAAGAGGGTAACCCGGTTGTTCTGAGCAATGAGGGCGTATTGGATAGCAGAGAAAACGTGTTGAATAGGGATGGAGGCTCGTTAGTCAGTAGAGACGGCTCTTTGCATAGTAGAGAAGGTTCCGTGAATAGCAATGACGGTTCAGTACATAGTAGAGACAGCTCAATTGATAGTTTGCATGGGGAAGATGCTGTGAGGGGGCGTGCACAAGGGCAGGCGAAAGGGAAGGGACGTGCTGACGGTATGACAAAGGGGTATGCAGGCGGAAAGGCGAAGGAGCAGAGGGGTAGGGGAGCCGCAGCAGCAGCAGTAAGAGGGAGAGGGGGAGGCAGTACGGTTGATGATAGCGATAGTGACAGTGTGGAGAGCGGGTTTCGTGGCGGGGTGAACAGCAGCAGGGGTAGGGACGTGAAGGGAAAGGGGAATGCAGGCGGAACAGTGAAAGGGCAGAGGGGCAGGGGAGACGCGGCTGTAGCAGCAGCAGCAGCAGCAGCAGCAGCAGCAGCAGCAGCAGCAGCAGCAGCAAGAGGGAGAGGAGGAGGCAGTACGGTTGATGATAGCGATAGTGACAGTGTGGAGAGTGGGTTTCGTGGCGGGGTGATCAGCAGCAGAGGCAGGGGCGCTCGCAGGTATAGCTCTGGTGCCGTTGCTTCTGGAGGCGGTGGTGGTGATGATAGCGATAGTGACAGTGACGAGAGCACAGCAGGAAGCAAGCCAGTTGAGGGGGGAGGAGGGGAGGGAGTGGGAGAAGAGGAGGGAGAAGGGGGAGGGAGCGGGGAGGAATCAAATAGATCTGACAGGGGAGACAGGGGAGGAAGGGTGAGCGGCGGACGAGGTGGGGGAGGGTGGGGGGGCAACCCCTTGTGGCGTGAGGCGTATGAGGGGGAAAGTTCTGCTGCTGGTGCTGGTGCTGGTGCTGGTGCTGATGCTTCGGCTGCTGGTGCTGGTGGCTGGGATGGTTGGCAGAGAGGAAGGGGGAGCGGGAGGCAAAACGGTGGATGGGAGAGAGGGCGTGAGTGGGGTAGCAGTGGGGGAGGGAGGGATGATACGAGCAGTGCTGCTGTTGGTGGGGGACATGGAATGGGGGGAGGGGGGGAGGGAGGAAAGACGAGACGGAGGATAGACGGTCGACACCAGTTTATGAAGGGCATTGTAAGCGCTGCTGTGTTGGTACCTAAGCCTACATAAGCCTACTGTTTGTTCTGCTTCTTGTAATGCTGCTGCTGTATGCTCATGTCATGTGTATGGACCAATTTACGAAACGAATGTCCATTGCTTTTTTGTTTTTGTTTTTTTCCCTGATCAGGTGCAAGTGCAGAAGGATAGAGAGGTTTATGAGCGGCTATACCAAGCTGCTGCTGCCACTGGCATCACACCTGTCGCTGCTGCTGCCACTGCTGCCAAACAGATGAGGGAGGGGGGAGCAGGGGCAGGAAAGGGAGACAGGGAGGGAGAAAGAGCGGGAAGGGGAGATAGGGCAGGAGAAGGGGCAGAGAGAGGGAGGGAAGGGGTGAAAGGAGGAGGAAAGAAGGAGCAGCAGCAGGTGGGTGTAGGGGAGGGGGGAAGAGAGGGGATCGAATCAGGGAAAGATGGGGAGCGAAGGGCAGGGCGGCACCAGCACCAGCAACAGCAGCAGCAGAGGGGGGAGCAGAGAGGGGAGCGTGGTGATAAGCATAGGAAAGGCAAGGAGAGGGAAGGCGCTGCTGTGGAAGATTTACAGGAAGGGACAGGGGAGACTGGCGGAGGGGATGAGAAGGGGAGGGGAGGAGGGAGGGCTGGCAGGGAGGAGAAGAGAGAAGTGGAGTGGAGGCGAGGGAACAGTAGGGGGCAAGGAGGAGGCGGTGGATGGAGCAGCAGGCAGGAAAGGTTCGAGGGGAGTGAGCAGGAGAGGAGTGGGGGGAGGAAGAGTGGGGAGGAGAGGCGTGGTGAAGAGAAGCGTGGGGAGGAGAGGCGTGGGGAGGAGAGACCCAGAGGGGGAAACGAGCAGAGGAGTGTGAGAGAGAGAGGGGATGGACCGGGCAGCAGTGGTGATGGCAGCACGGGCATGGTTGGAAGGGAGGGTGGGAGGAGGAGGGTGAGTGGGCTGGGAGGTGGTAACCGCCTACTAGACGCAGCCTTTGCCCCTGTGATAGGTGGTTTCCACCCTGGTGGCTCCCAGCCTGGTGGTTTCCACCCTGGTGGCTCCCAGCCTGGTGGTTTCCACCCGGGAAGCTCTCCTTCTGGAGGTTTGAACCAGGGGAGGTTCCAACCAAGAGCAGGTGTAGGCACGGGCAGGGGGGGCAGGGGTGCGGGTGTGGTGGGGAGGGCTCGAGGCACTGGGGTTGCTGGGGGGGGTGCAGGGGGGGGTGTGGGGGTTGTGGCTGCAGTGGAAGGTGATAGGCAGGTGAGGGCGGAGGGCAGGAGAGGGGAGAAGCCAGGGCAGAGTGGAGAGCAGGATGAGGCTGCATATGAGGTCAGCTCGTTGCCGTTTTCAGGCTTGAGCCTTCAGGCACAGACAGGGGAACAGCAAGAGCAAGCTCATGGGGTGAGGAATGGTGATGACAGCAAGGAGAAGGTGAAAGGAGGAGTGGGGAGCAGTCCGTTTTTATTCGGTGCTGCAGGTGCTGCAGGTGCCAGCACAGGGGCTCGTGCCGCCACTACCACCGCCCCTTCTGCTGCTGCTAGAGGTAGAAAAACTCCCGTGCAAGGGACCGGCACGAGCGTGACACCAACCCATGCTGCCCCCATCCCGCCTCATGCCCCTGATTCTGCCGTCAGTACCCCTGAGGCGCCTGAAGAATTGCCAGCTTCTCTTCCTGCTTCTATCCCCGCCCGTGCCCCTGATAATGGTATCACAAGTCCTGCACCTGCAATTCCTGCTCCTGCTCACCCTGCTCCTGATGCCCCTCCCTATCATGCCTTGAGCCATACTGGTTTTGCCCCTGGCCCTGGCTCTGATGACGTGGCAGCATTGGGTTTGGCTCCTCAAAAGGACCTAGCTTCGGCCTGTGGGCTGAGCTGGGCGGATATGGTTGATGAGGATGAGGCGAATGGGGAGGGGATGAGGAGAAAAGAGGATGTGATTGTGGAAAAGAAGGGAGGTGGTTCGGTGGGTGAGAAGTCAGGGGTTGGGTTATATGTTCCGCCATTCAGGGCAGCACAAGCACATGGTGTCTCCAAGAAATGAGAAATTACAAGCTTTGGTTTCACTTGGTTTCGAGGTTTGAGAAAGTGTTGGCCAGATTTGGAATGTGCGAGTTGTGTTGTGAATCATTATCTGTTTGTATTGTTCTCTGTAATTCGTCTATTATCGTGGTAGACTGCTAGTAACGAATAACTAGGAATTCGACTATCTTGCAAGTGCGCTACCCTCGAAGTTGTCGCCTCCAGTCCGCCAACGAGATTGCCGCCTGCTCCTTCCACCATCAACAATCATTTCCGCCACGGCACACTGCACAACACCGTACCCAATCCCTTTTGGAAATTCCTTTTCCCATTTCATCTCGCTTTCCCATAGCTTTTTCCTATGGAGAGACGGAGCAGTTACCTGCGACTACTTCTGACAGGTTCGCTTAGGCATCACTAAGCGGCCCGTGTTCAGCGCCAGTTTGCGGCGCGCGTGTTAACGGAGCTGGTTAAGGGCCCTACGTAACCTCTCCGTAGTTGCGCATTGCCTTTTGACGAGGCTACTTACATTCGGGCGGATTCGGTTGAATGAGAGCTCGGTCGTTACGTGCAAACCCTTCGCCAAGCGTTAGTGCAGCGTATCCGGCGCAACTATTTCGAAGACTGGCACAGACTGGGCGGATTAGCTTGAATGAGACCTCGCTCGTTACGAACTAACCCTTCGTCAACTCTTCGTCAAGCATTCGTGCAGCGTAACCGACGTAACCACGTTGTAGTTACTTTTGAGTCGACTCAGAAGTGAATACGTCACGCGTTAGCGCAGCGTATCAAACGTAACCACGTCGTAGCGGCACGTTTCATTTGGAAGAGGCGAACAAGAACGAGGTGGTTTCGCTTGGTGACCTGCTAGTGATATTTGCGAAGGAAGTCCGCGAGGTGACGATTGCCGATGCGGCGAGAGCGTTGCTAGGAGTCACGCGAATGGTTGGTGACGAAGTTACGAACGATTCGCGATGTATTTCTCTTCGCATCATGAAGCTTACTAGGACACCTGCTGCGTGATCGAAACTACTCCTCCCGAAACCGTGATAACTGATCATCTAGCAATAGTAGGCAGGCGGAGAGAAATCAATCGTGACGCGTAGCCGATCTTCTGGCTGAAACCATCGTCTTCCTGAAGCTAGTCGCCGTGAAACGCGGGAGTTCGCTGGGCGATACGTGGTCGCAATGGCGGGATGGCTGCGAGCTGCCGAAGGTATGCAGTGACACCGTCACTTTGACGGTGACTATGTTGACGGTGACTATGTCGGGGGTGAAGGTATGCAGTACTTTGTCACTTTCTGCTAGAAGCAGTTGATCGCAAAGCGAGTGTGGCAGCACGCAGTGAAGATCTGATCTTGCTCCGCCTGCTGCTCCGTGTGTTGTAAAAAACGTCCCCCCAACGCCGTACCCCACCCCCCCCCTTCCCCCTTCTCCCTTCTCCCCCTTTCACCTCCCCCTCCCCCCACTCTTCCAGAGCTACTAGAAGCAGTGGATCGCACAGTGAGTGTGGCGGCACGGAATGAGGATTCAGCTCTGGAGGAGCAGCTTGCAGGTGAAGCGGGAGATTCAGCTCGGTTGGGTGCGTTTGGACTGGGCTGGTAACGGTGGAGGACGTTATGATACGTTTTAGGACGTCCCCTGTAGAAGCTGAGCGCAGTGCGGTTGGGCTGGGTCGGGAAGGGAGGATACTTATCTGAGTCCGAGTGAGGGAGGGATAATTGGTCCATGAAATTCAGTCAATTTTTCTCAAGCATCCAACTGCGGCTCTTCCTTCCCCCTCTTTCCTCCCACCCCCTGTCTGTTGTGGCGCCGGGAGCAGCACTGGAGCCTGTGGGAGTGCGCAAGACATCAGCAACAAGGGAGAAGGTGAGTAGCTGGCTTGTAGCAGCTGTACCTATGCCGTTGATTGATGGGGGTAGTACGGTGGTATGTGTTGTGTTGGCATACGTTGGTAGTTGTCATCTCTCTAATGAGATCCTGGAATGGTGAGCAGGGTTTGGGATTTGTAATGAGTGTCGTAACACCCGGTTTTCTAGTATGACCTGTCGAGTGGCTAGCTAGCACGCCTGTTTTCCCATCCTCAACACTCTTCTGTCAATGCACATGCTTACAGGGCAAGCTAGACAGGTCGAAATCAAAGCCAACCTCTACCAGAGCCTCTAACGGGGCAGCTCTTAAAGGGTCCGTCAGCGCTCCATCCCTGGAGGAGCCGGGAAGCTCGTCCGAAACAGAGGGAAAAGCAGCAGGCACAGCAGAGGTGCGAGGGGGGAAGGGTGCAGCAGGGGGGGGCAGGAGAAAGAAGGTTGAGGCGAGCTCTAGTGGAGGGTCGACCAGTGGAGGTTCAACTGGTGGAGGTTCAACTGGTGGGGGATCTAGAGTTGGAGGATCAGCTACAGGAGGGACGAGCTGTGGGGGGTTAACTGGGGGAGGTACGACTGTGACTGTTGGGAGCTTAATTGCTGGTGCGGGGTCAAACGTTCTTCTTGCGGATGCCAATGCTGCTGTGCCCCTTTCAGTGGCAGCAGCTGCAGGAGCTACTGATGCAGTTGCACAATTGAAGGGGGCAGGTGTGGAAGCAGGAGCAGAGGAAGGAGCAGCAGCAGGAGCAGCTGGTAGGGCAGGAGGAGGAGGAGAAGTAGGGGGGGCAGCAGGAGGAGAAGCAACAGGAGGAGGAGTAGCAGCCGCAGCAGGTAATGGGGACCTGAGGTCTGATGCTAGTAAAGCTGCTGCTGCTGCTGCTGCTGCTGCTGCTGCTGCTGCTGCTGCTGCTGCTGCTGCCACGACCACACCTGGTGAGCCAGGTTCGGTTGGGCCTGGTCCTGGCCCGGCAGCTGGTTCGGCAACTGGTTCGGCAGCGACAGAGGCAGTGACAGGTGCAGAAGCTGTGATGGCAACAGAGGCAGGAGGGGAAAGAGCTGCAGGAGGGAGCGAATCAAGGGGTGGAGAAGGAGGAGGAAGTGACGGAGGGGGCGGCATGGGTAAGGTCGCAGAGGGGGAAGGATGTGAGGGTAAGCCGAGTGCGTGTTCGCCTGTGGGGGTGCTTTCAGGGGGCGAAAGGAGGGAGGTAGAGGGATCCAGTGCGGTTGAGAAGCAAGATGCTGCGGTGGAAGGAGGTTTTCCAGTGGCAGAGGAAAGCGGAGTGCTTATAACAGGAGGTCAACAGGCAGGGGGGTTGGGATCAGGATCAGTAGAGGAGGTAGGAAGTGGGAAGGGGGGAGAGTTGGGAGGAAGCGAGATAGGAGGAGGGGAAGGGGCCGGTACTAAGGAAGGGGTGGAAGGGGAAATGGGGCCTGATCAGAACGGGAGGAGAGAAGGGGTGGAGAACGGTCTAAAGGCTGAGGTTGGGGTTGGGGTTGGTGTTGGGATCGCTGGCACGGATGTGACAGGGGGAGAGGGAGTAGTGGTTGAGAGTAAGGAGGAAATGACGGGAGGGGTTAGAGAGGGTAGGTTAGAGAATGGGGAAAAGGACGAGGATGGGGAAAGGAGGAGAAGAGCAGGGGAGCAAGGGGGGGTGGAAATGGAGGAGGGAGGCGGAATGGGGGAAACAGAGGGCGAAGAGGAGGGAGGGGAAGGAGAGGAGGAAGAGGAGGAAGAGGGGGCAGAGGAGGAAGAGGAGGAGGAGGGGGGTGAGGAGGAAGAAGAGGAAGAGGAGGAAGGCGAGGAGGCGGGGTTGGACAGGGACAGGAAGACAAGGGAGAAGGTGGTGAAAGCATCAGAGACTCAACGAGACCTTGAAGAGGTGAGTACTTGATGAGAGAGAGTAGACTGTAGTGCAAGGGTCTGTGGGGTGTACCTGGGAAAACCAGGAGCGTGGTGGTTACTGGGAAGACAAGGGAGAAGGTGGTGAGAGCATCAGAGACTCAGGGGGAGATCTTGAAGAGGTATGTACACACAGGGAGTCGACGAGAAATTGCTGTTGATTCACTGGCAAAGCAGGCGGCTGGTTAGCTAGCAGAAAGAAGATGAGGGAGAAATCGGTGAAAGCGTCAGAGACCCAGAGGCATTCCGAGAAAAGTAGACAGAAAGGGTTCGTTGTGGGTGCATTTGGGTAACTCAGGAGTGCGACAGGCGAGGCGACAGCAAGGCAAGGGAGAAGGTGTTGGAGGGGTCAGGGTATCAGCCACGTGATAAAAGTGATGTTTTGAGACGTCTCAAAACAGCAAGGCAAGGGAGAATGAGGTGGAGGGGTCAGGGTAATTGGTGGGAGATGTTTGCCCATCAGCCTTTTCAAGTGCTTCGCTGCACTCCCGTGTTCTCTCTTCTCCTTGTTCCTGGCAGGCCAAGGGGCTTCTCCGATCGGCCACAGGCATTGGGCAAACCAAGGAGGCGAGGCTGGCACGGGTATGTGTGTGGGAAGGCATGGATGCATGACGGATGGTGAGGGCTGAGGGATGTGCGCGTTTGGTGGTGCGTTAGGTATGGCCGCAGCAGGCCAAGGGGCTTCTCCGATCGCCAACAGGCATCGGGCAAACCAAGGAGGCGAGGCTTGTACGGATACGTGTGTGAAGGCTTGAATGCATGACGGATGGTGGTGAGGGCTGAGGGATGTGCGCGTTTGGTGGTGCGTTAGGTATGGCCGCAGCAGGCCAAGGGGCTTCTCCGATCGCCAACAGGCATCGGGCAAACCAAGGAGGCGAGGCTTGTACGGATACGTGTGTGAAGGCTTGAATGCATGACGGATGGTGGTGAGGGCTGAGGGATGTGCGCGTTTGGTGGTGCGTTAGGTATGGCCGCAGCAGGCCAAGGGGCTTCTCCGATCGCCAACAGGCATCGGGCAAACCAAGGAGGCGAGGCTTGTACGGATACGTGTGTGAAGGCTTGAATGCATGACGGATGGTGGTGAGGGCTGAGGGATGTGTGCGTTTGGTGGTGCGTTAGGTATGGCCGCAGCAGGCCAAGGGGCTTCTCCGATCGCCAACAGGCATCGGGCAAACCAAGGAGGGGAGGCTTGCACGGGTATGTACGTGTGTCTGTCTGAAGGCATGATTGCATGACGGATGAAGGATGCAGGATGGATGAACATGCTTGGTACTGCGCCAGGTATGATGGGCCCACCCAGCCTAACGCATTGGGCAAACCATAGAGGCCAGGCTTTGGTAATGCGTTAGGTGTGGGGGGCTCTGCCAGCCAGCCCAGGGGCTGGGCTTTTGAGGCGCCTCAAAAGGGGGGCTCAGCCAGCCAGCCCAGGGGCTGGGCTTTTGAGGCGCCTCAAAAGGGGGGCTCAGCCAGCCAGCCCAGGGGCTGGGCTTTTGAGGCGCCTCAAAAGGGGGGCTCTGCCAGCCAGCCCAGGGGCTGGGCTTTTGAGGCACCTCTAAAGGGGGGCTCTGCCAGCCCAGGGGCTCAGCTGGCTGAGGTGACTTTTGAGTCGACTCGAAAGTCACCTAGGTATGGGGGGCTCTGCCAGCCCAAGGTCTGGGCAGGGCACCTCAAAAGGGGGCTCTGCCAGCAAAGGGGCTGGGCCGATCAGCCACGGGCATTGGGCAAACCAAAGAGGCGAGGCTTGCAGGGGTACGTGGAAATGGTGCTATGCATGAAAGGAGAACATGCATGAAAGGAGAACATGCATGAAAGGAGAACATGCATGAAAGGAGAACATGCATGAAAGGAGAACATGCATGAAAGGAGAACAAGCATGAAAGGAGAACATGCATGAAAGGAGAACATGCATGAAAGGAGAACATGCTTTGCGAACCAACCAGCATACTTCTGCGGGTTGGTGCTGGAGGCTGATGCTTCTGATGCTTCAATGCTGGTGGGGAAAAGAATCAGCCATTTAGAGCTAGCAGCTTAGCATGCAACAGACCCGCCTCACTCACACTCATCGTGTCCCCTCTCCCTTCGTTTGCCTGCCCCTGCAGATCTGTGCGCAGCTGTCAGCGCGGCTCCAGGAGTACAAGGCGGAGAACGAGCAGCTGTAGACTGGAGTGTCGCTGAGTCGTCTCATTCTGCGTTACAGCACACAGGCAACCCGCCTCACTCACTCCTCTTGGCCCCTCCCCCGTTGTTCTCCTGCCGCTGCAGATCTGTGCACAGCTGTCGGCGCGGCTGCAGGAGTACAAGGCGGAGAACGAGCAGCTGTAGACTGGAGTGTCGCTGAGTCGTCTCATTCTGCGTTACAGCACACAGGCAACCCGCCTCACTCTCTCCTCTTGGCCCCTCCCCCGTTGTTCTCCTGCTGCTGCAGATCTGTGCGCAGCTGTCAGCGCGGCTGCAGGAGTACAAGGCAGAGAACGAGCAGCTGTAGACTGGAGTGTCGCTGAGTCGTCTCATTCTGCGTTATAGCACACAGGCAACCCGCCTCACTCACTCCTCTTGGCCCCCCCTCTCCCGTTGTTCTCCTGCCGCTGCAGATCTGTGCACAGCTGTCGGCGCGGCTGCAGGAGTACAAGGCGGAGAACGAGCAGCTGGAGGAGTTGCTGCATGAGGAGGTGAGGAATGGTGTATGAGGAGGTGCAGAGAGGCGCAGTGAGGTGCTACAGGTATGCGGCACATGAACATTACCTTAGGCTGCAGGAGTACAAGGCAGAGAACGAGCAGCTGGAGGAGTTGCTGCATGAGGAGGTGAGGAATGGTGTATGAGGAGGTGCAGAGAGGCGCAGTGAGGTGCTCCAGGTATGCGGCACATGAACATTACCTTAGGCTCCAGGAGTACAAGGCAGAGAACGAGCAGCTGGAGGAGGTGCTTCACGAGGAGGTAAGGGTTGGACGTACATTGGTACGTGAAAGGACTTGGCAAACGCACAGGCAGAAGCAGTGGCAGCAGAAGTGGCGGTGGCAGCAACAGGCTGTCAACTTGTCACTCCGTCTGCTCCTGCCCTCCCATTCAACCTCTCCCCTCTCCCCACAGAGGAACAACCGTGGATCGGTGGACAGTGTGGTTCGGGCACTACAGCAGCAGTTGGCGAGTGCACGGGCAGAGGCAGTGGCAGCTGAAGCAGCAGTGGCAGCGGGGATGGAGGCGAAGAACCGTGAGATAGAGGCGCTGTGCAGCGCGCTGGAGGATGCTGAGAGGCAGTCCGCTGCTCTCCAAGCGAAACTCGCCTCACTGCAGGTACATGCGAGTGCGGGAGGGAGGGAGTGAGAGAGTGAAGGAATGAGGGAAGGAGGGAGGGTGGGGGGGGAGGGAAGGAGGGAGGGATGGGGGGGAGTGGGGGAGCGCAGGAGGCAGTGGAGAATCAGTGGCAGCAGAAACGGCGGTGGCAGCGTGGATGGAGGCTAAAAACTGTGAGATAGAAGCGCTGTGTGGGACACTGGAGGATGCTGAGAGGCAGTCCGCTGCCCTCCAAGCCCAACTCGCCTCCCTGCAGGTAAAAACTGGGGGAGTTGAGTTGAATATCACCTCTCCACACCAACCCGCCACACAAACACCCCGCTTTGCCGCCACCCCACCCTCCCACGCCCATGCCAAGCAGGCTCTGAAGCGCTCTCCAAGCACTGGGCCTCCACAGAGGCGCGCATGATCCAGGCTAGAGTTTCAGCTCTCCACCAGGCGAGCTCTGAAGCGCTCTCCAAGCACGGGGCCTCCACAGAAGGACACATGATCCATGCTCCACCGTTCCAACGTTACACGAGCTCACCACCCCACTCACCACACCATCCCACCACCCCAACCCTACACCAGGCGAGTTCAGAGGCACCCTCTAAGAACCGGAACTCCAAAGAGGCACGTATGATTCAGACTCTCAGGGAGGAGCTGGCTGCACCTGCTGTTCCTACTGCTCCTAGCATGTGATTACCCCACCACACCAGTCATACCAACACCCATCATCCCACCACCCTACCACCAGGCGAGCTTTGAAGCACTGTCTAAGAACGGGGACTCCACAGAGGCGCGCATGATCCAGGCGCTCAGAGAGGAGCTGGCTGCAGCTGAATCGCTGTTGAAAAGTTCTCACAAGTTTCATACGAGTACCCGTCATCCCTGCCCACCACCAGGCGAGCTCTGAAGCACTGACCAAGAACCGGGACTCCACAGAGGCGCGCATGATCTAGGCGCTCAGAGAGGAGCTGGCTGCTGCTGCTGCTCTTGCTGCTGCTGTGAGGGCTCATCCTGATCCTAGGATATGATTGCCCCACCACATCAGTCATACCACCACCCATCATCCCATCTCACAATGCCACCGCCCTACCTGCAGGCGAGCTCTGAAGCCTTGTCCAAGAACAGGGACTCCACAGAGGCGCGCATGATCCAGGCTCTCAGGGAGGAGCTGGGTGCTGCTGAGAGGCGGTGCGACGACGAGCATGCTGCACATCTAGCCACTCGCCAGGTGAGGATAATATTTGTCCACAGGACAGGTCCCGACTGCATGGCTGGGATGGGAGGAGCTGGCTGCTGCTGAGAGGCGGTGCGACAACGAGCATGCTGCACATCTAGCCACTCGCCAGGTGAGGCACATGACTTCTGAGAACTCTCAAAACACTCTCTCTTGCCACCTGGCTAGAGAGGCTTGTCTTGATATCTAACACGGTTCAGCGTCTGGTTTTTACAGTCCATTTAGCTACAAGTTTCTGGAGTCATTTTTAAAATTCTTAAAATAAGTGTATCATCTTTTTTTTTTCAATCTATTTAGCTACAAAATTCGTCCTGATTGCTGCCCAGCGAGTCGCTTGCTCTGATTGTCCCCACGGCAAGCAGCAGCACAGGGACAGGACACCGGAGTAATTCTATTTTGAGTCGACTCAAAAATAGACTCACTAGACAGGACACTGGAGTTAGAGCAGCAGCAGGTGGCAGAGGGCGTGGCATGGTGTCTCTCTCACTCCTGCGATCCATTCAGTCCTTCCTTCCTGGTTCACTCACACCCCTCGTTTTCTCTCATTCACCCACCCCACAGGAAGCAGCAGCACGGGAGCTGGAGTTGGAGCAGCAGGTGGCGGAGGGCGTAGCAGCGCTCTCTCACTCATCCTCCCCTCAGTCATTCCTGGTTCACTCTCACCCCTCTTTCCCTCTCTTTCACCCACCCCACAGGAAGCAGCAGCGCGCGAGCTGGAGTTGGAGCAGCAGGTGATGGAGGGCGTGGCAGCGCTCTCTTGCATGCACTCCCTTCACTTTTGACAGATTCACTCATTCGCTAACTTCACTCACTCCCTTGCTCTCCCCACCACCCCACAGGAAGCAGCAGCACGGGAACTGGAGTTGGAGCAGCAGGTGGCGGAGGGGGTGGCGGCACTCTCTCGCATGCAGAGGGCAGTGGAGGAGCGCACTCAGCGAGTTTCGTCCCTGGAGGAGAAGATCTCCGTGCTGGAGGTGAGAGGGGAGGTGGGGTGCGGGTGAGAGTTTCTGCTGGAGCAGCAGGTGGCGGAAGGTGTGGCAGACGGCGCTCTCTCGCATGCAGAGGCGCACTCAGCGAGTCTCGTCCCTGGAAGAAAAGATTTTTGTTCTCGAGGTGAGTGTGAGGGGGCAGGTGAAGTGAAGGTGAGTGCGAGGGGGCAGGTGAAGTGAAGGTGAGTGTGAGGGGGCAGGTGAAGTGAAGGTGAGTGCGAGGGGGCAGGTGAAGTGAAGGTGAGCTTGGAAAGAAGGTGAGGGCGAGGGAGAGTTGGTTTTGGAGCAGGAGAAGGGGACAGCAGGGGGAAGAGGGAGTGGCAGGGGGAAGGGGACAGTGGAGGAGCGGACTCAGCGAGTCTCGTCCCTGGAAGAAAATATTTCTGTTCTTGAGGTGAGTGCGAGGGGGGGGATGCAGGTGACTGGGCTGGTGGAGTGAGGGTGGAGTGAGGGTGGAGTGAGGGTGGATTGAGGGTGGATTGAGGGTGGAGTGAGGGTGGATTGGCATGGGATAACTTGATCCGTATCGTGTCATTGTGTACAATCTCATACACTATTATTCCCGCTCTTTAGTAGACAGAAGCGGCACTCTCCATAGCGAGTGAGTGAGTGTCTTACGATCGAGTGAGGGTCTTACGCATTCTCCCGCATCTGGCACTGCATGGGTGAGTTTCCATGTGCCTTAAGCCCCAAATCCGAAACCTCATGCATGTACCTGCATGCATGCATGAGTGCATCTATCTGCATGCATGAGTGCACGCTCCTGCATGTATGTGTGCATGTACCTGCATGTATGTGTGCATGTACCTGCATGTATGTGTGCATGTACCTGCATGTATGTGTGCATGTACCTGCATGTATGTGTGCATGTACCTGCATGTATGTGTGCATGTACCTGCATGTATGTGTGCATGTACCTGCATGCGTGTGTGCATGTACCTGCATCGCATGTGTGTATACCTGCACGTTTGTATGCATGGTAACCCGGTAACAGATGGAGTGCAGCAGTCTCAACAGCGAGCTACAGGCACATGACGACAAGGCCAAGAGGGACCTGCGGCGGCCGCTCTCAGCAGATGACCCCTCCGTCCTCGCACAGGTGGGTTATTGTAGACGGTATCATGCCATATTCATGTACCTGCATACATGTATGCTTCCATGGTAACGTGGTAACACATGGAGCGAGCTACAGGCCCATGACGATAAGGCCAAGAGGGATCTCAGCTGACGACCCCTCCGTCCTCGCCCAGGTTGGGTTTTAGCTTGGTTTGACACTTCAACGGTTGGTTGGCTTGTTCATCAACAACAACCAAGCTAAAACCCCACCTGGGGTCAGCTGGTTGGCTAATATGCACATGCACATGCATGCATGTGCTGTGCGCATTGCTTGCTGAAAAGCTTGGGAGATCTCAGGCGGCCAGTCTCAGCAGACGTCCCCTCCGTCCTCGCGCAGGTTCGTTGGTAGTTTGGTTGGTTGGTCTGTACATGCTTGTGCTGCTGTGCACAATGCTTCCTTCTCTGTGAAAAAATCGAATCGTCCCTGGGAAGTTTCAGCAGATGACCCCTCCCTACTCACTGAAAAGGCAGAGAGGACAGAGAGGACATGTCTCAGGTGGTTGCTCACAGCAATTGACCACTCGCGCAGGCGTGTTGCTTAGTTGCTCGGTCTATTTTTTAGGTGCCCTAACACTGCGTTATTTCCCACCCCAACCGCACCCCTTGTGTGTTGGCAGGTGCAAGCATGGAAGGAGGAGTCGGAGCGAGCGAGACAGCTGCTGCGAGAGGCAGAGGGGAAGTTGGCAGGCAGTGAGGTGAGCAGAGGGGAGGGGAGGTGAGTAATGGGAAGGGGGAGGAGAAAGAGGCGTGTTCATGAGATTTTTTTTTTTTTTTTTTTTTTTTCTCGAGGTCCTCGAATCAGATGAGCAGAACAGCTGCCGCGGGAGGCACAGGGAGGGGACCTAGCAGGCAGCGTGTTTTGAGACGTCTCAAAATGAGCAGGCAGCGAACGACGCGAGCAGCCACAGGAAACTAGATATCACTCTCAGGAAAGTGTGTGTGAACAGTCTTCATCAAATGTTCCTGTCAGAGACAAACAGCCTGTGATTTTTTCGGTCGACTAAAAAATGGGAAGTCCTTCAAAGCGGACGAGCGGTGGAAGTCTGGCCTCCGCAGCCCCCTGTCCTCCTCTGACATTTTCCGCGGAAGGCCGAATACAAAGCAAACTGGCAGGTCAAGCAGAGCATCCGCGTTACAAGCATGTACTGTATCCTCTACCCCGCCCCCCCTCCCGCCCCCCACTTCCCTCCCACCTGCGCGCGTGCAGGCAGAGGTGCAGAAGCTGAGGATGGAGGTGGAGGCTTATTAGAGGGAGAAGCTTAGATATTACTGCCTTATTTCCCTGTCACGAACACTTATCGCTCTGTCCGCCTGTCCCCTGTGCAGGCAGAGGTGCAGAAGCTGAGGGTGGAGGTGGAGGCTCACAAGAGGGATGCAGATTCATCCTCGTTACAGGCATGTTCTGTGTCTTTTACACGTCAGGCTCATTCATGATTCGTCCTCTTTACAGGCATGTGCTATATCTTTTTTTCATAAAGATTTATCCTCCTCACAGGTTGTGCTGTCTTTTTCTTCTCACTGTAGATTTATCCTCGTTACAGGATTGTGGTGTTTTTAAGCAGCTTGTCTGTGTTTCGTACGGTGTACTCCCACATCTTTCGTCTTACATTCGTGCCATCATGTGTCCTCTGGAATTTCCTATGTGCCCTTCATAGCAGTCTCCTCAAATTTCTTTTAACTGCGCATGCCCTCTCATCTTCCCCTTTTCCCTCTTCCCTCTCCCTCCTCTTCCCGCCTCTTTCCACTTCCTCCTCCCCTCCTTATCCTCCTCTGCTCTCCCTCCTCACCCTCCTCCCCTCCTCACCCTCCTCACTGCTCTCACTCCTCCCCTTCTTCCCCCCCTCTGCACAGGCCAACGCAGAGATGGAGAAGCGGTTTAAGGAGTTGACAGAGCTGCTGGTGAGTTGACAGAGCTGCTGGTGAGTAAACAGTAACTGTCTGTTAGAGAGTTGACACAGGCGGTGAGTTGACAGAGTCAGTCAGCGAGCTGATAGAGCTGCTGGGACAGAGCTCCCCTGCCCTTCTTTTTGCCTGAAACGGAGTCAACTGAAAATGATGAGTAAGCGGAAAGCGGAAAGCGGCAATGCCGCTGCTTCGGCTGATACACTTCAAACCACTACTCTCAAACCACTACTCCCCTCTCTCCTACCTGTCACCTCCGCTCCACTTCCCCACTTCCTCTCCTCCTCTCCCCTCCTCCCTCTCATGGCAGTGCCTGAAGCAGAGTCAACTGGAAATGATGACGAGTGAGAGGCAAGCAGCGATGCTGCAACTGGACAAGGAGAGGCGAGAGCTTCAACTGGCCAAGGTAAACCGCTTCACTAAACGCGTCGATTCTCTCCATGTTCATTCTGCCATCGGCAAAATTGGGCTGCCTTGTTAACGAGGTGACTTTTGAGTCGACTCAAAAGTCACCAAGGTAAACCGCTTCACTAAACGCGTCAATTCTCTACTTGTGCATTCTGCCATTGGCAAAATTGGACTGCCTTGTTAAATGCGCTCGGGCAGTCTCAAATTTATGCCACATTGCTTTCCCAAGCCTTTCCTTTCCCCACCCTCCCAACTCCCTCAGGCGCAGGCAGAGAGGGACAGAGCGGCACGGCGGTCGATGCTGATGGCTGCTGATGAGGAGGACAGCGAGATGCAGCCTCTGGAGTGAGTGGTGCTGCGGTGATCTTTGGTGTGGTGGTGTTGTTGTGGTGGTGTGTGCTGGCCTTTGGTGGTGTGTGGTGGTGTTGGGTGTGGAATGGTGAGCCTCCATTTCTGCGCATCAGGGCAGCAAGAGATGACTGGGGCAGTGAGATTCAGTCACTGAAATGACTGAGTCCTTCTCTTCTATCTTCTCACCCTTTCTCACCTTTTCTCACCTCTTCTCCCCACTCCTCACCCCTTCTCACTGAATTGCAACTCATCTCACCTCTTCTCACCTCTTCTCACCTCAACTCCCCTCTTCCCATCTCTTTTCACCGCTCCTCACGTCCCACAGGTCCGTGGGATTGCCGAACCGGCGCTTCATTGGCAAGAGGATACAGGTGAGATGCAATTGAGGGGCGTCTTGGGTCTGGGGAAAGGCGAGTTGACTTTTGAGTCGACTCAAAAGTCATTGGCAAGAGGATACAGGTGAGATGCACTTGAGGGGCGTCTTGGGTCTGGGGAAAGGCAAGTTGACTTTTGAGTCGACTCAAAAGTCATTGGCAAGAGGATACAGGTGAGATGCACTTGAGGGGCGTCTTGGGTCCTGGGAAAGGCGAATTGACTTTTGGGTCGACTCAAAAGTCATTGGCATGAGGATACAGGTGAGATGCACTTGAGGGTCGTCTTGGGTCTGGGGAAAGGCGAGTTGACTTTTGAGTCGACTCAAAAGTCATTGGCAAGAGGATACAGGTGAGATGCACTTGAGGGGCGTCTTGGGTCTGGGGAAAGGCGAGTTGACTTTTGAGTCGACTCAAAAGTCATTGGCAAGAGGATACAGGTGAGGTGCACTTGAGGGGCGTCTTGGGTCTGGGGAAAGGTGGGGGAGTGGGGGGGGAGAGGGGAGAGAGGGTTGAGAGGGTGGGTCAATCAGGGGAAATGCCTCCAAAAAAAACTGGAAAGCTACTCAAATCACGGTGAGAGGTGACACGCTTAGTGTCTTCAGTCCCTGGGGCATGTCAGTCATAGGTGAATTCAAGTCACAGCTCCAAAGAGGGGCTTTTTTTGAGGCGCCTCAAAACTAGACGGTCTCTGGGGCATGTCACTCAATGGTGAATTCGAGTCACAGCTCCAAAGGGGGGCTTTTTGTAAAAACTATGTTCAAAAGACACAAAAGTCACCTCAAAGGTGAAGCATATCGCTCCAGTTGCATTACATTTTCATTGAGGGGGGCGCACCCCTCCCTTCCCACCCCTTTCCCTCCAGCTTCCCCATTCCTGGGCCTTTTGCCCTTTTCTCCCCTTTTCTCTCCCCTTTCTCCCCCTTTTTCCCCCTTTTTTTCCCCCTTTTCTCCCCCTTTTCCCCCTTTTCCTTTTCTCCCCCCCCTTTCTCCCCTTTTCTCACCCATATTGTCCCCCCTTTCCTCCCCTCTTCTCCACATTTTGCTCTCTGCAGCAAGCAGCGAAGCTCATCGATCATGGAACAGTGACTGCCGGCCGTTTCCTCTGGCGCCGCCCACTGGCCCGCCTTGGCCTTGTCTGCTACCTGGTACTGGCTCGCCCAAAAGAAAGAAAGATAGATAGAATTTAAACTAGGGGTGGGACTCTGTGGTCTTGGAAAAAAAGAAAGGAAACAATCACACACAGTTGCTTTGTTGGCCTTCTTTTACCCGTGCTTTTGCTACCCTTTTCCTTCTCTATTTTCTTGTGTATGTACCATAACCGCCACCGTCGCTATCACCATTCTCTTATCCTTCTATGCTATTCACATTCCCACGACAGGTCTTCGTTCATCTATTCCTCATGTACCTGCTGCACAGATTACAGGTAAATTACCCTTGCCACAATTGTAAGTGACTTACCCTCCCACTTATGACAGGTCTTGGTTCGGTTTATTCTCGTGTATCCATTTCAAAGACTACACTACAGGTAAATTACCCTTGCCACAAGTAACTTATGATATGCCCTCTAAATTATTGAAAATCATTCACCCCAGGCACTGAATACAAGTGGTTCACCACGTGCACAGCCAAACGCGTTTTACCATTACCCTTCTCTCTTGTCCCTCCCCCTCCCACCCTCCCCATCCCCCGCCTACCATCCCTGTTCTCCTTTCCCCACTGCCCTTTTCCACCAGGAGCAAGCAGACGAGCTTCTGAACAAGGACCAGGTGTACTTGGCTGCAGAGGCGGCAGCAGGGTATCAGAGAGGCGTCTTAAAACCCTTCCCTCCCCCGCTTCCCCCCACCTTCACGTCTCTTTCCCTCGCCCAGGAGCAAGCGGACGAGCTTCTTAACAAGGACCAGGCCTACTTGGCTGCAGAGGCGGCAGACGTTTCAAAACCCTGCCCTCTCTCCCTCCCCATCTCCTCCCCGACCCTCCTCTTTTTCCCCCACTGGCCACAGGAGCAAGCGGACGAGCTTCTCAACAAGGACCAGGTCTACTTGGCTGCAGAGGCGGCAGCAGGGATAGTGAAGCCCCACCCTGCTCGTCGTTAGTGGCGTGTCATTGCCTGGTTTATGAGAGTTCTCGACTGCAGAGAGGTTGTAGAAATTGGGGGGGGAGGGGGGGGGATGCAGAAGCGGCAGCAGAGATTGTGAAGCCCCACCCCGCTCGTCGTTAGTTACATGTCATTGCCTGGTTTATGAGAGTTCTCGACTGCAAAGAACCTGCAGAAACTGGGGGTTTGTTTGGGAGGGGGGGAGAGGGCGGGGGGAAGGGAGGCTGCAGAAGCGGCAGCAGGGAGTGTGAAGACCCACCCCGCTCAACGTTAATCATGCGTCTCTGCCTGATTTATGAGATTTCTCGACTTTTGGGGCTGCAGAGGCAGCAGAGACGGCAGAGGTGGCAGAGACTGCAGAGGTAGCTGCAGTTGCTAGTCGTGCCGGCGCTGCTGCTAAGGGAGGTGGTGATGGTGAGGGTGATGGTTGTCTTAGTGGTGGTGGTGGTGGCGGTTGCGCTGTGTTGCTGGTGTGTTGGCTGCTGCTGCTTGCGGTGGTGTTCCTGTGGTACCTACCGTATTCCCCCGGACATACCACCCGCCGAAATAGAGCACCCCCCGGGTGGCTTGTGCGGGGGGGGTGCTATAGCGGGCCTCGTTTCTACTATACCCCCCTTTTGGGGCGATCCGGTATAGCACCCGGGGGGGGGGTGTTATGTACGGGTAATATTGCAGTTTTTGCCAAAATAGCACTGGGTTTCGAATGATTAACCATCTACATGTTAAGGTCAGCACAAACAAGCTACGTCTGACGCAATACAGCGATAACTCTCCCATCATACAGTCATTCCTTCATTCAACAGGGGCCTACTACCATCCAGACCGAACGCTCTCTACTTATACAAATATTCAAACAATCCTCCTACTCCTCGTCCCCAGCATGCCATTCCTCAATCTCCTCTCCGTCAAAGCAGTCGGGGAGCCACCAGTCAGAGCCGGCCTCGCTCCACTCATCTGCATCCCCATCTGATTCTCCAGCTCCGTACCCTTCCCATCTCCGTCTTCCGCCTCCGCATCCTCTTCGTCCTGCTCCACATGCATGGGTCGTCGTCCGCCTCGGCCGCTTCGGAGGTCCCTAGGGGCGTGTTTGTTCCGGGAAGGAAGGAATCTTCACCTTCGGCAGCGCCGGCAGAGGACGGGCCGCGCTGCTGCTCGGTTCATCGTTGGTGGAGCGACTCACGGGGGGTGACGGCTGCGGGAGGATGGGCCGGGGCGAACGCCGTGTGCCCGCAACAGCGGGTGACTGGGTGACGGAAGGCCGTTGCCGCCTAACCACTGTACTACTGGAGTCTGGAGAGGTAGCCATCTAAGGCTTGTGAACGTTGGTGTCACAGGCCATTGAAAGGTGAATTTATGCTAGGAAAGGGATCGACGAGGCAGGTGGTGTTAGCACACTCTGCCGAGCATTGCTCGAGTTCGTGGAATGGAGACGCTGCTCAGAAAGAAGGATCAACTCCTTCTCAGTACAAGGACGTGACCGCCCCAGCGAGGCAGCTGAGGCTGTTGCGGGCGCTCCGCCTTTGTGACTGCATGAACCCTCGTCGAGCAACAAGGGGGTGTGTTTTCGACCAATCAGGGCCTGGCAGTGGGCCTTGAGGGAGCTTGCAATGTGGCAGCTAACCCTCGACAGTAACGTTATCGCCCAGTCCTCGGTTTTGCGCACCCAACCAACAATCTACCACCACGTGAAACATGTACATTGTGTTCTCAACCTTTTATGCTATAAAAACAAATATACATTATGTAAAGACCCGGGTGCAATGTAGCTTTTTCCGAAGACAACACCCCCCCCTTTTTTTTGATGTAGTTATCATAGCACCCTAGGGTGGTATGTCCGGGGGAATACGGTAATACACTGAACGAAAAAATTGTCCACATGCTCACATTTTATAACAAGAATGTGACATAAGGTTGTATAAGGATTAAGCCTTAATAAACGGGCGCCATAAGGTTATAGAATGGAGGGTTATACTTCCTCTGATGTGGGTTCAAGGTCTTTGACACAGTTGTACAAGCAGGTGATACAGAAATCAGCACATACTACCATATGGACATTTTTTAGCAAAAACAGTTTCACAGTCACACCAAGCAGAATCTAGTACTTGGTCCAGCGACCCTTGGCCTTGAGCACTGCCCGCACACGCCTAGGCATGCTGTCGATCAGCTCACTGCACCAGGTCGCTGGGATTTTCTCCCATTCCGCTTGAACTCTATCCCATAGCTCGAGAATGCCTGCAGGGGGGCGGGGGTAAGCAAGCAGCTGCTTCTTCAAATACACCCATAGATGCTCTATGGGGTTGAGGTCAGGACTGGATGCTGGCCATGGGAGAACCGCGTATGGCTGGTCGGCTAGGTAAGTTTTCACCATCTTGCACGTATGCTTCGGGTCATTGTCGTGCTGGAATACAACTGCCTCAGGTTCCAACACGTAATGTTCGATGGTCTGCTGCAATTCGTCCTGCAGGATTGAACGGTATAACTCCCCGTTCATCCGCCCCTCTATCTTACACATAAAACCCGCTCCCTGATAGGTCATGCACCCCCAAATCATGATGGAGCCGCCACCATGTTTGACGGTCTGTTTCACATGGTGCGGCTCCATGTGACAGTCCCCGCGAATCCAGGCCCAACTACGCCCATCGCTACTAAACCGGCAAATCTTAGTTTCGTCGCTCCAAATCACCCGTTTCCAGTCATCGACTGTCCAATGCTGATGGTCCTTGGCCCACTGCTGGCGGTCCTTAACCGTTTTCGCGGATAAACGTGGCTTCGAAGGCTTTTCTATCGCCTTAACGCTGTGCCGCTTGAGAGTGTTTCGAATGGTGGCGCCCGTGACGCTAATGCCGTGCGTTGAAGCTAGCATTCCTGCTGCGGCCTCGGCGGATTTCGATTCTCCGGAAACGATCGACCGAACAACAATCCTAGCGACTTGCTCTGGTAGCTTGCGCGGTCGACCAGGTTTCGGCGGGGAAGGCACTAGCTCACTATACGTTTTCGGACCGAGGTGGCGGAGGAGCTCGTCATGCACTGCGCTTTTCGAAACTCCCAACTCTTTAGCGATTTGGCGATAACTACGCCCGGCTGCTATTAGCTGCATGATGCGCTTCTGTTTCGCCGCACTAAGGCGCTTCATGCTGAGGGGGTGTTAGATCTACTTGCAGATCAACGACGGGGCTCGTAATCTCCTCTATACCTAGCTATTCTAGATCTAACTGCGCACGAAATAAAGCGCGAGACATAACGGAAGTATTTGTCCGTGTGGGGTGTCGAGTGGGGAAAGCTGACTCGTTAGAGCGCGTGCGTTTTTTGGGGCTATAGGTAACCAACACGAACTGGTAACACTCAGACGCGAACCCTGAAGGCAGTTTGTTATAAACATTACTTGTTTATATTACAAATGTGTTCAAGTTAATGTTGAGCTCGAATCTATAAGGACAATTATTTAGTTCAGTGTATGGCAGGCTGGTGGTGCTGCCGAGGATACCTTTGGTGGCTCAATATATTTCACGTGCACCAAGAATGAGCGTGTGTATTATGGAACCCCATCGGGAAAATTGTGTGTGCTCTAAAGCATAAGTAGCATCGCAACTGGCCATTCCACATTTGCACGGGTAATTGATGAAGAAATGTCTTGAAGTCATAAGTACACTATTCATCTACACTGAGCTCTCTGCTGTAATCCGCTACACACGATGCCCGTTTGACTAACCCAAGGTTGCCTTGTGAAGAGGGCTCTTAAGTGATTCTTGCATTTCGCTAAGCTTTCGTCAATTCGCACTTAGCAAAAAGGGCTTTTAAAAGATTTTGTAACTCGCTGTTGACCGTTTGACATGGGTCTCTTCTGTCAAACTTCGGTTTTTGTGGTTCGTATTGCTCGAGGTGCTTGTAAATGGGGTGCAACTGGCTGGTACCCTAATACACGAGTGCAGAGTTTCCATCGCAGCAAGGGCAAATTCGCGTGCAGGGGTTGGGCATCTTGTGTACCTCACATCTGTCAACTGTGCCGGAGGTGACGACAAACCCTTGCCAGCTAGCTTCCAGCCAGGAGTGAAAAGTTTCCCGTTCGCCCCTCGGAGTTCTGTGGCGGCAGTGCTTGCATGAATTTGCCATCCTTCGCAAATCACCCACCTGTACGTGTACAGGGTGACACAGGGAAACCCCTGCTGTTGACTCGAAGCCGAGCTGTTGTCACTGCGGTCCAAGTACAGTACACATACCGCCTGTCGAATCCAACCATGAATTTGACCAACACTCTTAGGTTTCCCACCACCCATTTTGAGGTGTGGTGGCCAGTGGGAGTTCGTTTTGTGGTTGGAAAATTTTAGTCGGGCAGAGTGGTCTGTTTTGCTCCACTGGGCTTGTTGGCCAACATCCGATTGGTTACTGGATGCTCCATTGCCCGCCACAGGTGCCCGCACACACTTGGTTTGGAACACCGAGGCAAGTGTATCTGTAACCCTGTCACGAAATTATTCGACGAGACGTAACACCCAGTTTGGCGAACGTCGCAGTTATCTGTTTAGTTTCATCAGTCCTCAACTGCCCTAAACCGCGCCAACTACCGTACAGCTGTGCAAAGGGGAGTCCTTATCCGCATATCAATCCCTACCCGCATATGTAATCGTTCTTGCCTAGCAAATAAATCTGTAGTTATTTCGCCAAGACGGCTCTTCATTGAGGAGTTATTCCGTTCGCGTCAAAATTGCGACTTACTGCAGCTCGCATGGTCATTGTAAGCTGCTCAATATACTGGATGGATCGTCTAACAGGCTAAGATGGCATTAAGTACCCATTCAGGTCGGCAATGAGAGGATGTGTAAATGGGTCGGCACCACCTCCTGCGTCAATGTGAGGGCAGCACCTTTCGCGTTGAGCCTTGCCCAGTCCCGCTTAGTAACCATACTCGTTTGAATACGCTTTAATCCTAGCATCTGTGTAATAAGATCGTAGTTAACCATGGCCGCTCGCGACGAGTGCTACAGCCCGCTAAGCTACAGCCCCCTCAGCAGCCCCGTGTCCAGACAATACTTTAACGAGGATGGGAGCGAAGCTACAGCTGGCGGGCACTTCCGGAAAGACTCGGGACAATTATTAGACGAAGCGTGGGAGACCCTGGCGGACGAAACTCCGCTCTCCGTTCCGCCCCAGCACGACATTGTCCCCCGATCGCGCAGCAGCACATCCCCGCTGCACTCGCGCCCGGGGGGAACCGCGTCCAAGATCAGCGAATCCGACTTGCGAAACTTCGCGAATTTCGTCAGGACGAAGACGGTCACGGAGTCCGCGAGCGGGGGAAGCGGCCGCGCTTCGAGCGGGGGAAGCAGCGGCGGGGCTGGAAAGGACGGAGGTGGAAAATTCCAGCGCCTATGGTCGTTCCGGAACGGCGCGCGCGGAGCGGAAGAAGGGGGAGATGGCGGAGGCGGAGGGACAGGGGGGACCGGCACCGGAGGAAGCGGCACGACGGGGAACGCGGAAAGCAGGAGCGCCGAAAGCAGGAGCGGGGGAAGCGGGAAGAAGGAGCGGTTTCTCGAGCAGGTGATCAAAACTGGCGGGCAAGCAGCCCGCGTGTGGTCCAATCCGCGTCGCCGAAGTTTCGCGGAAGACGACGCGTCTTCGCCGATGCGGTCCGCGACATTCACGCGTGCTACGATGAGGACTAGCATCGGCGGTGGAAGCAGCACTGGCGGAAGCAGCGCCGGCGGAAGCAACAGCGGCTCAATTCCCTTTTCTACGTCGGCGGAAGACGGGGAAGAATCCCTCCCTGATTTTCTCCGCCGTTCCGCAACCGTTTGCACCTCCGACGCTGCTTCGCTCGAGCTGGCGCAGCAAGGTAAGCAATATCAGCAGCAACAGCAACAGCAGCATCAGAAGCTTCAGCTGTCGCAGCAGCAATGGGCGGCATCTGGTCTCGCTTCCGGTTCCGCCTGCGGGGGGCGCGCGGAGTCGCCTCCGCAGGATCCCCGTAGCGGCAGCGCGGGGAAGACGCGGAGCGATCCCGCGGGGCATTCGCGGAACACTAACCGGGATAGCGTGAGAGGGGAAGCGGGCGGCGACGCCGCTGGAATTGGTTCGGAACAGCACAGCATTGGTGGTGCCGGCCGTAGCGGCAGCGGCGGCGGCGGTGGCGGGGCAGTCGCTAACTCTTCTCCTATTAACGCTCGCCCTAGGTCGCCTGCATTTCCGCGGCCCAGGTCCCCAATTTGCGCGCCTTCGCGGGCAGCTGCAGCGCCGGCGCCGCCGCCGAAAGTGGCGTATTTTTCGTTCGACCGGCACCGGGAAGCGGTGGCGGAAGCGGAGCAGCTGGACGCGGAAGAAGAGGCGGCGTCCCGCCAGGGGCGGAGGAGGGAGGCGTTTAAAAGCGCGAGCGTTGGTTCGAGTAGCAGCGCTAGCGCGGGCGGAGGCGCAGGTGATCGGGGGATCGCGAACGGTGCTGGTGGTGGTGCAGGATGGCCTCGGGAAAGTTGCGGAAGCGCTGAGGGAAGCGCGCAAGTTTTGCGCCGAGGAGCGAAGGGGGGGAGTTTCGAAGTTATGGCTCAGGCGGGGCCGATTGGAGGTGCGGGCGAGTTCGGTAGCGGGCGGCGGAGCGGGGTTGCGCGGGGAGCAAAGGGGGAAGGCAGCGCGCGCGCGTGGGAAGTTACGATTACGCAGGATGGTGACTATGGCGAGGGGAAGGACGACGAGCGCGAGTTGACCCCCACGAAAGACGCTTCGTCAAAGCATCGACGAGGATTCAGGTGAGTGTACAGTGAATGACTCTTGCTGAAATTTACACGCTATCAACAGAATAATGAAATCACACAAGGATGCAAAGATGTTATGTAAGTTTTTTTCCAGAAAAACGTGCTCCCACGAATGGTGACTCTGGTAGTAATGCTGACCATGAACAAGCGTGAGTTATGCCCAGTGTCGAGGCATAAAATCGGCTTCAGGTAAGTGCAGTGATTCATGGAATGGAGCACATGGAAATGACGCATGTAGTTGTAACTTAACAAGAAGCTTCTACAGCTGATGCAAAATACACACAACCATCAAGTTGCGTTGGTCTGGACTAATATTTTCGCGAATTTCTCAAAAAATGCCTACGCAGAGAGACCCTTTTCAAGTTTGTGTATAAGTGAGAGTAACATTGCCCCCCCCCCCCCCCCCCCCCCCCCCCCCCCCCCCCCCCCCCCCCCCCCTTTTTTCTCTGTTTCATTCCAATTCAAACCCCAGTATCTTTTTTTGCTTCTTTCCTCACTTAGCAAGAATCACATCTCTTTCCCCCTTCCCACTTCCTCTCCAATACTTTACTCTCTCCCCATTCCCTTCCCACGCAATGCTTCCTCTCCCACACTCCTCTCCTCCCCATTTTCCGTCCCCATTCCCGTCCTCATCACCTCTCTGCCTCCCACACTCCCCTCCCACTCCCCTCCCACTCCCCTCCCACTCCCCTCCCACTCCCCTCCCCTCCCCTCCCACTCCCCTCCCACTCCCCTCCCACTCCCCTCCCACTCCCCTCCCACTCCCCTCCCACTCCCCTCCCACTCCCCTCCCACTCCCCTCCCACTCCCCTCCCACTCCCCTCCCCTCCCACTCCCCTCCCACTCCCCTCCCACTCCCCTCCCACTCCCCTCCCACTCCCCTCCCACTCCCCTCCCACTCCCCTCCCACTCCCCTCCCACTCCCCTCCCACTCCCCTCCCACTCCCCTCCCACTCCCCTCCCACTCCCCTCCCACTCCCCTCCCACTCCCCTCCCACTCCCCTCCCACTCCCCTCCCACTCCCCTCCCACTCCCCTCCCACTCCCCTCCCACTCCCCTCCCACTCCCCTCCCACTCCCCTCCCACTCCCCTCCCACTCCCCTCCCACTCCCCTCCCACTCCCCTCCCACTCCCCTCCCACTCCCCTCCCACTCCCCTCCCACTCCCCTCCCACTCCCCTCCCACTCCCCTCCCACTCCCCTCCCACTCCCCTCCCTCCCCACCAGGAGTCGCAGCTTCAGTGGAATCGGCACTCTCAACGGAACCAACTCCCCCGAAGCCCCCACCCTCCCCACCTTCCCCTCCTCCCCCTCCCCCAACCCCGGAAGCCCTCTCTCCTCCGAACGACGCACATACTCCCCCCACGCCACCCTGCCCACCTCCACCTCCTCCTCCTCGCGAGTCCGCCCCCCCCGGTCCTCCACAGCAGTAATCCTGCCACCTCTGGCTGGGCATCATCCCCATCACAGGCCCACAATCCCCCATCGCCGTACTGTGTCTGTTGATGAGCATGGGCTGGTGGGGCGAGCTTTAATGCAGGCTTCAATAGAGGAACAGCAGCACAGGAAGCCGCCGCAGCAGTATCAGCAGCAGAGCTCGCAAGGGTATGATGCTGGTGGTGGTGGTGGTGGTGGTGGTAGGGGGGATTATGATGTTGAAGCTGACGACGAGTCACCCGGACGTAGCCCGTACAACAGCCGGCCGCTTGCTCGGCGGAACCGGACCGAGGTGACGCGGCGCCGACCCTCCACTGCCATGCCGGACGTGGGGGGAGGTGGTTCGGAAGATGGGTTGTACCGGAGGTCGAGGAGCGTCGGGCACGGGTACGAGCTCTATTTACCCCCGGTTTCAGGGGGTATTGGTGCGGGTGGGGGGGGTTCTGGGCCTCCAGTGGGAGATACCTGGCCGGCAGGAAGTGGGAGGGAGAGCATGAGGGAGGGAGTGAGGAGGAATAGGAAGTCGTCTCATTTGAGGAGGCCTAGTCTTGAAGGGGAGGGGTGTTATGAAGGTAGAGGGGAGCGGGAGGGTGGGAGTGGTGGTGGCAGAGGAGAGCGGGAGGGTGGGAGTGGTGGTGGCAGAGGAGAGCGGGAGGGTGGGAGTGGTGGTAGCAGAGGAGAGCGGGAGGGTGGGAGTGGGGGTGGCAGAGGGGAAAGGGAGGCTGGAAATGGTGGTGGAAGAGGGAGAGGTGGAAGGGAAGGAGAGGAGGAGAGTCGTTTCGAGGAAGGGGAGAGGAGAAGAGCTGATTACGGGCGGCAGCGACAGAGCCAGCAGCAGCATGCCGATGGTCGGTCGAGGCAGCAGCAGGAGCAAGGGCATGAAAGGGCACGAGGGAGGTCTCATTCCTTCAGTGAGATGGTGTATGAGGAGGAACAAGGGGAGCGGCAGGGGCAGGAGCGGGGGCAGGAGCGGGGGCATGAGCAGAGGCAGGGGCAGGTGCAAGGACAGGGGCAGGGGCAGCAGAGGCAGAGAGGGCAGAGGGGACCGGATATGCATCAGCAGGAGTATGCGTCAGCAGGAGCAAGGGTGTGAAAGGGCACGAGGGAGGTCTCACTCATTCAGTGAGATGATGTATGAGGAGGAGCAGGAGCGGGGACATGAGCAGAGGCAGGGGCAGGGGCAGGGGCAGGGGCAGGGGCAGGGGCAGGGGCAGGGGCAGGGGCAGGGGCAGGGGCAGGGGCAGGGGCAGGGGCAGGGGCAGGGGCAGGGGCAGGGGCAGGGGCAGGGGCAGGGGCAGGGGCAGGGGCAGGGGCAGGGGCAGGGGCAGGGGCAGGGGGGGAACAGGAGCGGGGGCATGAGCAGAGGCAGGGGCAGGGGCAGGGGCAGGGGCAGCAGAGACAGAGGGGTCAGAGGGGGTGGATAGTGTATGAGAAACAGGGTTGATGATTGTCACTGCTCGCCCTCTGCTCCTGTTGCTTCAGCACGGATGGGCATGTGAACAGGGGATCCAACGTGGAGAAAGAATCCCTTTTCTCTCCAGTAATGGGCGAAATAATCTCAGATTGCAGTTACCATCCTCCTAGACAAAATGTGTGAAATAGTGTACTTCTTCCAACAACTTTTTTCTATTTTAGACTTGTATTAAGGGCGTGTAACTTGTTACCAACGGTCCGGACGGCATGCGAGAGTGTTCGTCAATGCTCGCATGCTCTCTAATTCGATGACGGGCTCAAACAACCCGGACAGTAGCGGGATACCCTATTCGCATGCCCGAATAGCCAAATAGCCAAGCGCCTTGAGATTGTCCTGTAGCCAGACGCGCGGCGAAGCTGGGGCGAGCGTGCGTGTTCGTCCGTGCGATGAATCGTGTGGTGAGCCTTCGCGTGCAGCTTCATCAACACCTGTGCTTCCAGCAGCTAGAGTGCTCACTCTGTTTTACTCCTCGCTCGCCTCGCCGCTAAGCTTCGCCTGCGCCTTCCAAATCCACGTCATCTCCGCTCCCTTCTGTCTCTGCTCGCTTCACTCCGCGTCACGCGCTACCAGCTGCTATCGCGCTGCTGCTGCAGAACCTTCGCTAGTCAGTGCGGCTTAAAATGGATTGTCGTCGCCAGGTCCGTGAGTGGTGGAGATTAACTGATACCAGCCCCTTCAGCCACCTGAGTAGATATACTAACGACTTCCTGAATATATACGCGAGCGCGGAAACGCATCTTTCCTGTTTTCGGACTGCGTAGTCGTCGCTCTTTGCTGGACACAAGGGCTAGCTCTCGTGGCGTTATCGTCCTCGCTGATTGCTTGATACCCGAGCCGGCTAGTTGCTTCGTGCGTGATGACGACGACAGGGGGAATCTCCGCCCTCCGTAGTGTCAGCCTCACCCTCCGTCTCTCCCATCTATCTTCTTCTCCTTTCCACCGCTTTGATCGCCGCTTTATTCGCTCCTTCAACCGCCGCGCAGCCGCGACGGCCGGCGTGTTAGCGCCATCCGCGGATGCTGCTGCTGTTACGAGATTAGTAACAGTTGTCAATGGCGGTGCCGCCAGCACAAACGCGCTAACCGCAGCTGCTGAACAAATCTCGGCTCGGTCGCTATCCGTCGCAGCCCAGGCCTCTTTAATCGCCTCCGTCGCACTCCTTGTCAGCAGCTCGCCCGCGCTAGCCGCCGAAAACGTGGCAGCCGACGTGGCAAGCGCTCCGTTTCCGCAGGAAATTCGACCTTCAAGCGGCGCGTCGAGGCAGCAAAACGGCATCCAGTCTCTCGCGCGAGTCACGGCTTCTCAACTGCGGACAGCACCGCTCTTAACGGTTACATCCACTGACGTCGTAGGAACGGCAGAAACAGCGGAACCGGCAGACACGGCGGCAGCGGAGGCAGCGGAGGCGGCGGAAGTTCCCAAGGTGCTGGACGGAGCGCGTCTGCTTACCGAGAGCCAGCGCGGCGCGATGCTGCGACAGCTGTCGGATCTGGAGTCTCGCGACGGGTGGCGGATTCGCGTGGCGACGCGGTACGGGGTGGAGAGTGGTTTAAATGGCAAACAGATTCGCGACTTGTGGCAGGTGAGAGGCGGAGGAAGGGGGAAAGGGGAAGGGAAAGGGGGGAAGGGTGTGGGGATTACGGGGTGTGGGGGGGGGAGGGGTGGACTTTGTAAGGGATTTAGTTTTGAGACGCTCCAAAACCGGACTTTGTGAGGGATTGGGCGTGTGCTTAGGGTTTCGATTTCAAAGCACTAAGATCTCGTTCCCTCTCCCCTCGTTGCTCTCATTTCTCGGCGATTCTTTTAGCACACCTCGTAAAGTGGATCCTTCGCTTATCATTCCTTGAACAAACCCTCGTCTTTCTCTGGTTGCGCCGCAGCCGTCGGATCAGACGGTGATCGTGGTGGCTGACGTGGCATCACCCAACATCCTCAGCTTTAGCATTGGAGAGGCTGTGCGGTCCAAGCTGCCCTACCAGTTCTTCACAGAGCTGCAATCCAGGTAATTCCCCTTTAAGGTGTCTCAGTTTCCTGTATAAGGTTCACATTTCAGTCACCGTCCGTGGGCCTGTGCCACTCACGGTAATCTGTCCTAACAGTTCTTAACGGAGCTGCAATGTGATCAAAGTTTGTTTTTTGAGACGTCTCAAAAACAAGCTTCTATCACGTGGCTGTCCTACCAGTTCTTGTTCTTTAAAGAGCTGCAATCACATGCACTTACCAGCCCACCTCATGCTCTTATGAGAATTCTCGATAGTGATTTTTTCTCTTGTGAGTATTCTCAAAAGTGACTCTTTTGAGAACTCTCAAAAGTGACTCTTATGAGAATTCTCAAAAGTGACCAGTAGACCATCACATGCTCTTACCCCCTCCGCCTCCTCCCCTCCACCTCCCTTCCACCTTCCCTTCCCTCTCCACCTCAACTCTGCCTCCCCTCTGCCCCTCCCGGTTTCACTCCTCCGACCCTTATTTCCCGAACCCTGTACCTCCACGCCAGGTACGGCAATCAGTTCTTCGTCCGGCAAGAGGGCGAATCCGAAGCACTCACTCGCTCCGTGGATGCCATCCGAACCTGCCTTGCCGAGCCTAACGGCTGCCTCAAGGTCCCAGGCCTGGTAGACGACCTCTACTTCCTCACGCTCGGCGTGTCCATAGCTGCAGGCGCAGTATTTGGCTTTTCTGCGCGACTGCCGCCCCAAGGCCAAGTGGAAGCTTCCTGGCAATGGGTGGCGATTTTCTCGCCTCTCTGGCTGTTTTTGCTGCTGGCATTTGGGGTGTTCCCTGTGGTCGACCGGACAGCCGATCTTGAACCGTTGATTAAGAATCTGTTAGGGTTTGCAGGGAGTGCAGGAGCAGTGTACATGACACCGATACTGGGGGAGAGCCCTGTTGCTAGGCTAGGGAAGACCCAAAAGGAAGATGGGGAAGTTTGAGAGTCAGGTTTGGTTTTGGGGTTGTGATATCTGAGCGGTTTCTTGTGTGATATGATCATATGAGGTGATGTTTGTGAGGAACGGGTCTGCATGTGAAAGATACGCTTTATAATCGATGGTACCATAATAGGTTGGAGTGGGACTGTTTAGCACAGCGCAACCCATAATGTGTTAGATGGGTGTTTGTTTCTGAGTTCTACTGTCCTACTAGCCGCCACCTATTGGTAACATCAGGAAAAACGCTGCATGGGTATTCTGGTTTTGGGAAGCCAGAATTGCTGAAAGGACAGATTCACCAAAAGCCTACACGAGTAGGCTACTATAGAAACCCAAACGCATTACACCACTCTCAACCACCGAGTAACTCAACCAGCATAATTAAGTAACAATAGTTCTTCTTACTTCTGGCATGACATGGCATGGCATGGTGAGGGCGTCATGTGTTGAGTCATGTCACGGAAAAGCATGTCATTGCTGCAGTCCTTTCTTGTTCAGGTTGAAGCGCACTTGCTGGGAAGCATGGCAATGGGTGGGATAAGAGTAAGGGGGGAAATTAGAAATCTGTAATGTCTGGCATGCTCAGTTGTGGGTATCATGCGACATGTCATTTCTTGCTGGGAAGCATGGCAATGGGTGGGATGGGAAGGAAGGAGATTGGATTGGCTTAGGACGACCACCGTAAGTACAAGTAAGTCGGCTGTGAAAGCAAAAGGAGGATCGAAGTTGGGTCATTGGCAACGGGTGGGATGGGAAGGAAGGAGATTGGATTGACTTACGACGACCAAGCCCGTTTTGAAAGCAAAGGGGGGATTCAAAGTGAGACGTCTCAAAATACTTGATACACACTTTGACATCACCACTGCACCAAGCAGCGCACCTTGAGCAGCGAGAGGAAGTATGCCGGCTGGGAGTGCTTGCGAAGGCTTTAAGTCCTCTCAATGTTGTACCCTCCAATCCATTGTACCACCACCAACACACCAGCACCAACCAGCTCACCTTGAGCAGCGAGAGGAAGTAAGCGGCTGTGAGTGCTTGCTGGTGCCGGCACCGTCAAACAGCAGCTTGGGCTGCTCGCTCTGTGTGAGAGCATGCAGGTCGATTTTTGAGACGTCTCAAAAATCGTCTACTTATACGCGGATTTTATATTAATCGAGTTTTTGTTGCTTGGAAGGCTGGGTGTAGCTTGCAAAAGTTACTCGTTCGCGCGAGGCTCCCGAAGTTACAGCTGGCGAGGGGTGCAGTTTCAACGACACGCCCCGAGGAATGAAGACTTGGACCACTTGGACTTCTCTAGGTGGACCAGGATTGGCTGACCAGATTTTCGGCCACGGTTGCTCTAGCCTTGATTTTTGGTTTCCGGAACGTAGTGTTTGCCTAAATGCTTCGTTTTCACTCTCTTCTTCATTTCCGCTAGCACTGATGAAGGTTTGACGTGGGGCCTGTCCCAGTCAGCCGAAACATGTTTGTGCTTTAATCTCTTTAGTGGAATCGAGAGTTCGGTTTTCTTGATTTTCTTGGCACTTAGCAGGGTACAACATACAGATTAGTACTACTGTCTTTCTTTTGCTAAAAGTGACTTCCCGACTGCAGCTCATCCAGTCTACATGGCTGACGGGGCTTGGGCTGCTCGCTCTGTGTGAGAGCATGCAGGTCCGTAAAAGTCACCTAAGAGCTCTACCAGCTCACCTTGAGCAGTGAGAGGAAGTATGCCGGCTGTGAGTGCTTGCTGGCGCCGGCACCGTCAAACAGCAGCTTGGGCTGCTCGCTCTGTGGGATGAAGCGAGTAAGTTTATATGGGGTACGGTTGGCTCCGAACGTGGAGAGGAGGGCTGAGACTAAGACAAAAAGGGACAAGCGGATTTTTGAGTCGAATCCACAGTAACGAAGGGGGCAAGAGGATTCTTTAGTAGTCGACTCAACTATAAAGAAGAAGGACGAGCGGAGGCAGAAGGTTCAAATGAAAGACAGAGGTGAGGGGTAACTGGATACTTCTTGCTAGCAAAAGCAAGATCTAAAAACAATAAAAGACGTTACCAGGAAGCTAACTGTTGTGATGGTATCGAGCCGTTTCTTAAGGAGCGCATCCTGAGAGGCAAGGGACAAGGAGGGGGGGAGAATGGCAAACGGAGGAGGCAGGGATGGGGCAAGGAGGAGGCAATTGAGGGTAGTGACGACACACATTAGTATCGAGACATTTCTTAAGGAGCGCATCCTGAGAGGCAACGGGCTAGGAGGGATGGCAAGTGGGGAGCAACGGGTGGAGCAAGTGGGGGGCAAGTGAGGGGCAAGTGAGGGGCAAGTGAGGGGCGAGTGAGGGGCGAGTGAGGGGCAAGTGAGGGGCAAGTGAGGGGCAAGTGAGGGGCAAGTGAGGGGCAAGTGAGGGGCAAGTGAGGGGCAAGTGAGGGGCGAGTGAGGGGCGAGTGAGGGGCAAGTGAGGGGCGAGTGAGGGGCAAGTGAGGGGCAAGTGAGGGGCGAGTGAGGGGCGAGTGAGGGGCAAGTGAGGGGCGAGTGAGGGGCGAGTGAGGGGCAAGTGAGGGGCAAGTGAGGGGCAAGTGGGGGGTGTGACGATGCACAAAGGTATCGATCCGTTTCTTCAGAAGGGCGTCCTGAGAAACCAGTTACATTGTTACAAGAGCGTGCTTTCAAGAGGGGAGGCTTTTGCCATTGAATTGAAAGCCTCCCCATGGCCCCATCAATTTATAGGAAATTGACAGGCTTTCGCCCCACCAAATTTTGAGGCGCCTCAAAAAACAGTTTATGGGAAATTGACAGGCTTTCGCCCCATCAATTGCATCCTGAGGGGAGGCTTCACTCTCACCCGCCCTTTTCCCGGAGGCTACGTGCCTGTGAAGTAAAAGTCGAGTTATGAGTCGACTCAAAATTCATTCTCACCCGCCCTTTTCCCCGAGGCTACGTGCCTGTGAAGGAAGCAGGGACCAACCTTGTCTAGTTTCTGCGAGTCGGGGCGAAGCACCACGCCCGTGGCCACGTGCTTGTAGAAAACGTAGGGGACACGTGGCACTATATCATGGTCGTTTGCGATGCGCCAGCTGTCGCCCACCAACTGGTTGAAGCGAGCTGCAAAGGCGTGGTTTCCCACACGAGGCGAGCCGAAGTTGTAGAGGGAGAGGGTGAAGCCGTGCTGCCTGTGGTGGTGGCAAGCAAAGCAGATGGGGAGGGTTGTATCTGAGACTCCTCACAAGCTACCCTAGGAGCGCCGAAGTTGTAGAGAGAGCGGGTGAAGCCGTGCTGCCTGTGGTGGTGTTAAAGGGGAGATTGAGATTGAAAGCAGGAGGGCAAATGGAGAAGAGAGTGGGGTTTGGGTCTCATCACAAGTCGCACGGTAAGAGGCAAAGTTGATATACAATTGAAACGGAATATATACAGCAGCCACATACATACTTCAACATAAAAATATGTGTGCACATACATGCACATAGATGTATATACATTATGCACATACCGCACCCTCACATATCACCCTCACCTTCTTGCATATCACCCTCGCCTTCACCGCACTCAGTTGGTCTTGACGTCGGACTAGGCGAGGTGGACTTTTGCGGCGCCTCCCCTCAAAAGTCGCCCCACAAGTCTTCACATTCACCGCACTCAGTTGGTCTTGACGTCGGACTAGGCGAGGTGGACTTTTGCGGCGCCTCCCCTCAAAAGTCGCCCCACAAGTCTTCACATTCACCGCACTCAGTTGGTCTTGAGGTCGGACTAGGCGAGGTCGTATGTGAAAAGGGTGTGGAGAGAGCACCCCCCCGGGAAGCTGAAGCCCCTTCTTTTGCTTTTGTCGCACCACACCACACCACACCACACCACACCACACCACACCACACATCACCTATTTTACCCGCCCACTCACTTCTTGAGGTCGGACTGGGCAAGGTCGTATGCGAAAAGTGTGGAGAGGGCGCCTCCCAGGCTGTGCCCCGTGACCATGATGTGATACCTGGGGAGATGGTGGAATGAGGGTGAGACGGTGGCATGGTGGGATGCATGGTATGGTGGCATGGTGGGATGCATGGTATGGTGGCATGGTGGGATGCATGGTATGGTGGCATGGTGGGATGCATGGTATGGTGGCATGGTGGGATGCATGGTATGGTGGCATGGTGGGATGCATGGTATGGTGGCATGGTGGGATGCATGGTATGGTGGTATGGTGGCATGGTGGGATGCATGGCATGGTGGCATTGTTAGAAGATTGAGGAGGGAGCGGCCCCCAGGCTGTGCCCTGACGTGGTACTTGGGGAGATGGTGGAATGGGGGTGAGACGGTGGCGGCATGGGGGCATGGGGGCATGTTGACGATGGTGTGGTGGCGTACATTGGAGGGGAATGTATCCTGAAAGCGCGGCCCCCAGGCTGTGCCCTGTGAGTGATCATGATGCGATGCCTGGTGGCGTGGTGGTTCTTTTTTGAGGCGCCTCAAAAACGACCTCAATGGTGGCGTGGTGGCTCCAAAGTGATTGCTTGAGGGTGGCATGCATGGCAGCACTTTTTTTTCTTTCTTTTTTTAAGTCAACCCTTTCCTGTCCAATGGTCCTGTCATTTCCACCGGTTTGTGAGGCTCACTTTTCATTGGAAGGGGAGAGAATAGCTTTGAGCAGCAGAAGGAGCCGCGGCTTCACAGATTTGTAGCCATCCAGAAAGCCATCATGCACCTGGGGGATTGGGGGGTTGGAGAAGGAGGAGAGAACGCATTGCTGAAAACTGGGGTGCAGTAAACTGTAGAATGAGGGGCAGAAAGAACGACCCTAAATCATGGGCATGGCTTGACTTGAATGAGGGGCATGGCTTGACTTGAATGAGGGGCATGGCTTGACTTGAATGAGGGGCATGGCTTGACTTGAATGAGGGGCATGGCTTGACTTGAATGAGGGGCATGGCTTGACTTGAATGAGGGGCATGGCTTGACTTGAATGAGGGCATGGCTTGACTTGAATGAGGGGCATGGCTTGACTTGAATGAGGGGCATGGCTTGACTTGAATGAGGGCATGGCTTGACTTGAATGAGGGGCATGGCTTGACTTGAATGAGGGGCATGGCTTGACTTGAATGAGGGCATGGCTTGACTTGAATGAGGGGCATGGCTTGACTTGAATGAGGGGCATGGCTTGACTTGAATGAGGGCATGGCTTGACTTGAATGAGGGGCATGGCTTGACTTGAATGAGGGGCATGGCTTGACTTGAATGAGGGCATGGCTTGACTTGAATGAGGGGCATGGCTTGACTTGAATGAGGGGCATGGCTTGACTTGAATGAGGGCATGGCTTGACTTGAATGAGGGGCATGGCTTGACTTGAATGAGGGGCATGGCTTGACTTGAATGAGGGGCATGGCTTGACTTGAATGAGGGCATGGCTTGACTTGAATGAGGGGCATGGCTTGACTTGAATGAGGGGCATGGCTTGACTTGAATGAGGGCATGGCTTCACTTGAATGAGGGGCATGGCTTGACTTGAATGAGGGGCATGGCTTGACTTGAATGAGGGGCATGGCTTGACTTGAATGAGGGGCATGGCTTGACTTGAATGAGGGGCATGGCTTGACTTGAATGAGGGGCATGGCTTGACTTGAATGAGGGGCATGGCTTGACTTGAATGAGGGGCATGGCTTGACTTGAATGAGGGGCATGGCTTGACTTGAATGAGGGGCATGGCTTGACTTGAATGAGGGGCATGGCTTGACTTGAATGAGGGGCATGGCTTGACTTGAATGAGGGGCATGGCTTGACTTGAATGAGGGGCATGGCTTGACTTGAATGAGGGGCATGGCTTGACTTGAATGAGGGGCATGGCTTCACTTGAATGAGGGGCATGGCTTCACTTGAATGAGGGGCATGGCTTCACTTGAATGAGGGGCATGGCTTCACTTGAATGAGGGGCATGGCTTCACTTGAATGAGGGGCATGGCTTGACGGTCTTCTAGCAGTACAGAAAGAAAGAAATCCATCGTCTATGTTTTGAAAGAAATCCATCGGACTTCTCAAAGTGCCACAACCAGTCGGTGCCTCAGAGACGCATGCAGCAGTCATGCCTTCACAGTCGAATCATGTCACCTTGATGTCTATCTTGTTATCCTCTTCAGTTAAGTCTGAATCGAAGCTGGTTTGGGTTGGAAAGAAAGGGGGAAGGGAGGAGGAGGGGAGGTAAGGAGGGAATGTGAGGGACGGAAAGGAGCAAGAGGAGATGGAAAACGAAAAGTTGTTGCGTGCAGGGTGGTGGTTTTTGAGGCGCCTCGAAAATAGTACATACAACCAGGATGAATCCATTTCGGAATATGAAATGACAGCTCGGTAAGACTTGTACCATTGGTACAATCAAGATAAACAGATCTGTACAATTGGTAAGACGAGCGGGGGAATATTTTCAATGCATCATTCAGCTTGTGAGAGTATCAGACGCGGAATAAGTTCAACGATGCATCATGTTTGAGCGCTGCCCGCGTTTCTGCAGCACTCACTTCTCCTTGTGCAGTCTCAGGTCCGTCAATGCATCCTTAATCTTCTGCCCTGCCTGTTGGTGGACAGGGAGTACAGGGGAGGGAGTACAGGGGAGTACAGGGGAGTACAGGGGAGTACAGGGCGATAAAAAGAGTGTGAGAGGGATGAGAGGACGAAGGAGATAAGAGATGGGGAGATGGGCAAGGGAGGAGAGTGAGAAGCGGAAGCCGGGAGGACCGTTCAAGAGGGCCTTTACTAGCGGAATGGAGGCATGGCTATTAAAGCTCCTCTCAAACGGTCCGCCCATGCCTGTTGGCGGAAAAGGAAGAAAATGAAGGACAGACAGGAGAAGAAAAAGGTACGTGGCTGCCACCCACCCCTCCATTCCCCGCCTCTCCCATTCTCACCCTTGCCATCCCTACCCCCCTCCAATCTCCCCATCTTCTCATCAGTCCCATCCCCATCTCTTCGATTCTTATCTCACCTGTCCGTCTCTCAGCATGGCCGCATTCACCACCTCCGTGCCTCGGGACGACACCACCACCCTCTTGCCTCAACGCAGCCCATCCTTTTGCTCCGCACTAGTCCATCTCTTCTCATCCCACCTGTCCATCTCTCAGCATGGCCGCATTGACAACCTCCGTGCCTCGGGACGACACCACCACCCTCTTGCCTCAACGCAGCCCATCCTTTTGCTCCGCACTAGTCCATCTCTTCTCATCCCACCTGTCCATCTCTCAGCATGGCCGCATTGACAACCTCCGTGCCTCGGGACGACACCACCACCCTCTTGCCTCAACGCAGCCCATCCTTTTGCTCCGCACTAGTCCATCTCTTCTCATCCCACCTGTCCATCTCTCAGCATGGCCGCATTGACAACCTCCGTGCCTCGGGACGACACCACCACCCTCTTGCCTCAACGCAGCCCATCCTTTTGCTCCGCACTAGTCCATCTCTTCTCATCCCACCTGTCCATCTCTCAGCATGGCCGCATTGACAACCTCCGTGCCTCGGGACGACACCACCAGCCTCTTCCTCCAGCCAGAGGCCCATATCCCCATGCAAGCGCAGACGGGAGAAAAATCACGCGGCTGCCAGCCACCAACCCCTCCCATTCCCCAATGCCCTCCAACCCCACTTCGCACCTGTCCATCCTTGAGCATGGCCGCATTCACCACCTCCGCGCCTCGGGACGACAGCACCACCCTCTTCCTCCAGCCAGAGGCCCACATCCCCATGCAAGCGCAGACGGGAGAAAAATCACGCGGCTGCCAGCCACCAACCCCTCCCATTCCCCAATGCCCTCCCATCCCGCTTCGCACCTGTCCATCCTTGAGCATGGCCGCATTGACCACCTCCGTGCCTCGGAACGACACCACCAGCCTCTTCCTCCGCGGGTCCTTGTCCCTCCACACGCCCACCTGCACCGTGGACAGACAAGCTTTCAGACAAGTTAAGTGTCGACTATAGAGCCTGTTGATTCGACTCTATAGTAATCCCCAAACGACACCACCAGCCTCTTCCTCCGCGGGTCCTTGTCCCTCCACACGCCCACCTGCATGTTACACAGATAAGGGACAAGCGACCAACTGCATTTTTTCGACTCTAAAGTATTAGTCGATTTTTGAGTCGACTCAAAAATCGGATAAGGGACAAGCGACCAACCAACTGCATTTTTTCGACTCTAAAGTATTAGTCGATTTTTGAGTCGACTCAAAAATCGGATAAGGGACAAGCGACCAACTGCATTTTTTCAACTCTAAAGTATTCTCGACTCGCCACCACCATCACTCTCTTCCTCCGAGGGTCCTTGTCCCTCCACACGCCCACCTGCATGTTACACAGATAAGGGACAAGCGACCAACCAACTGCATTTTTTCGACTCTAAAGTATTAGTCGATTTTTGAGTCGACTCAAAAATCGGATAAGGGACAAGCGACCAACTGCATTTTTTCAACTCTAAAGTATTCTCGACTCGCCACCACCATCACTCTCTTCCTCCGAGGGTCCTTGTCCCTCCACACGCCCACCTGCATGTTACACAGATAAGGGACAAGCGACCAACTGCATTTTTTCGACTCTAAAGTATTCTCGACTCGCCACCACCACCCTCTTCCTCCGGGGGTTCTTGTCCCTCCACACGCCCACCTGCACGCCATAATAGAAACTCCCCATACATGATTTTAGAGGGGCAGCCGCAATGAGAAAGCCACAGTGAAACAACAGTGAAGTAACGGAACGGATAACCCTGCATCCAAGCAGGGGGTCTTGTGGAGCCGATGCGTAAAACCGTGACTCGAAATGCGACTCGAAATGCGACCGAAATGCGACTCAAATCGTGACTCAAAACGCGCCATAAAACCCACTCACCGGCACATCCAACTCTCTACTGCTAAAAAAACCCTCTTCGAGATGTCAAAAAAGGCGATATAACGATTATGAGGCGCCTAAGGAGGCATATAAACATAATCCCCATAAAGCGGCTAAAAAGGACACACACCTGCGTGTCAGACTCGCCACTGCTCAGGAAACACACACTCTCAAACGCCGACTTGAAAAACTCCGACTGCCCGCCCGCAGCTGCCCGGGAAAGGTTTTCCCAGGCGGCCAGCGTCGCGCTATTGGCTCCCGTGGCAAAAAGAGCTTCAACTGCCCGTTGGTCTGGGAGGGAGAGCCCATATGCTGCTGCTTCAGCTTCAGCTTTCGCTTCTTCCCCCTTAGAAGGAATGGCAGCTGGTGAAAATGCCGACTTGGGAAGGGGGGTGTTGATAAGCCTCTGGAGGACGGGGAGAGGCTCGAAGCTGGGAGGGGTAGGGGAGGGGAGGGCAGGGAGGAACGGCAGGCAGGGTGTGAAGAAGAGTGGGAGACAGAGTGGGAGACAGAGTGGGAGACAGAGTGGGAGCTGGTGAGAAGGCTGGAGTGCGAAGGGCGGTGGTGAGAAGGCTGGAGTGCGAAGGGCGGTGGTGAGAAGCCTCTGGAGGATGGGGTAGAGGCTCGAAGCTGGGAGGGTAGGTAAGGTAGGGAAGGGCAGGGAGGAACAAAGCGAGAGGAGTTATGAATCTGGGTGACTGGCAACTACTTGTGAATGTTGACCGTTGAGGCACTTAAATTGAGACGATGCTTAGGCGCCTGAAACGTCCTGAGAAGGGTTATTGAGCCAAGCATGGTTCGGCCAGGCCATGCAGGGAGGTTTTGTTTTGAGAATTCTCAAAAACTCTGAAACATTCTGAGATGAGAAGGGTTATTGAGCCAACCATGGTTAGGCTCTGGGGTGATTGGCAAGTACTTTTGGGAGCTTTGAGTCGTCTCAAAAGTCTGAAACATTCTGAGATGAGAAGGGTTATTGAGCCAACCATGGTTAGGCTCTGGGGTGGGGTGATTGGCAAGTGCTTTTGAGACTCCTCACAAGCATGGCCGTGAGATTACAAGCCATGAATAAAAGGAACAAGAGTTGTCGAACGCAGACAGGTGGGCTGCGGAGGTCTTACTTCCATCAACTTGTATGGTTATTAAAACGACGAGACAAACCCCATGGGATGGATGGATTTCCCAGTGAGCTTAGAGCGTTGTCACAATCATAGACGTGAGATTACAAGCCATGAATAAAAGGAACAAGGACGACAATGGTGTTGCTACGCACACCACACCTCTACCTCTCTGCCTCTCTGCCTCTCTGCCTCTCTACCTCTCTACCTCTCTACCTCTCTACCTCTCTACCTCTCTGCCCCTCTGACTCCCCGCCTCTCTGCCTCTCTGCCTCCCAACCTCTCTGCCTCCCCGCCTCGCTGCCACTCTGTCTCTTCAACTCTCTCTCATGCCTACCTTTCGCTTGGGCCTGAGAAGCTGGCATAGTCCACCTGCCATCGAAACAAGCAACCGGGATGTCAAGAGCAGCACAGGACGTGATAGCAGTCCAGACGTGATAGCAGTCCAGACGTGATAGCAGTCAAGACGTGATAGCAGTCAAGACGTGATAGCAGTCAAGATTGAATATCAGAGTTGCTATTAAGAATTCTCTGAGTAGTTTTTGAGAATTATGATAAGTGACTTCAATATAGATGCAAACAACTAGAGTACAGGATGAGAGCAATAAGGCTTCAAGTCGTCTAAATGCCCAGTGTAGTTCAAGTTGCACCGGGCAAAAGTGTAATGCGGAAGCATGATGCACATAATAGTAATAAAAAGTCTTAGCAATAATGGGCACATATAGTAGTTTCTTAGCAATAAACAAGCTGAATAATACCTTATAGAGGAGGCTGGTTCCGTCTTGTCTCAAGTTGCATGACTGGCCTTCCAACCATCACATCCACCTCCCTCACATCCACCTCCCTCACATCCACATCCCTCACATCCACCTCCCTCACACCCACCTCCCCCCAAAACCTAACCCCCACTCACACCAAACCCACCTTCCCCAGACACACCTCCCTCCCCACACCTACCTACCTCCATGGAGACGTGTAGTGAGGGTGTTTTTGAGACGTCTCAAAAACACCCTCACTACACGCACCTACCTACCTCCATGGAGACATTTCCTGTCAGCTTGCCGTCCCGAGCCACCTTGAAGCCTACCAACTACTGATGTACCCCTTCCTAACCCACCTGCCCCAAACCCACCTACCCCAGACTTAGCTCCCTCCACCAAACCTACCTCCATGGTGACGTTTCCTGTCGGCTTGCCGTCCCGAGTCACCTTGGCCACGACATCGCGAATCCGGGTGTCTGAACCAGCACACACGGAGAGGGATGGGGAGCGGTGAAGTGCGGTGAAGAGTGGTGGAGAGCGGTTTAGAGAGATGAGTGGACAAAAGCATTAGACAAGTGGAGAGCCTAGCATACCCTCACGTCACGCCCACCTTTGATCAAGTCAGTGAGGGCAATGGTGGCCGGCCGTGCTAACCACACAGCCAACCTCGACCTCCTTCTCACCATTGCTCTCACCTCAACGGTCTGAGGAGCAATGGAGGCCGTGCAAACACTCACCTCAAACTTCGACGGTCTGAGATGTCTCAATCCTCGACCTCCTTCTCAGTATAGGCACTCACCTCTACCTCGCTTCTGAGAATTCTCAAAAATGTTGCACGCTCAAAAGTGTTACATGCACGCTCCCCTTTGCTTTACACAACCTAAGCATTCATCAAGTCATGGAACGCAACCACCCCCAACTTTGATGAGGTCAGTGAGAGCAATGGTGGCCGTGCCAACCACAGTCACCTGCCATCAGCATCATCAGCCTAGCATACCCTCACCCTCACCCCCACCTTTGATCAGGTCAGTGAGGGCAATGGTGGCCGTGCCAACCACACAGTCGTGCTCGTCAGCATGATCATCAGAGTCGTCAACCCCCCCCCCCCCCCCCCCCCCCCCACACACACCCCTGCCTAACACACCCACCTCCGCCTGACACACCCTCAACCCCCACCTTTGATGAGGTCAGTGAGGGCAATGGTGGCCGTGCCCACCACACAGTCATCCTCGTCAGAATCATTATCATCATGCTTGCTGTGAAAGGTGATCTGTTGTGTTGGCAGGGCGGTGAGGACACAGATCGGGTCTACTTTTAAGGCGCCTCAAATGTAGACTCCTCGTCAGAATCATTATCATCATCCTTGTTGTGCAAGGTGATCTGTTGTGTTGGCAGGGCGGTGAGGACACAGAGCGGGAGACAGGAGGGATTCAGATATTTATTCCCTGCCAGCATACCATTGGTGAACCGTTGACCCGGTGGTGAGAAGGAAGGAGCAATCGTGTGCAGAGTTCCCCCATCGCATGCATAGGAATTATCGACGTTACATCCCTCTCAGAAAAGGAAAAACTAACTGGGGCAACCACCTAGAGCCAACAGAGCACTACCTGGGGCCAACAGAGGATTACCGAATCACCTGAGAGAGCACATAACCACCTGCAGCAAGGTGTCGGATGCAGCAGAGCGCGGCAACAGCAGCTGCAGCTGCTCGGGCCACGATGGGTTCTTTGGGCTGTAGAGAGAAGCAGGGAGGGGGGAGGGGGGGGGAGGGGAGGTGGGGAGGAAAGGGAGCCGGGTAGGCAAAGAGGGGTGGAAGAGAGGAATCACTGGGAATCACTTTTGAGAATTCTCAAAAGAATCTCAAGAGGAGGGGAGGTGGGGAGGAAAGTGAACCGGGTAGGTGGTGAGGGGTGGAAGAGAGGAATCAATTGGGGATTTTGGGCTGACGAGGTACCAGCAGCTGCAGTTGCTCGGGCCACGAGGGGTTCTTTGGGCTGAAGAGAGAAGCAGGGAGGGGGGGAGGTGGGGAGTTGGGAAGGGAAGGGGGTGGAGAGAGGGGGGGAGGCAGGGGAGGTTGAGAAGGAATGCAATCAACTGCAGTTGCTCGGGCCATGATGGGTTCTTTGGGCTGAAGAGACACAGGGAGGTGGGTGGGGGGGTAGTAGAGAGCATTTGTAGTGTGAGGATGCGATAGTTGCATGTGTTGTGATGTAATGTAAGCATGAACGTGAGCATGATTTTGAGGATGTCTGAGAGAGTGAACGTAAGAAAGAAGGTGAGATTTCGATTCAAACGTGGTAGGCAACCATGTGGTGGGCAAAACGTGGTAGGCAACCATGTGGTGGGCAAAACGTGGTAGGCAACCATGTGGTGGGCAAAACGTGGTAGGCAACCATGTGGTGGGCAAAACGTGGTAGGCAAACATGGTAGTCACATGGTAGGACCCCAGCTCACTCCTGAAATCACTTTTGAGAATTCTCAAAAGTGATTTCAATATAACATGGTAGGCAACCATGGTAGGCAACCAAGGACCCCAGCTCACTCTTGGGCCTTCACGGTAGTGTGAGCGGCACCATTCCACGTGGCCGCCTTCCCTGCTGACGTCACCAGTGCCAGCTCAGCATGGAGCGCCTTGATGTTGCCCTGGAGGATAGAAGATGGGGTGAGAGAGGGGTAGGACAGACGGAAAATTCTGGGTCGAAAGAGAGAGCGAGTAAGTGAGCGTGAGCGAGTGAGTGAGTGAATGAGAGAACGAGATTGAGAGAATTAAAGAGCGAGTGAGTGAAGGAGAGAAGGGAGTGAGTAGGTGGGTGCATGTCGTACCTTCACTCATAATACCTTCCATGCACAGGGAGCAGCAACGGCTCAAAGGCCAAGGGCGTGGAGATGACGAGAGGTGACGAGGTGTGAAGAGAGATGAAAAGGGTGAAGCAGTGGGAGAGCGAGGTGCCATACCGTGGCAAGGGCGCAAGAAAGATCTCTTGGGCCGTGGGCGTGGAGGTGAAGAGAGGTGAGGCGGTGGGTGAGTGAGAGTAAGTGAGTGAGTTAGTGGGTGAGCAAGTGAGTGAGTGAGTGAGGGAGCGAGCTGCCATACCGTGGCTGTAATCGCTCGCACGGAGAGCTGCCCCTGAAAGAGCTCGTGGGCGAAGGGCGTGGAGGTGAAGAGAGCCGAGCACTGCCGCCCGTCCACGTCCGATAACTTATCACTTCCCTGTGGTGTAAGTTATGGGGGGGAATGAGGGATGGACGGGAAATGCGGCAAGGCCATGCAAAAGCACTGCCGCCCGTCCACGTCCGATAACTTATCGCTCCCCTGTAATGTGTAGGGTATGGAGGCCAATGAGGATGCAGGTTCTTAAAGGGGAAATGAGGCAATGAAGGAACAGCAGAGCACTGCCGCCCGCCTACGTCCGATAGCTTATCGCTTCTTTGAAGGGTGTCGTGTTGGTATCGGTGGGATGAGGAGGGTTTCTTAACAAGGAACAGCAAAGCACAGCCGCCCGTCCGCATCCGATCCGATAGCTGATTGCTTCCCTGGAAGAGGGAATGGTGGCTGAAAAGAGGAGATTTTTGAGAATTCTCAAAAATCACTTGAGAGGGAATGGTGGCTGAAAAGAGGAGACGGCGGGAGGATGATAGACAAGGCAGGGGGGAAGCGCTTCACACCTCACCCTCCCACCAACCAGCCTCAACCCTCCCTACGTTCCCCTTTCCCGTCCTTCCATCATTCCGTCCCCTGCTTCCCGTCATTCCGGCTTCCTCCGGATCCCATGCGTCTTACAGTGGGATTTTTTATATATTTATTTATTTATTTATTTTGGTCGACACAAGAATTACATTACAGTGGGAGTAGAGTACGCCTTATTTTCTGAACGGATTGTGCTTTCTCTAATGAATTGGTGTGCATCCATCCAATCCCGTAGTACGACCCCGTCTTACAGTGGGAGTCGAGTACGCCTCAAACGCGAATCCGCCCAATAAAACCGCCAGCCGCAGGTCGAACGGGACACCTTCAGCCGCAGCAACTCCCGGCGCAACTTTCGGCGCGATTCCCGCCGTGGATCCCGCGCCGGCGGCTGCCTTAGACGACCCGAAGGTCGTCAGCGCGTCTTTAAGAACCGACGCGCCGCCGCCAGCTGCGGCGCCGGATGTCCCGCTGCTGCTGCTGGCGGATGCGGAGGGGACGCGGAGCGGAGTCCGCGGTGGCGGGCGGCGGCTGGCGCACGCCACCGCGGACGGCGGCGCGGCGGAGAGGCGGCGGCCGGCATAGGAGGAAGTTAAGCTGCAAAGGGGGAACCGTCGTGGCGAAGGGATGCCGGCAAATCGAAGGAGAATAAAACGACGAATTAGAATTCCAAAAGGTGAAATCCGAATACTGCGAAAAGTTTGTCTGACAGGGCTTGGCTGGGACATTCATGGCTCCTGCTATTGCCGACACGCGACCCGATCCGATCTGGTAAAATAATTTATTGGGTGTAGAAAATGCTATTACCTTGAGAGAGAGAGCGTGTACGGGGGATGGCGATCCAGTTGGGTCGCGAAAGCGGCACGGGGAGCGAGCGACACGGAGGCAACATGTACTGAAGCCATGGCGCGAAAGCTGTTTTGAAGTCTCTTTTGAGAACTTCAAACGCGACTCAGCACTATGATGAGGCAAACCACAGACGAGGATTTTTCTGCTGGAAATGGGAAAATCTTGGAGCTGCGGAATGCGTCCTGAGAGTGGAACTTTCTCTGAAAGAAACGGAAATTCGGAAACCAGATCCACAGCGTCAGCATGAGGTCGATGGGGGGCAAACGAGAGGGGAATGATTTCTCCGCATTATCCTTCGCCTGCCTCCCAAATGAGAGGAAAATCTGCGCTGCGCAAGGACCTAGCGTGCGGAATGAATCTCGCTCGACGGCAAGCGAAGTTGGGGACCTGTAGGTAGAGGACAAAATAGAAGATCCGGCAGCGCCGAATGCCGATGTTCTGCCGCCGTTACGGACGGAAGCGGATGCTGCTGCCTGTGGGTCTGTCGGCAGTAGTGACAGGCAGAAAAGATGCTGTTTGACTGACTAGCAGCGGTTACTAACTACTAGTGGAGACTTGCAGATGTGACACCAAACCGCCTTTGTCATTGGCACTAAGCTGAATCTGGAGGAAAAGGAATTTCAAAAATGGGCGGGAAAGCTACTCTGCCGCGAAAAGGGGGAGCGGGTCAGGTCAAGGGGGAGCGGGTGGGGGCGAAGAGACCGTTTTGTCAGTTCCGCTTTAGTGCGCAGTGCTCTGCAACCGAGGGGGGCTTCCGCGGCTGCGGATGCCTGAGTTTCATTCGACCCAACCCCTGCTACTGCGTGACTCGATAATGGAAAGCACCAAAAGGAACAATTATCTCAGTTACAAAGCAGATCATCATACAACATCTTGCTTAGTGTACCATGCTTGTAAATTTATTCACCAGGGATACTGAAGCAAGTCTTATGCACTTACACAGCACAAAATCATGCAGCTTCAAACTTGCAGCTACCACAATCAACAGGCTAAGTGTGATACAACTACCGTACCAAACCCCTCAACTCGCGCTCCCTCCAGGGCTTACCATCCAATGTTACCATCACCAATACGGTAAGGTTGTAGCACATTGGCATACACCAATGTTATTAATCACCAGCTCTCACAGTAATTGTACCATTCACCAAAGGTGATTTTACATGCTGGCTATGCTAATATAGCTAGATGTTGGCTCCACCAATGGTATCGTCCATAAGCTCTTCACAGTACTGCCTTGTGACATCTGGCTCATGGGAGGATGGAGGAAGGGGAGGTGACATGGACTACACTTATGAAAAGAATCACTGGAAACGGGACAGCTACCATGGGATTGCAGAGTTTTCCAACAGCACTTACACCGAACAGCACCGCACCACACCGCACTGCACTCACCGTGTTGCATGGTCAATGCAGGCTTGGGTTCCGAGAGCGTTCCAACCACCTTGGCTGGTGTGCCTGCCACCATGCTGTGAGCGATGCGGGGAAGGGTGGGGGGGAAGAGGGCAAGGGTGTGATATCAAAGAGGGACGATGCAGGGCGAGGTAGATTGAACAAGACTGTTGAGAAGGCTTGCGCACCCAATCAAAGAGGATGCTGGCTCAGAGATGGTTTTTGAGAATTCTCAAGTCCCAACCACCTTACATGGTGTGCCTGCCACCATGCCCCGAGTTCTGAGTCGACTCAAAACTCGAATCAAAGAGGATGCTGGCTCAGAGATGGTTTTTGAGAATTCTCAAGTCCCAACCACCTTACATGGTGTGCCTGCCACCATGCCCCGAGTTCTGAGTCGACTCAAAACTCGAATCAAAGAGGATGCTGGCTCAGAGATGGTTTTTGAGAATTCTCAAGTCCCAACCACCTTACATGGTGTGCCTGCCACCATGCCCCGAGTTCTGAGTCGACTCAAAACTCGAATCAAAGAGGATGCTGGCTCAGAGATGGTTTTTGAGAATTCTCAAGTCCCAACCACCTTACATGGTGTGCCTGCCACCATGCCCCGAGTTCTGAGTCGACTCAAAACTCGAATCAAAGAGGATGCTGGCTCAGAGAGCGTCCCAACCACCTTACATGGTGTGCCTGCCACCATGCTCCGCGCGATGGGGGAAAGTGGGAGGGTGGGGGGGTAGAGGGCTAGAGTTGAGCTGTGAATCAACTCAAGAAGGGGTTCTGTTCTGACTGAAGGCGTCCCAACCACCTTGGCTGGTGTACCTGCCACCATGCTGTGCGCGATGGGGAAAAGGGGGAAAGGGGGAAAATGAGTGAATATATCGATATGGATGCAGGGGCGAGCTGGATCGAACAAACACTACTGAGAAAGCACGGCCTCCTGCGGCCAAGGTGGTTGTGGCTGTGTGTCAACCATCACTGCCTAGAGGCTATAGCATACTTGTGGGGAGGCACGGCACGTCTTTCAGCACCAGTGAGCCTGCAGCGATGAAGGAGCCCTGGCCGATGCGGATGTTGTGGAGTTGAGGCAAAGCATTTGGCGACATCAACTATCAAAGGCAAACCTGTGGGGTGTAACGTCCTTCAACACGAGTGACCCAGCAGCGATCATGGAGCCCAGCCCGATGCTGATGTTGCCCAGCACTGTCGCCCATGCTGCAGGAGGGCCTGCTTACATCGTCTACAGCTGGCATACCTGTGAGGAGGAACGTCCTTGAGCACCAGGGACCCAGCAGCAATCATGGAGCCCTGGCCGATGCTGATGTTGCCCAACACAGTCGCCCCTGCTCCAATCAGCACATCCTCCTGCACCTTGGGATGCCTGTCACCCGCTTCTTTTCCTGTCCCTCCTAGAGTCACTCCCTGGAACAAGTACAGGTAGGTACGCACAGTGGGTGGGGGAAGGAGGGAAGGGTGGAGTTGGTTGGTTGGAAGAGGCTGATGTTGCCCAGCACTGTCGCCCCTGCTCCTATCAGAACATCCTCCTGCACCTTGGGATGCCTGTCCCCCGCCTCCTTGCCCGTCCTTCTGGACTTTAGGATGCCTGTCACCTGCTTCCTTGCCCGTGCCTCCTAGGGTGACGCCCTGGCAGGTCACAAGAGGAGAGGGTGGGTGGTGGAGAATGAGATTGAGGATAAGTGCAGCCGCCACTCCTTCGATGAGAATGCCTCTGTTGCAACCGAACACGCACGCACACACCCACACCCACCCATCCATCAGAATGCCCCAGCTAGTGCTGCTTAGCATGCACACACCCCTGTAACACACTCTCCCTCTCCTTTGCTCACCTGCACTGCAGCAACGACACCCTATCCTCAACAACCGCCGTCTCGCCAATCACCACGCCCGTGCCATGATCCATCAGAATGCCTCTGCTACTGCTGCCTTGCACGCACACACACCCCTGTAGCGCACTCTCCCCCTCCTTCTCACCCGCATTGAACTCTCTCCCTTCTCCTCACCTGTAAAAGAGACACCCTATCCCCCACGATAGCCGTCTCGCCAATCACCACGCCCGTGCCATGGTCCATGAGAATGCCCCTGCCGATGCGCGCTGCTGGATGGATGTCCACTGCAAACACCTGGGGGGGATTAGAAAGGGAGTGGAGTCTGGAGATGTTAAGGGAGGAGTGTCAGAGTGCGGGGGTGGGGCAGCTGTCGTCACATGGACGCCTGTCAATGGTCCATGAGAATGCCCCTGCCGATGCGGGCTGCTGGATGGATGTCCACTGCAAACACCTGGGGGAAATCAGAGGGGAGTTGGAGTGAGGTTCAGGGGGAATGGTCGGGTGCGTGGGGACTGGGAGGTGCTGAGAACGTGTGGGTTGCCAAGACATGGGCGCCTGTCCCATTGTCCACTGTGAGAGGCACAACGCCCGTGCCATGGTCCATCAGAATGCCTCTCCCGATACGGGCTGCTGCTGCTGGATGGATGGATGCCCGCTGCAAACACCTGCGATGAAAAGGGAGGAGAGGGTTGGTGGGGACATCGAGGAGGAGAGGAACGCATGTTAGAGCGGCTGGATGGATGCGATGCGATGGGACCCATAGTTTAGTTTTGAGGCGGCTGGATGGACGACGATGACATCAGATCAGATCAGGTTGATGTGGGCAGCTGGATGGATGTCCACTGCAAAGCAAACACCTGCCGGAGAGAGGGGAGAGGAGGGAAGTGGGGGGTAGTTGGAAAGAGGTGTGTGGGCAATGTGGTATGACTGCAGAGGTCCAATGCGGTGATTGCGGAGGTTCAACTAAGAGGTGTAGTTAGTCGATTTTTGAGTCGACTCAAAAATCAACTAACTACGAGAGGTGTGTGGGCAATGTGGTATGACTGCAGAGGTTCAATTAAGAGGTGCAACAATGCAGCGAATACGTGTGCTTCCCACCTCTGAGATGCGCGACTGCAGTGCCAGTGCCAGGATGCGCTGGCCTCGGTTCCACAAGGCGTGCGCGATGCGATACGACTGCAGCGCGTGGTAACCCTGGGGGATGGGTCGGCCAATCAAAACAAGAGAGCAAATGTTTATGAGTGACATGGGGGGTGACTGAGGTAGGGCGGCAGGCGAGGAGGGCATGCGAGGAGGGCAGGGAGGAGGGATGACAGAGGGGGGTCGTGAAAAGCATCTCGCCATAAACAAAGAAAATACTCGTTTTCTTAACAAAACAACCTGCTGTCTGTCTCCCCTGTCTACTACCGGTGTTAACCGTTCCACACCACACCCACTACCTTGACTTTTGAGTCGACTCAAAAGTTGACTTTTGAGTTGACTTTTGAGTCGACTCAAAAGTCAACCTGCTGTCTGTCTCCCCTGTCTACTACCCAGAGTTCACCGTTCCACACCACACCCACTACCTCCCCAAAACTCAGTTCTGAGCATGCAGTGAACCACACCTTCGAGTGCGTTAGATTGCTGCATACACATTACATAGCACCTCCCAGCACCACTCTCCTGCTCCAACGCTCTCTCTCTCACCTTGTAGTAAAGGAGTGCATTGGAGTAGGATCGGCAGGAAGGCACTTGGGCCTGCACACCCATCCAGGCCCTCCAGCACCTCCTCCCAGCACCTCTCAGCACCACTCTCATTACCGTGCAGTACCACCCAACATCCTTACTCTCTCTCACCTTGTAGTAAAGGAGTGCATTGGAGTAGGATCGGCAGGACGGGTCCCGGTCCCGCACAGCCTGGCCAATCAGAGCAGGGCATTGTGCCACGAGGGACAAAGAAAAATGGGATGGGATGAAGTGGCATAAAATGAAATGGGATGGGGTGTGATGGGATTTGATGGGATGAAATACGGCATGGGATGAAGCAAAGAATCAGGCATGGCATGGCAGGAATATGGGTTCACACAAAAAAAACATCTGCACAAGCACAAATAGCCCATCCACCAGCAACTACCTATCTGCACTATTGTTTTCAACAGCCATGGAGCATCCACTTGTAACACTGGCTTGCGTTCGTAAAACAAACAGTATGGGGAGAGATTCTTCAGTGTTGCTTGTTTAGCAAAACGGTAGCATTCCAGCACTCACGGCAGCTCCAAATCTCAACCTCTCTTGATCTGTTCCCAAGTAGTCAGCAACCCTCGCTACAGCGCTTGTATCATGCCTTCCGTGAGGCCGTTAAACTGTGAATGGTTCCTGCTGTTCAGCCGGTGCATGGTTTCCAATTCTGCCAACATCTTGCCAAACACTCTCGCACTTCTGACAAGAGCGGTGCACTAATACGCTAATAATGAATTCACCGATAATTCGAGTAGTGTTCAAAGTGATGATCGCAGAGTTGGAAATCAAGCACCGGCTGACCCCCAGGTACCATCCACAGTCAGGACAACCTCAGGGAATGCATGATGCAGACGGTATCCCAAGGGTTGCGCATTGTATGAGAAACAGAACGAGACAGGTTGAGATTTGGACCTGTCGTGGACGTTGACGGGCTACTGTTTTGTTGAGCAAGCAGCACTGAAGAATCTATCCTTGTACTATTTTTTTTTATGGACGGGAGCTTGTGTTACCAGTACAAGGTCCACGGCTGCTGCAAGCAGGAGCTTATCAGCTACACCGCCAGCAGTGACAAGTACTTATCTGTGCCTTCTCATATAGTAGCCTATCCACCAGCCCAACCTCCTTCCACACACACACACACACACACGCACGCACGCACGCACACACACACGCACGCACGCACGCACACACACACGCACACACACACACACACACACACACACACACACACACACGTGTGCGCGCGTGCACACCCACACCCATACACACACACACGCATACACAAGCGCGCGCGTGCGCCAACCTACACACACCTGCACGTCTGCCCTAACCTAATAGCAGCTGTGATATTAGGCAGCATGAGCACGGAGTCAAATACGTCCATCAGCTGCGTCGCCAGTAGCTACCAGCACAACTGCCCAAGTAGCCCAAGTAGCCCAAGTACCAGGGACGCACAGTCACCAGTCCACACACCCAATCATACCTGCACATCCGCCCTAATGGCTGCTCTGATATTGGGCAGCATGAGCACCGAGTCAAACACGTCCATCAGCTGCGTCGCCAGCAGCGTCACGTTCTGCAGGCGGTTGGCCAGCACGAATCCCAACGATCGCTCAAAGCAGGAGTGCGCGAGGATGGACGCGTACAGAAAACTGCTCAGAATCGGCTCTCGCTCTGCCTGCACATGGATGGAGATTGGGAGAGAAGGGAAGGTTGGGAGAGAAGGGAAGGTTGGGGAAAAGGGGTGTGGGCCAGCAGTGCAGCGTCACGTTAGAAGGGCGATTAAAGAGCATGAAGTGATTATTGAGGCGCCTCAAAAACCACCTCAATGCAAGCGGGAGGTTGGGGGAAAGGGATGTGGGCCAGCAGAGTCACGTTATAAGGGCGGTTGGAGAGCATGCAGCTCAGGGATTGCTTGAACTTGAACCGGGAGTGGGCGAGCGAGGATAACGGCGAAGAGGAAGCTGCTGAGAATGAACTCGAGAGAGAAAACAAGCATTACGTTCATTCTCAGCAGTTTCATCAAACGTGTCAAACAAGCATCCCGGTTCGAGCGACCCCTGGGCTGGGCTTCCTCGACGGCTGACGTTTGCTGAGTCAAACGTTTGCTGACTTGAGTCAAACGTCGGCGCCTATTGAGACGTCTCAAACGTTTGCTGACCTGAGTCAAACGTCGGCGCCTTTTGAGACGTCTCAAACGTTTGCTGACCTGAGTCAAACGTCGGCGCCTTTTGAGACGTCTCAAACGTTTGCTGACCTGAGTCAAACGTCGGCGCCTTTTGAGACGTCTCAAACGTTTGCTGACCTGAGTCAAACGTCGGCGACCAGCCCACAGTCCCCTCACACCCTCCCACCCTCACTCTCTCCCCTCCCCTCCACTCCACTCCACCATCCCTCCTTTCTCCATTCCCTCACCTCGAGTCTCGCCTCCGCGCGGATGGCGGCCCAGATGGGGTCGCTCATTGAGTAGTCCGCACCCCCGCGCGCCACCGCATCCATTCCCATCGCCCCTGCCATCGCCCCCATGCCTCCCCCCATCGCTCCCCCCATCGCCCTCCCCATCGCTCCCCCCATCCCTCCCCCCATTCCTCCCCCCATTCCTCCCCCCATCCCGGCGCTCCCCCCCTCCGCGCCCTCCCTCCCCCCCGCGCGTATACCCCTGCCGGCAGCGCCGTTCGGACCTGCGCTCGCGGGAGCGGGCCACGTGGCGGGCCGTGATACGTCGTCCCAGGGGAGGGGGTACGACGGGGGAGCTTGGCTGCGGCTGTGCATATAAGCGGGGAACATCCACGCGGGGTCAACGTCTACACGACTATTACTAGTATTATTATTGTTATTGAAACTATTATTACTATTATTGCTGGTGTTTGTGTACGCGCCGCGTAATCCTGTCCATTCGTCGTCCATCGACGGTTGTGAGGGTGGTGTGGAGGAAGGAGAGTTGGTGGAAGGGGGTTGTTTGTTGGACGGAAGCGGCTTTCGCAGAGGAATAAACGAAGGATCATCTGAGGGGAGACTGCCGTCTGGCATTTTGGTCGCACGAACTCGCTGGTGCTGTCGTCGTCGCAAGGCTCGTCGCACGGGTTGTCGCACAGGTTGTCGCACGATGCGAAGGCTGTTCGTTTGGGTGATTAGCCCGACCGTCTCGAGCGATACGTTGTGGTTCGGTACGGATTGGTGCGGTGAAATGCAGAGCGCCGCAGTGCGGTTCGACATTGTGAAGTCCCTAGCGCGAGCTGTATGCAAAGGAGACGCACGGAGCGACCTGCTGCCGAGGGCCGCCATGGTGACACGTGGCGAGATACGAACCTTATCGTGCCGACGTGGCGAGTCACACGACAAGGAACAATGAAGAATCACAAAACGAGACGAATAAACCGCGATCTGAGATTAACCTGCCGGGCTTTGGCCTGTTACAAGTTCTATGCAACAAATAGAAGCGGGAGATTTTACCTCTTTGGCCGAAACTTAGGTCCCTAGGTCACGACGAATTTACTACGCGTATGGTTGCTGCTGGTTCCTAAGAAATTGCCGTGCCCAATGCTGCTAGCTTTCACACCGCTGGCGGCGAGGCGATTATCCGTTCTGTCAGGAAAATTCATTTGCGTGAGCACTTTCTTTGAAGATCATGACAGAGCCAAAAATCGTACTGTACCCGTACTGTGTACCGAGGGAAGTCTGATTTACCGAAGAAAGCTACAACTGAACCAACAACCTCGGTTCCCGATAACACGCACTCGTGAGAACAGCAAACTTGACAACAGCTTACTGAAATTGGAAACAGTTCTTTTCAAATATAGTGATACAAAAATAGACTTCATTTCTCGCACGTTGCAGCGAAGCACCTAGTTTCTCGGAACATGTTTTCGCCTGCGACCGTGGGCGACGCCGATCGATCGCGGCTGTCACCTGTGGCGCGATGTGCCCTCCCCAGGGGTGACGTTTCAAATTAAGCCTCCCTGATTCCGGGGAAAAATTTTCCCCTCTATTATGAGTGCACATTTTTCAAAATGATGCTACCCTGATTGCTCAGGGTTGAAAAGTATGTAACTCTGATTGTTCAGGGTCGAAAATCGAAGATCAGAGTACCGTAGTTCATGCGCCCTTTTTTACCGGGGAAAGTCTCGCTTTGCTGGATCGGGGGGGATGGATCCGGTCACCGTACTGGAAGCTTGCGTCTTGCATACAAAACGTACACAACCGTGTAAAACCGCGGTAAAAAACGAACATGTGGCGATCAATTCTCCACTTACCGCGTCCTAAGTCTGCGCTCTGTGTTTCGCGCACACCTTGTGCGCGCTAATTTCCAACCTTTTAGTTTGACGAAACAATATTTATCCGCACACACGTTTTAGCGCGGGGAAGAGACGAGCGATTTCGGTCAACCAAACATTTCGATTCGATACCACAGATGTGCCAAGTTTTTAATTCGCCGAGTACCAGAATAGCGCCAGCATCGCTGTGCGAAACGCTAAATAAGTCTGGTAACTTTACGCACCCGCAATTACGACAGTAGAATGACTATTTGGAATGCATGACAGTATCTTAAATTGAGTGTACTCACATGTCAGACATGCTGCTGTCCGTCGCTCACGCGCTGGCTGTACAGCCCTGCTGTACCGCGATCAATCTGAAGAAGAGTATCGGAAGGAAATTTCCAGAAACCTTCGTTCCGATACCCTCGCAGGGTCCACATGACGCGTACTCTACATTGACAGAGTCATTAAAAACACTACTCTGAGCCTGGATACAAGATTTCAGGGTTCGCTAAAGTCCTTATCTGAATGGATCAGAGTTCACAAGTCACAAATTCTGAAATGGCAGGGACCACCAAGTGATAAGCCTATAATCACCCTGAAATCAGGGTAATTACCCTGATAAAATCAGCCCTGGCCCTCCCGCCAACCCAAACGCACGATCGATGTGTGCACCAGTGCACATCGAACGTGCGGGCTGCGGGTGCCACCATTTTGGTGCCCCGTTTACTGTACATTCTCGACGTTATGCGGAAGACGGATACCAGTCATTGGCGATGTCGTTAATACACTGTACAAGCGGCACATCGATCCCCTCCCACGATCGATCCTGGCAAAGTCAAAACAGGTGCCGCGTCCTAAAGCATGGCTCGTGTTGGAAACAGCAAATCATAAAACGCCTCTGTCGTGTCGAAACATCACACCAGAAGCGAAGCGAACCATATCGAGGCACACGCGAGTCAACCCTCGGAGGTTGAAAGAGGTTGCCGGAGGTTACGCGAAAGTCAAAGGTCAGCGACCTTTGACCTGACAAGTACAGCGCGACAGCAAGGACACACAACTGACTCGCTACAGAGCAGTTGCCCGAGTCGTCACTGTATCGAACCGCAACAGCAACAGTAAAGTAGTTACAACTGTATCCTTTCATATTCCTTGTACTCATATATAAATGCTTGTATCTCTTTGCTTTAATCAACTTACTTTGCCCTCACATACCAGCGCAAGGTGGTTCACAAGCTTTCATTAAACGCTTCCGCTATTACAATTGTCCTACCCGAATTTACCCCTGCAAAGATCCTAGGGCTGCCTCAGCCCAACAGCTCGTACACCCAGTTTCTCGCCAGTGTGAATTCGGTTATAATAAAGTCAAGATGGGAAAAGCACGGTTAACGGTGGTCAAAATACGTTTTCGTATGGTTTATTCAGGCAAATCAAATGTAACAAGGTTTGCCACCAGTTCGGCACAGTTCAGTGTAGCGAGAAACAGGGTGTACAATGATCCACGTCCCATCAGCTCATTACAGAAAGCATATCTATACAGACACATTCAGCACAACCGATGCTTCAAAACATTCACCAAGCATCAAAGTTTCCGTAAGAGCTTGGCTGGGCCTTTTTTACCGGAACTGGGGGTGGACCCATAGCCTTCGAAGCAGACCCACTGGCTTCAGTGCTTTTTGCCACTGCTGGGTTCAAATACTTGCCGATACCTTGCGACTTGAAGACTTTCGGCGCCTCTTTGCCTGCCAAGGGGTTGCTGTACCAACTACCCACAGCATCCTGCGATTATGGAATGGGTTTTGTAGGGACGGGGTAGGGGGGAGAAAATATGTGACAAGGGCAGGAAGGAAGAGTTACCAGTACCGGTACTTGCTGATTGGGAAGGGAATACGTCTGGGTGCTAAAAGGAGAACAAGCAGTAGTGGAATGGTTGATTGAGAACTGCACATGTTTTGGGCTTGGATTAGCGCTGTGACTGATAGCCACATTCCAAAACCGTTTTTCCAACAAAATGCTTTTATCCTCTTCCCAAAGGGCACAGCACAGACACACGCCACCATACCATCTCCTCTTGCTCCTCCCACGTCAGCTCCTTGCCCTTCCTCTCTTTCTCCTTCTCCCTCCTCACCGCTGCCTCCTCCTGTTGACGTGTCACAACATACTACTACAAACACACAAACACAGCAGCAAGCACACACGCCAACTTACCAGTTCCTGTTGCTCCTCCCAAGTCAGCTCCTTGCCCTTCCTCTCCTTCTCCTCCTTCTCCCTCACTGCTGCCTCCTCCGCCTCTGCCTCTGCATCCACCTCCGTGTACGGATTCACAAACACTGTGATGCTCTCTATCGTGATGGGTTTCTGGAGAGCACAGCACATACAGGGAAGCACGGAAACAGGATGCAAGCAAGCGTTGGAATAAGAAATTCCTCCCACCACACGACTAAACACCGGGTGCTTGTAGTTGAGGTGAGGGACGGTGCAGTGGAGTACAGTGCAGTTAGGAGGGGTGCAGTATGGTGGAGTGGGGCCTAGTGCGGTGGGTTGCAGTTAAAGCATCTCACCAAGGGCCTGTCTTTATCGTCCACAGCACTCCTCTCCATGGCAGTCAGGGTCTCCATACCCCCCACCACACGCCCAAAAACAGAATGCTTGTAATTTAAATGAGGCGCCGACTTGAAGAGCACAAAGAACTGCGAGCCGTTAGAGTGAGGGCCGCTGTTAGCCATGGACAGCACGCCCCTCTCGCTGTGGCCCAGCCGCGAGTCAAACTCGTCCTGAAACGCCTTGCCCCACGCCGACTGGCCTCCTTTGCCCGTGCCCGTGGGGTCTCCCCCTTGAATCATGAAATTGCTGGGGAGAAGAGGGGGATTGAGGGGGGATGCGTGGGGGAGAGGGAGTGGGTGAGTGGACGGCGATATGGGGACAGGAAAGGCAGGGCAAAGGAACGATTGGTGGGAGGGAGTGAGTGAGTGCGGGCCGCTGTTGGCCATTGGGGGCACTCCGCGCTCGCTGTGACCCGGCCAGTCATAGACCGTTGAAGTAAACGACCGACTTGTGCTGGCATGTACCGGATGCATGTATTTGAATGGAGCGAGCAGGTAGCAGCACAGCACGTACCAGATGCAGCAGTGGAAGATGGTGCCATTGTAGTAATTGACTTTTGAGTCGACTCAAAAGCCAACATGGAATGGAATGGAAGCGAGCATGTGGCACAGCAGCACGCACCGGATACAGCGGTGGAAGATGGTGCCGTTGTAGTACCCCCTCTATGCGAGCGTCAGGAAGTTCTCAAACATGCCGGGGACAACATGGGATGGGAACAAGCATGTGGCACGGCAGCACGTACCGGATACAGCGGTGGAAGATGGTGCCGTTGTAGTACCCCCTCTATGCGAGCGTCAGGAAGTTCTCAAACATGCCGGGGACAACATGGGATGGGAACAAGCATGTGGCACAGCAGCACGTACCGGATACAGCGGTGGAAGATGGTGCCGTTGTAGTACCCCCTCTATGCGAGCGTCAGGAAGTTCTCAAACATGCCGGGGACAACATGGGATGGGAACAAGCATGTGGCACGGCAGCACGTACCGGATACAGCGGTGGAAGATGGTGCCGTTGTAGTACCCCCTCTCCGCCAGTGTTAGAAAATTCTCGCACGTCCTTGGGACGATATCGCAGTGAAGCTCCACGTTCAGATCGCCCGCGCTCGTGTGCACCCGGCAGTACCCCTTCTTCTTTGGCTTCTTCTCCACCCTCACCATCTCATACTCCGTCTTTGTCACCGGCTCATACACCGTAGAAGTAAACGACCTTGTAGTCGCTCCCGAGGTATATGCGCTGCGGACCAGCTTCGTGTTCTCTTTGATAGGGACTCTCTGCCCTGCTGCGTGCGCGGCTGCGCGTGCGTGCGCTTTTTTCTCGTCTGTCGCCTTGGCGGCGGCGGCGCTGCGGCCGGAGAGAGCAGCACTCGCCGCATCGACGATGCTCATAGGAGGAGGAGGGGCGCCCGTGCCTCCTCCTCCTGCTGCTCCTCCTGCTGCTCCTCCTGAACCAGCAGCACCAGCGGAGGTTGCTGCACTGCCGGCGATTGAAGGGGCTTCCATTTCTCTCTGTCTTTGCAGAATCTGCTGCTGCACGTGCTTCTTCTGCTGCTCGGCTTCCCGCTCCTCTCCCCGCTTCCTCTTCCCCTTCTCCCCACCACTTCCCTTTCCTTTACCAACTCCTCCTTCCCCTCCCGCTCCTCCTTCCCCTGCTTGCTCGCTGCCCTCTGCCCCCTCTTGTGCAGCTAAAGCTTCTCTAGCAGCGGCGGCGGCAGCAGCAGCAACCTCTTCTGCTTTCCTTGCCTCTATCGCTGCTGCTGCCGCTGCTGCTTCCTTGCTTGCCTTGCTGCCTCCCCCACCCAGCAGCAGCTGGGATGCACCCTGGCAGAAGGAGACAACGGGAATGGGAATAACTATGCAAGTTACTTGTATAAGATACTGGAAAATGTATTTTTAAGTGATACCACCCCAAAAAACCAGGAACCAAATCAGCACACCCCAGACAAGCCCCCCCCAGATGGACCTACCCTGGATGAGCCGACTGCAGCCTCATTGCCATCCTTTTTTGGAAGGGCAGCCAGAACACGCTGAATGCTGAATGCAACCCAGAATAAACCCAGAAGAACCCAGAATAAACCCAGAAAACCCCAGAATAAACCCAGAAGAACCCAGAATAAACCCAGAAAACCCCAGAATAAACCCAGAAAAACCCTCCCCGGATAAGCCTACCCTGGATGAGCCGACTCCAGCCTCCTCGCCATCGTTCTTGGGAAGGGCAGCCAGAACGCGCTGAATGCTCTCAGAGACCGCTGCGTTCACTCCCGATGCTGATGCACCACCCTCGCCTGGCAGGAGGGGAGGAACGGAAGGAATAGGGGGCATTGGCATGGCAGGAAGGCAGTCAGTAAAAGCCAGAACGTGCTGAATGCTCTCTGACAACACTGAAATGATTTCCACGGCTCACCTTCCTTTTGAGTCGACTCAAAAGTCAGCTCTGACAACACTGAAATGATTTCCACGGCTCACCTTCCTTGGGAGCTGCGAGGTTCTGCTTGACGTGGTCAAACTCTGTGAGCACCTTGGCGTCCAGATTGTTGGGGTCCTGGCGGAGGAAGAGGGGAGGGATGGAAGGACGGGACAACAGGGAGAGATGGGACGGAAGAGACAGAGAGATTCTCTGGAGCTGTGAGGGCTGTGCTGTGCTTGACGTGGTCGAACTCTGTTAGCACCTTGGCGTCCAGATTGTTGGGGTCCTGCAGAGGAAGAGCGGGAAAAGGATGAGCGCATTCTCATCCAGATTGTTGGACCCCAGGGAGAGAAGAGGGATGGAGGGAAGGAATAGAACAGGGCGAAAAGGATCACAGGGAGGGAGGGGAAGGAAGAGACAGAGAGATTCTTTGGAGCTGTGAGGGCTGGGCTGTGCTTGACGTGGTCGAACTCAGTTAGCACATTGGAAGGAATAGAACCGAGCGAAAAGGATCACAGGGAGAGAGGGGAAGGAAGAGACAGAGAGATTCTTTGGCGCTGTGAGGGGTGTGCTTGACGTGGTCGAACTCTGTTAGCACATTGACATCCAGATTGTTGGGGTCCTGAAGGTTATATGGAAATCACTTTTGAGAATTCTCAAAAGTGACATTCTTTGGCGCTGTGAGGGGTGTGCTTGACGTGGTCGAACTCTGTTAGCACATTGACATCCAGATTGTTGGGGTCCTGAAGGTTATATGGAAATCACTTTGAGAATTCTCAAAAGTGACATTCTTTGGCGCTGTGAGGGGTGTGCTTGACGTGGTCGAACTCTGTTAGCACATTGACATCCAGATTGTTGGGGCCCTGAAGGTTATATGGAAATCACTTTTGAGAATTCTCAAAAGTGACATTCTTTGGCGCTGTGAGGGGTGTGCTTGACGTGGTCGAACTCTGTTAGCACATTGACATCCAGATTGTTGGGGTCCTGAAGGTTATATGGAAATCACTTTTGAGAATTCTCAAAAGTGACATTCTTTGGCGCTGTGAGGGGTGTGCTTGACGTGGTCGAACTCTGTTAGCACATTGACATCCAGATTGTTGGGGTCCTGAAGGTGGGAGCGAGGGAGGGATGGAAAGGAGGCAGAGGCAGCACAAGGCACAACATATTACAGGGGAGAGAGGAAAGATGAAAAGGGGAAAACAGAGGAGCTGAGAAGGTGGGAATCGATGGATAGTAGAAGGGAACAGCACAGAGGAGCGGGAATGACAAGAAAAGGCATGAGAACAGAAGGAAAAGATCTAAGACGTCTAACTAAGGGCGTATATTGGGTTTGGGTCATGAGCACTGTTCATACTACTGTACAGGGCATCCACAATTAGCGCATGACCCAAACCCCCTCCCCAAAGCGCGCGCGATTCGAACCTCGGGTCATTCTCAAAATTGCATGCGACCGTCAAACAAAATGTCACCTCCACCAATCACAGTGCTGTGCGACCCCATGTAAATCAACCCCTCTGTATGCTGCCGTTCGCTAGAGGTGCACGCCCGTCAATGTGGCAAGTACACCACAACCCTAGCGCGGGGAATCTGCTGTTGGGGAGATGGGTTGGGATGGGTTTTGGAACCGCGCAGATCTGAATGTGACCCTTCCCGCCGGGAATTTTGACGGTGGCGTGGGAGGGGTCAGTCGGCCTCACGGCCGGTGGTTGTTCGTGTTTGTGCATGTACGACTAGGCCCAATTGGACGCGACGTGTGTTACCACATTTTTTTCTGGCGCGGAATTTTGCGCGCCAAACAATTTGTCGCATGGGGCGATTGACTCGAGGATGGTGTAGCGTGTAGTTCCGGGCATCCGCAATTCGCGCATGCCCGGAACAGTGCTCATGACCCAAACCCAAGATACGCCCTAAAGTGATGTCCTCAAATCATATGCTTGCATAAAAGGGATGACGGAATCACATGCCTGGATAGTGATGATGTCAGCACGTGTGAATGGCTCATCTGTGAGCAGCTCCTTCCAGTTCTTGGGCTTCACGTTCAACTCCTTGATGGCCTGGTTTAAGGGGGAGGGCAGCAGGGGGGAGCGAGGGGAGGGAAGGGGAAAAGGGGGAATGTGAGGGCAGCGGAATGAGATGCGTGACGTATCTGTGAGCAGCTCCTTCCAGTTCTTGGGCTTCACGTTCAACTCCTTGATGGCCAGGGGGAGGAGGGGGGGATGGAGGAGGAGGAGGAGGAGGAGGAGGGGGAGGAGGAGGAGGAGGAGGAGGAGGAGGGGGAGGAGGAGGGGGAGGAGGAAGGGGAGGAGGGGGAGGAGAGGGTTGAGGGCAGGGGGAGATACACGCGCACTGCATCTGGCAGCTCCTTCCAGCTCTTGGGCTTCACGTTCAACTCCTTGATGGCCTGGTTTAAGGGGGAGGGCAGCAGGGGGGAGAGAGGGGAGGGAAGGGGAAAAGGGGGAATGTGAGGGCAGCGGAATGAGATGCGCGACGTATCTGTGAGCAGCTCCTTCCAGTTCTTGGGCTTTACGTTCAACTCCTTGATGGCCTGGAGTAAGGGGGAGGAGGGGAAATAGGGTACAGAAGTGGAAAACGATAAGACTTTTTAACCAATTGCAAAACATGTTGATCCTTCTTACCTCTCTTTGTTCTGCCATATCATTCTCCTACTCCTCCCCTTCTTTTCTCCCTTTCAGCCGACTCTCTCTCTCACCTCATAGCAGAACACGTTGCCAGTTGCCCTTTCGTTTGACACTACTTCTCCCCTTCTCTCCATTTTCTCCATTTCTCCCACCTCTCACCTCGTGCATTGAGGTCGTTTTTGAGGCGCCTCAAAAACGACCTTTTTGAGGCGCCTCAAAAACCTTCTCCCCTTCTCTCCATTTTCTCCATTTCTCCCACCTCTCACCTCGTGCATTGAGGTCGTTCTTGAGGCGCCTCAAAAACGACCTTTTTGAGGCGCCTCAAAAACGACCTTTTTGAGGCGCCTCAAAAACCTTCTCCCCTTCTCTCCATTTCCTCCATTTCTCCCACCTCTCACCTCATAGCAGAACACGTTCCCAGTTGTCTTGACAGCCACGATGTGGGTAAACTCGGTAAACACCTTCTTCAAAACTGGGCAGTGGTACTCGCCTGCAGCCAACAAGAGCAAATTGAGTGTAGAGAGAAACATATTCAAATACATACATAAAAAGGTGAGAAACGTTAAGGTGGGAAGTACAACGATCGTGTGCAATAAGCCAATGCATGGCTGGCAGGAAGGAAGGAATTAAGGGGGATACAACATAACAGAAATCTCAGCAAACTGCACACATGAAAGAGCGTGAAGAGAGGAGGCAAGCAACCAGAGAACGTAGCACTAGCTAGCACTAGCACTGTCGAGAAGGCACAGCAATAGCTAGGTTATGGTAGGTGGGACGAACCGTCAGCGTTCTTGTGGAAGTGCAGCTTGATCAGGTCCTTGAGAGCCAGAGGCTTGCCGGTAACCGGGTTACGCTTGAACTTCTGAATGTACGGCACGATGTTCCTGAGTGGCCGACCATGTGAGAGAGGGGGTGAGGGAGAGGAGGTGATGGAGTGAGAGGAGGTGATGGAGTGAGAGCAGCAGGTTAGGAGAATGGTTTCAAGGAGACAGTGTCCAGTGATTAAAAAAAAAAAAAAAACAACAACAACAATAGCACCACAGTCAGGACGAGTAATTAAGATGAATCATTTCGTGTGAAGGACACCAGTTTCCATTAAAACCACAGCGGTGTGGTGTGGTGTTTGTTAGAATTGACTGTGTTTTGAGAAATTGCAGAAGCGAAACGGAGCTTACACAATATCGTAAACGTGACCCTCTGGAGAGCAGACTGGATCTTCAAACGGCGTAAAGGAGACCCTGCAAACGAGGATAACGGGAACGGCAGCATAGGTGAAGGGGAAGGGGAGGGGGAAGAGGAAGGGGAACAACGGGAAGGTAAACGGCAAGCAGAAGGGGAAAAAAGGGGGAAGGGAAAAAAAAAGGAAGGGAAAAGGAAAAGAACGGGAAACGGGAAGAGGAAGGGAGAAAGGGAACCAGGAGAAGGGGAAGGGGAAGGGAACAGGGGAAAAGAAGGCAAAGAGCTCCTAACGATTAGTTTCAGGACGCAAAGGTAAGTCACGTATGCACAGAAATTCAACGGGAGGTGGCGGCAGGGAAGGGAAAGGTGAACTGGAAGGGACGGGGAGGCGAACGAGGAGGGAGAAGCGGAAGCGAAATTGGAAGGGTCAGTAACGTACGCACAGCAGTAGAAGGGGAGGCGGCGGAAGGGCGTGCGGGTATCTTTGGCCTTGGCTCCCCCCCATTCCGACGCCCACTCTGTTGTGGTGATGAACATGCGATCCTTGCTATGCTGCTTTTTACCCATCTTGGGCGACTACGAAAAGTACTGGATGTGCGTGTAACGGAGACTAAGACGAAATGAATGGAACCAGCGATGTGGTTGGACGCCTAAAGACGAGCTGTCTGGAATGGGAGAGGTACCAACGGATCAGTAAGGCGAGGAGACAGCTCGCCAACTGCGTTTTCTCGTGGAACAAGTTTAGTCGCCGGAAAGAACTCTATACAAAAGCAGCAGCCCTAGCTCCAACAGACGACTCCTTTATTAGTAATTTCGTTATTAAATTAGTTGTTCTTATTTTGTATACATGTAAACGATATATTCGTTTGCTTCAGGATTCACAGAAACAGCGAATCACAGCCTAACGAATATAGTCGCTAGGACTTCAGTCGCAAAGCCACACTACCGGCGACAGGGTTTCCTCTGCGACCCAAAAGCTCTTTTCGTAAAGCTGCTGCACCTCGCAAACGTTCGTCTGCCTTTACCAATTTTCCCAGGGACGACAAGGTGCGCCCTGGAATCTTGAGCGGTTTTTGGTCCGTGACGATAATCACCCTTCGCAAGGAAAGCCCGGTTACAGCGCTTTCTCCTGGCCAATCAGGACCCGTTCGTCAGCCATGTCGCAAATCGCAGTTCCCAAGACTTTGCGGAATTGGTCAGGGTCCGACAATATTTTGGGCGAGCTGTTTGTGTCCAGTTGAGTTCTATGTGGTTGAGATGGTTAAAGCTGGTTTCATCGTGGTTCCGTTGGGTTCAGTCATACAATGCTGGTTTGGGCTTCAGGTTGAAGCTCGTATCCTTGGAGCCATAAATTCGCTCCAGAAATTTCCCGCCAAGCTTTAGGCTTCCCCCCCCCACCTTGTCACGGACCATCCAGTACCAGGTTCCATTTCCGTGAGACGCTAGGGTGCAGAAATTCCTGGCGTTTGCCGCGCTGGTGGACTATTTCTTCTGCTGCGTCGTGCACCAATCTTCAGCATTTTTTTTCGTTTATCGTAGTAGTTCCTCCAAGAACAATATCTGTACATTTTCTTGTATTTTTACGGGGATTCGTCACCATCCTTCTCAATGAGGACCTTCCTGATTTTCCGAATCCGTTTGACAACGCGGGAGACTATTCTCTCGGCTTCGAAGTGAAGACCCTCAAGGAGCAGTTGCTATGCCACGTCATGGGAAGCATCCGAGAAAAGACGGATTGGATGAGGAAGGTGATGGACGATGTGATCGTAGCGAAGTGGAAGGAGGAGCTGACGAATCCCGTCCGACCGGCGAAAGCGTATTTTGTGAGGGGAGAAAGGGACGTGTCGCTTGACGATCCTGCCAGCGTGGTTTCATTCTTGAGGGACAACGGCAAGCGGATTGTCAAGGTGAAATATCTTCCTACCACATGCGTGGTTTCTTCCTCCCCCCTCACCTCACAACACCTCCCTTCCACCCTCCTTCCGTCCCACCCATCTGATGTCTTTTTGCTCGAATTGACCATAGTTGTATCGAGTGATGGGACTTGCTTACCTTGCTGACTCCATTCAGCATGCATTCCGTTGGTTCCTCTCCCATCAGGTCGACCCCTGATCTAGTCGATTACGCCGTCAAGGAGCTTCGCTGGCAAGCCACCACCCACCAACCCTCGTCGATGCCAGTCTCGCCGGTCATGCCAGCTGTCATGCCAAGCGCAGTGGACGGAGTCTACCTCATTCCGTCCGCCTCCTTCCCACCTGACGTTCTCCAGCCGTTTCTGGAAGGCATGCATCGCCTGGAGTCCGTTCCTGAGGATCAAATTGACTACCATCCAGGGTCAAACAAGCAGGCCATTGACTTGGTCCATCCGTCACTCCACTGCCTGGTGTACGGCCGAACCAGAGTCATTACCGAGCCTGACTACACCACTCTGGATGTCCTGGCATGGGACCAGATGGTCAGTGAGTTAGGCTCGGTTGCCGATGCTGGTGCACTTGCAGTTTTGGCAACGGATCTGGGGGAGGGAAGTCAGGCTCGGAGGAGTTTGGTGGAAGACGAGTTTTTTTCAGATGCATTTCAGTGGCTGCCAGCAGAGATTGATGTTTCTGCGGACGGGCAGAGTGCAAAGTTCCGGTCATACATCAACAATCTGCATCCGCTGGAGTTTGCAGAGACGTATCGAAGCCTGGAGAAGATATTTGCCTTGGCGTTCGTGCCACTGTTCAATAAGGTGCTGACAGATTCTGCCAACCCACGACCTCTGCGGATCACTGCCGACCCGTACAGGTACTGCCTCATTCATAACATGTTTGTCATGTTTTCGTCTTTCTTTCCTCTTATGGTATTGCCATTTCATAAGGGACAACTGTGCAGGTCTGATGTAGGAAACATCCAACACATGTGCTCAGAGCCTGAGAGCCAAAGCCTCCTAGGACCCATCCGCCTAACAACACATGTGCTCGGTCCTTTCTCCCCTGCTACTGCAGCTGGTATGAAGGCTGGAGGGGCGATCGGGAGTATGACTTAAGTGATGACGAAGACAACGAGGCATATATAGAAGACAGGGAGCCACTGCAGCCAGAGGTACCGGAATTTTCACCTCCCCCAGAACCACCCAAGGAGCGGGTGGTGAAGCTGGAGGACAGGCGGTTACAGGTGATAGTGAAGGTTGCTTCCATCCGCCTCACCCCGGACCAACCCAAGTACCCGGGAGGCACTTGGCATGTGGAGGGCATGAGGAACGAGAGCATTGTGGTGAGTCACTGCCTGCTTTCACTGTACCTGCTAGCTTTCCCTTTTTTATGGTTCCGTTAATTCTCCCTCCATGTTGCCTAATCTCATGGGCAACCCAACACCCTCACAGGCCACTGGCATCTATTACTACGACATTGAGAACATCTCGGAGTCGTGTCTGCGGTTCCGACATACAGTCAGAGAGCCAGACTACGAGCAAGACGACCGAAAGGGAGTCCAAATGGTCTATGGGCTTGTGGAAGAAGGCCCACTCGTCCAGCCCCTAGGCTCTGTCCGAACCTCCACGGCAGGCCTGTGCCTGGCCTTCCCGAACCACTACCATCACTGTGTAGCTCCGTTTGAGCTCGCCGACAAGTCCAAGCCTGGGCATCGGAAGATCCTTGTTTTTTTTCTAGTGGACCCCAAGACTAGAGTTGTGTCGACAGCACGTGTGCCTCCTCAGCAGCTGGCATGGAGACGCTGCGAGCTGGAGAGGAAAGGGAACCCATGTAGGAGCCTGCCTTCTCTTGCACTTGATATGGTTGCAGACAGGCTGATTAAGGGTCCACCAGCAGTTGGAATGAGTATGGAAGAGGCAAAGGGGTTCAGGGAAGAGTTGATGGAGGAAAGAAAAGCAGTGGTGAGGAGGGCAAATGAGGAACTGTTTGAGCGACCCTTCTCACTTTGTGAACACTAACGTGGTGCCTTTTGATTGGATGTAAGAGGCCATATATCGCAATGTACTTGATGGCAAACCTGTCACAAGAACCTGTCAAAAGTTGCGCTACATATCCACTAATAAAAGAACATAATGAATGAAATACATGGGAACAAAAAGGCAACTGGTAGCTCTGCATTTCAACGTTGCCTTGCTCTTCGGATCCACCCAGACAAGCACCCACCATAATAGCCATCCAAGTTGCATCTGTGTGGAAGGAACTCACCCACCATAACAGCTATTTGAGTTGCACTGAGTGGACGGCTCTAAGCCTGACTCCCTACAAATGGTTTCAAACACTGGCAATCTGCGCGGGCTGCCAAGGGGGGAGGAAAATACACCTCCCACAGAAGATGCACTGCTCCTGGCAATTGGAAGAGAAAGCTGAGACACCAAGGGAGATGGCATGAGGCCACCAGATACAGACACGCGAGAGCTGGTGGTATTAAGATGACTGGGAGAGGCTCCAATAGCTGGAGAGCTCGCCGCTGACGTAGAAGCTGAGGTATAGTGAATGAAACGGCATCGCGTGCCATAAGGACAAGTTCCATTCAGATTAAAAGTTCTACAAACCTGCAGGCGGGAAAACAAGGAGTGCATGAGAAGTCACTCTCAAAAGACGGCATTGATCCAACAAAAACAGGGAAGTGGCTTACCTCAGTCTTGTACTTGGGATGGCGTGCAACAGCTCGAAGCTCATCCCTTCCATGTGCAAACTGGCACTTCCCTCCATAACGACAGGCACCTGTCTCTTCCCATGATCGGCACAGCTCGGTCTTGTACAGTGGATTGGTTGGACTAGCAGCGCTGGCAGCAGCAGCTGCCGCAACAGCTGCTGCAGCTTCTGCAGCAGCAGTCACAGTGAGTGGAGGAGCAGCTGCTGAATCAAGAAGTGTCGCACTGGACAGAGAGCGGGCCAGGAGAGTAGGAGTTGGTGGAGCAGGAGATGAAGGACCTGACATGAATCCAGATAAGGCTGAGCCTGGCACTGCTCGCAAATCTCCCCAGTTTTCCACCTTCAAAAGCTCATGAAGCCTACCAGCTGGCACAACTTCCTGCCTAGGAGTGGCAGAACCCCCAGGTGCAGTGATGCTAGAAGAGGAGAACTCAGATGTCAGGCCTTCTCCTGGCCATGACATCTGCCATCCTGAAGTTCTATCAATTGTTGAAGCTGCCAAATAAGTTGGGATAGAATCAACAGATGGTAACACAGGTGCGGAGCGTGGCTGGTTGGTTTGAGCGTTGAAAGAACTGAGCTGTCCCAGGGGCGCTTGCACTGACGAAATAGAACTTCCTGGAAGCATGCTCCCAGAGAATCTACGAACTGCAGCGAATGATTCAAAAGGCCCTGCACAAAGCCATCAACCACAAATGAATTCAGCACCCGAATGCACAGAAAAAAACATCCATGGAAGAGGATTTGACCCATACCTGGGGAGGCAAGAAAGCTCGGAATTTGGAGAGATGGCAAAGCCAAAAGAGCCGCTCTTCGAGCTCGCAAGCTGGATGTTGCAGCCAACAGCTCAGATGTTGTTGGACCACAAACCCCTGGCGAGCCAGTAGTCGACCTCCCTGATCCATTCTGGTACAGGGGTGTCCACACTTGAGGTGTAGCTGGCAGTGAAACTGATCCGTTGTTCTGAGGTAAAATTTCACCCAGACTTGTCAAATCGGCAGTGCGAGAGGAAGGAGGTGTACCTACACCACGGATTTCTAAATCTGACGGCTCAAGAGCTGTGTCAGGTGGCCTCGGAGAAGCAGGAACAGGAACGTCATGACCGTCCTGAAAGAACTGGACTTCTTGAAGTTGAATACTCCCTCTAGACTTGTCAGGTTCACCTGCATAACAATGAGCAGAATGGTCAATAATTTACCGAAAGGAAAGGACGAAAGGAAGGAAAACATGTTTCGTCCTGTAAAACCGCTGTACTAAAACTACAAAAACTCACTCTCACTGTCTTCAGAATCAACACCTTCCAACTCAGATTCAGCTGTTGGGCTCAAGCCAATACCCATGTCGTGAAGGGACGTAATAATGAAACTGTTTGAGTTTCTATCAGCACAATAAGTAGACTCTTCCTGCTTCAATGACTCTTCAGCAGCAAAAGCAGCAGACATAGCAGCCCTCTCTTGATTCAGCTGGACACATTTCTGCACATATAAAAACACAGATGTTAATAGCTGCATACAAAAAAGAGATCAGGAGATCGAAACGAGTAAATTAGACAGTGCTTACCCTGAACAAGAGATGCTCTCCAGAAGAGCCTCTCGAGGCAGCATGAGCACGACTACCACAACCACGGCCAAATGACCTCCGTCCTCCTCCTCCACTCACTGCTGCTGCCAGTCCAATCTGACTGTTTGGATAGGAAGATGATGCAGCACGTGAATGCAGCCCACTCTGAGTACCGACGTCGGAGAGACGCAACGGTTCATTCCGGCTCTCGCTTTCACGATCTGCATGGATAAGGCTGAAACCACCATGGCTTCTTTCACTGGAACATGGCTGAGTCTCAACTTCAGTAGCAACTATGTTCTCGCCTCCGCTACTCCTCGTATCCCTCATGCTCGAGCCACGTGAGGCCGATGAGAGGACCTGGGATTGCCGGAACCCAATAAGCATGTTCATGGTCGCAATATACAGAATCCAGCACCTTTGAATACGAGAAGGTATAGCCTCTCAAAACGGACCGCCATGCGTCATCGCTGCTTTCGTCCCGCGGAAAGTGAAACGCAGAAACCTCGTCATCGAGAAGGACGAGGTAAAGCAGATAGAAACCCTCACCCATACTGACCACAGCAAGTTAAGACTCTTAACTCGGAGTCAGGTAGAGCCAGACTGGTCAGACAGGAGGCTCGTCTCCTCGAGTTCCCAACCTAGAGTCGCGACAAAGTTAGCTGTCGGAATAGCAGAGCACACACGGCGGAAGAAGAAACCCTTGCGATGAGGTGTCGCGTTTTGAGAGACCCAGCCGTGGTGGTAAGCTCTCCAGCATGGCCCTTGCGTAGCTCTCAGAACGAATTAGCTTTTCCATGACCTCTCAGGACGCTGCTCCTGAGAGCAACCTCGAGAGTATCCGGGAACCCAATCATTCAGGGGCATCATGAGAGAGCCGCTGGTCTCATTCAGGGCATGCTGAGAAACTAGCTCTGCATTCCGCGTTCAGACATGCAGGCGATAGGATGGCTGAGAGGCACGTCAGCAATTCACTAAGGCGGAAATGAAATGCGGTGGGTGGTAAAACTCATTAAGTACCGTAATCACCCGGACATACCACCCTAGGGTGCTATGATAACTACATCAAAAAAAGGGGGGGGGTCTTGTCATGGGAAAAGGCTATAGCACCGGGGTCTTTTTATAATGTACATTTTTTTAAAAGCAGAAACGGTTGGGAACAAAATGTACATGCTTGCTGCGGTGGTAGATTGTTGGTTGGGTGCGCAAAACCGAGGATGAGGCGATAACGTTAGGGCGTGTGCACTTTGGGCGAAATTTGTCAAAGTTCGAACATTCACCGCTTTGCACCGAGTAGAACCTCGCTAAAAGTTCGAACTTAGACAGAAGTTCGAACCCCTAGTGCACACGCCCTTAGCCTCGAGTGGAAGCTGCCACATTGCAAGCTCCAACAGGCCCTCTGTCATGCCCTGATTGGTCGAAAACACACCCCCCGTCGCTCGACGAGGATTCATGCAGTCACAGAGGCGGGAGTCCCGCAACAGGCTTAGCAGCATCGCTTTTGCGGTCACGTCCCTGTGCAAAATTTAGGCGAAAACAGCAAAATTTTCCGTACATAACACCCCCCCCCCCCCGGGTCTTATACCGGATCGGCCCAAAAGGGGGGTATAGTAGAAACGAGGTCCGCTATAGCACCCCCCCCGCACAAGCCACCCGGGGGGTGTTCTATTTCGGCGGGTGGTATGTCCGGGTGATTACGGTATTCGATAGAGTGCCAGGCGATGAAAACCAATGGTTCAAGTCCGATTACTGAGTTGTACCTACATTAAAAGCTTCATATATCTTTCCCGTGTTCTAGAGTCATATAGCAATTTCTGATGAGCTCTCAATATGGCCAGAAGGATGTATTTATTATACAATTATAATAACACCACAAGGCGGCTCATGAGGCAAGAGGTAAAAGTCACGATAAGCATCAAGGAGACAAGTCCTGTGCAATTTTGGCCTGGCTACCAGCATTCGTTACACATGCAATCAAACAGTTACCAGTTGGCATGGAAACCGTGTGGCTGCGATGGCTCATGCCAGTTGGCCTTGGTTGGGGCATATCTAGACTGATGAGCGAACCCCCACAGCTGAAAAGAAGGGAAGGCATATCATGTGGCAGGGTTGCAGGACATGGGGAAGGGGAAGGAAAATGATGAGAGTTGATATCAAATCTGGAAAAATGAAAAGCATGGATGTGAGCTGCACTCATTTCCTTTATCTCGGATCGTTAATTCTCCTTCAGCTCCATACCTTCTCAGTTGTTAATGCGAGCTGGTTTCTTCCTTTACCTGCACATGCCTTTCTCACCTAACATGCAGCATGCCATTTCATCTCACTCAACCCTCACATGCTCGCCTCACTTCCACATGCTCAGGCGCGTAAAATTGACATGCTCTTTTCACCCTGACCCCCACATGCTCTCCCTACCCTCACCTCCACATGCTTGATCTTGAAGTCCTCGGACTTGGAGAGGCATGGACTGCAGAATGTCTCACACGCACCGCTGGAGCCTGTCAGACTGGAGGGAAGAAAGGGGGATGTGGGGGGAACAGGGGGGACAGGAAGAGATAGTAAGGACATGAGACTTGCATGCTTAATCTTGAAGTCCTTGGACTTGGAGAGGCACGGACTGCAGAATGTCTCACACGCACCGCTAGAGCCTGTCAAGCTGGGAGAAAAGAGACTTTCTCTAAGGGAAAAAGAGAAGCACCGGGAATCCCTAAGGTCAGCAAAAGCACCTGGCACTCTCAACACAATCAGTACTAGTGACGACAGAGGCGCTTGTAATTCGTAAAAGAAAGTGATTCTTAAAGAGGCTACTCACAGATCCTCCTGAAGGCACAGGGCAAAGTGGCCTCCGCCTCCAAAGGAGAGAGCCTCGTTCAGACACAGAATGAAGTAGCGGTTTGCCCCTGACGGGTGTGAAAGAAGAAACCAGGGGGGAAGAAAAAAAACAAAACAAAACAAAACAAAAACAACAACAAAAACAAAAACAAATGCAGGAATCAACAATGCCCTAGCGAGCAGGAATAGGCACAGGGCAAAGTGGCCTCCGCCTCCAAAGGAGAGAGCCTCGTTCAGGCACAGAATGAAGTAGCGGTTTGCCCCTGACAGGTGAGTGCGAGAGGAGAAAACCAAACAGAAATGTATTCAGGAATGAAGAGTGCGCTGCCCTGTAATGATGGTAAACACAAAACCACATGAGAGTCGCTTTGGTAGAACTTCTGAAAACATACTGTTCCACGCACCCAACTTGTTACCTGTAACCTTGTAGACCGTGGGCTCCCCTGTAATGGTGGTGAACACAAAGACGTCACTGGATCCCTGCCACAGCCAGAGGGCAGCCAGGCCAGGGATGGAGAATGAAAAAACTGTTTCTTAGGCGCCCTAAAGTTTTCCAGTAATGTGAACACAAACACGTTGCTGGATCCCTGCCACAGGCAGAGGACAGCCGAGCCGGGGATAGAGGCAAGGCAACAGTGGAAGTTTGAAAGATTAAGGTTCCAATTTGAAAGTAGAGCGGAGCATCAATCAAGGAGAAGGACAAGCACAAGTATGGGTGCCTGTGCTGCCAAAGAGGTTCAGCTGCTGTGCTGCTTCTGGACACTCGTTCTTACAATCAGAAACAGCAGAACGGGATGATACGCGATGTGGACAGCTGAATTGTGAGCGAAGAGCATATTGGAATACGCACCTGGTACTTTCTGCGATTGGAGGCAACAAGCGCTTGCGAGGAGAAGCCGCCGAAAACGGTGCCGTTATCCTCCGTCACCACCTGGTAGGGTGGTGGGGGGAGAAGAATCGTCAAGAAGCGTCTGAAAGCTTGAGAATCCGCCAAAGACCGTGCCGTTATCCTCAGTGGTGATGGGGGAGAGGAGGTTTCAGGGGAGGGGAGGATGGGGGGAGAGGAGGTGTGGGGAGGGGAGGATGGGGGGAGAGGAGGTGTGGGGAGGGGGAGCAAGAGCTTCGAGGCGTCTGAAAGCTTGAGAAGCCGCCAAAAGTGGTGCCGTTATCCTCCGTCACCACCTGGCGGGGTGGTGCGGGGGGAGAAAGTGGGAGAGGAGTTTGGACGGGAGAGGAGTCGGGGCGTAGAGGAGGAAAGAGGAAAAGTGGTGAGGGATTCGGGCACAGATGCATAGAGGGGTTTGAGAGCCAAACAAAGGGTGCGCAAGATTTCAGTGCTTCGACCGTTGTTCTTCTTGCAGTCACCAGGGAAAGACAGGGTACATGGCATGGATGGAAAGCTAACGAATGTAAAACAGTTGGAGGGATCAGTGGTGGATATTCCAAGCGCCAACTTTTCAAGCTTGAATCTATGAATGGATGGATGGATTCCAAACGCCAACTTCTCACCAGCAGACAGGGACCTGGCATCATGGAGCTGCGGCGGTTAAGTGTCTATAGAGAGATGCTGTGGATGGATGGGTGGATGGATGGATGGATGGATGGATGGATGGATGGATGGATGGATGGATGGATGGATGGATGGATGGATGGATGGATGGATGGATGGATGGATGGATGGATGGATGGATGGATGGATGGATGGATGGATGGATGGATGGATGGATGGATGGACGGACGGACGGACGGACGGACGGACGGATGGATGGATGGATGGATGGATGGATGGATGGATTGGATGGATCGACGGACGGATGGATGGATGGATGGATGGATGGATGGATGGATGGATGGATGGATGGATGCACAAAGTCAAGACGAGCATTGAAAAAGCCTCACCAGCAGGCAGGGGCCAGGCATCATGGAGCTGCGGCGGTAGAGTGTCGATAGAGAGATGCCGTGCTTGAATGTGCTGGGGTGGTGAGAGATAAAACGGGGTGGGGAGTGGTGGTGTGGTATTGGGGGGGAGGGGAGGAGGGGGGAAGAGGGATAGGGGCGACAGGAGGGGATGAAGGATGAGGGAAGAAGTGGTGACGGGATGGGGCAGGCGGGGATGGGGCAAGCTGTGATGCGGCAGGCGGGGATGGGGCAGGCGGGGTCGGGCAGGTGGGGATGGTTTAGCACAACTACAAGGGAAGATCATCAAAGCTGCTCCTGAGAGAGCAATTATGTTGATGCAATGAGCAACCGAAGCCCAGGAGGAAACTTGAAATAAAAAAAGCGAGGAGTGGGGAGTGGGGAAGGGAAATTGGGGGAGGAGGAGAGGAGGGGGAAATTGGGGGAGGAGGAGAGGAGGGGGAAATTGGGGGAGGAGGAGAGGAGGGGGAAATTGGGGGAGGAGGAGAGGAGGGGGTGCTGCAGTATACATCCTTCATTTCATGTTCGTCCTGCAACCCCCACTTCCATTCTCGCGCATTCATGCCCGTGTATGAAGAAGTGTTTTGAGACGTCTCAAAACACTTCTTCATACTCCTGCAACTCCCACTTCCATTCACGCACATTCATGCTTCTTCGACTCACCTGTACAGGAGAACCCACTCGCGTCCACTGGCAATCGCGGGCAGGCTCTGGCAAATCACAGAGCGACACGTGTCAGATAACAAGAACGACTCCTCCATCATATCTGGGAGCCTGGGGCTCATCAAGGGCGATGCTTCCAAGGAATTCGGAGATAATATCCCCCCCCTCCCGCCCCCGGCATTGGGAGATACGATTCCCCCTCTCCCGGTGGCAGTATTGGTGGGAGAGAGAATTCCCTCTCTTCCAGTGGTTTCCCTGGCAGGCTCGGAGGCTCGGGAGGTAAGGGCTTGGGAGCAAGTGGCTGTCGTGACAGGTTCGGACATCCTCTGCCGAAGCTGCTCGTCTGCTCCGGCTAAACTTGCTCCGGAGAGACTAGCTCCGGATGCGGCTGCTGACACTGACACTGCTCCTGAAACTGCTCCTGCTGCTGACACGAGCGTTACTGATGATGATGATGACGACACAGCAGCGGATGCTGACGTCGCCAGGCCTTCTTGGTTCGCCCCATTGTTGTTCTCTCGCGGCTCCAACCTGGACGCTGACGTCAGCGCCACGTCACCGCATCCAGCATCAGCGGAGAGGGACGAGGAGGACGAGGACGGGGTGATTGACGGGGAGGATTCCCGGGATCGAGCACCCCTGGGGCCAGCTGCAAAGCGTGATATAAACGGGGGTAACCACCCCCGCCTTGCCCCTCCCCCACTCCCACCCCCACCAGCACCTCCTCTCACTCTCCCACTCTCCCCCCCAGTATCCCACTTCTTCAAACCCTCCTCCTGTCCCTCCCCTCCCTCCTCCCCATCGAACTCCCCTCCTACCCCACCTCGTCCCCTTCTCCTCACCCTCCCATCCTGCCCTGCTCCCAAACCGCTTGGTACCACTCCTCCCTTCCCCTCACCGTCCACCACCCCAATGTCCTCCTCCCCAACCTCCTCATACTCCTCCTCCTCGAAATCCGAGTCCACGTAAGACCCCCCAGATTCCGAACACGTGTCAGAGCTCGCCTTGTTCCCGCGCGGATTGATACTAAGCAGCGAAAGGAGAAACGCGGCGAGGGAAGACGTATCCGGCCCTTCGAATTCCTCATCCACGCCTAGCGTCGACGGCACGCGGGGAGGCCGTTTCCCCACTCTACCCAACCCCGACTCAGCTGCAGCTGCCACTGCTGCTGCCGTTGCCGCAGCGATCTGCGCCGAATCGTCACCGTAGCTCCCTGTTAGGCCTTCCCCCGGTGCTGCTTTCACGGGGGTTCGTCTCCCGGGCGTCCCTAACCCGGAGCCTTCACCTAATCCTGCTGGTACGCCCGTGCCTGAACCGGTTCCTGGATCCGATCCAACGGCTCCTGTTGCTCCACGTGGGACTTCGTCAGATTCTAAGACTGTGCGTGTAAAGGACGAAACGCCAGCTTCGGACTCAAATGCCGCGCCAGCGCGAGTCGCGGTGCCGTCTATGGGACTGGAAGTGGTGGTGGTGGTGGCGCTGGTGGTGTTTACGGTGGTGCCGGTGTTCGCGCTCGTGCCTGTCTTGGCGGCTGAGCCGCTGGCTGCGCCTCGTCTCATGGCGGTGGAGGTGGTGGTGGTGCTAAAAGAAGTTGCTGCGAAGCTGCTGGCATTGTCCACGGAGTCATCGTAAATCACGGGTTCGGATTGACGCACCTGGAACAGCAGACGGGGGGGAGAAGCAACAGGATAGACTTTGACTCGACTCATAAGTCAACTGACATTGTCCACGGAGTCGTCGTCAATTGCGGGTTCGGATTGACGCGACTTTGAGTCGACTCAAAAATCAACTGACATTGTCCACAGAGTCGTCGTCAAATGCGGGTTCGAATTGACGCACCTGGAACAGCGGACGGGAGGATAAGTAAAAGGAGATGGGAGGAGAGGTACGGTAACAGCGAATGGGAGAAATTTGGAGATTTTAAGCTGGCTCAGTTGATCCGCCTGTAACAGGAAATCTGTCAGGGAGGCAAAGTCTGCAGTGGCAATCAGTCAGCTGCGAACTGTGCTTCAATGTTAAATAACGTGTTTGATGACCGCTAAAATATATGAAGTTTATCACAACGATAATTTCAACACGACGTTGCTAACCTTTGCGGGAAATCCTCCCCGTTGAACTTCTTCTGCCGAAGGTTCACATTTGCCTCGCCGGCTAGCCGTTGCGAGTAGTCGAGCCATCCTGTCACTGACCGCGTCCGTCCAACCCATGTTTGTGAGGGTGACGGGGAGCAATTCTGACGCCAGCAACCTTAGTTACTAGGTGAGACTCTTACAAGAATATCGTGTCCCCCAATCTGTCACTTGTGATGGTTCGAATAACCGTCTGAACGAAGCGGTCTGTGAATTCAGCCAGAATCTGTTATGCAACTGAACCCAGTGATTCGGAATTTCGGACAACTGCTGGCTAACGAAATCAAGGCTTGTGGGTCAAGCAGGAATAGATGGTGGAGCAGAACCGATTGTTACACTAAAGGAGGTGACAACAGGCGAGTGAAAAAGGGATATGAAGATGACGATGATGGATGGTCATTCCCAAGAGACTGTGACAAAAGGGCAACCACAAAGCTAGTCCAACCAATCAGAAAAGATCGCCAGCAAGGCCACATGACCAGCTGACATGTCCGAGGTTCGCGCTTGTGTGAAGTGACTCTACTCGCATTCGTGACAATCAGTTCACCTTTTTAATAAGCAAGCAGTAATTGTTCAATAAATCAACACCAAATTCACACTTGATCAGCCACTGCTGTACAGCAGAAGAGTCAAGAGTCAGATAATAGCGAGACCTTGCCGTGCTTGTTGCCACCCCTTGCTCCTGCTTTTGATTGGTCGTATTTGAGCATAGTTGTCACCCACCCGGGCATGAATTCGTTCGATCTGATGCTCCCATCAGTCGGGAGTTTCCACCTCAAACTTAAGAGCGAGTGTGAGTCTATGCATTTTTAAACGCGCGTCCGAAGCCAGTTCTAACCACAGAACTCCCCAGCAAAAATACTTCATCACTCAGAGCCATTCATGTCCCATCACTGTAGTCCACCAGTTCTTGCCAAGTTGGAGGGTGCGAGCAGGGGCACCTTCGAATGTTTGGTGCTTAATACGAATTCTCCCAAACTCGGAATGGAAACTTCCAGAGTTCTGCTGAGAACCCTCTTGCCTCCCCCGCCCCTACCCATCAGCTCTGACCACCAGTCACCACCACCAGCAGCCTTCATCAATTCTTGATCAGCAAGGTTTTGAAGATTCTTAGCTCCAAAACAGCAGGAAAGGAGTCCCTCTCCTCCAGAACAGATGCCGTAGGGCTGAGTCGCGCGGGACGCTTTTGTTGGATTTTTCCGCTATTCAACCCTAGCCCGCTTAGGGTCTCGCACTGGAGTTTTTGTGTCAACAGTTAGCCTGGTTTGTTCCTCTATGTTCACGTCAACCCCTTCCTTTTCTCACGGCTCAGCGTCAGCGATGACGTCAGCAGCAGAGCCACCGCTTTGCCTCGGAGGCGCGCACGGTATCGATCTGCTAGGATCTTCCGTTCCGACTTCCATAGAGGACCGTGATGACGTGGATGATCTGACGGAGGAGGACGTCTGGTTTCCTGGCGATGTAGACAACTCGCCAGTAGTTCGAACCGCTCAGGCTGACGTCGCACGTCCTCTGGCTGTCGAATCCATTGGTCGAAGTGTCGCTCCCTTCACAAGGGAACCTCTCGTTCCGCTTTCTGGTAGAACGGTAACGCGAGGTCCGGCAGATGCCGTTCCCGCGATCTTAAACTCACGCGACGGCTCGTCGAGCAAACCGCTTGGCCTGTCTCTCGTTCCCACGCTCGTGGAGGCCAACTCTGGTGATAGCATCAGGGTTCCTAACATTGGGGGTGATATTATCAAAGGCTCTTCGGGCGCTCTACCGACTTCCTCCGTTCTTATCCCGAGACCGGTGCCAAGTCCTCATAACGCAATCCGACCAATGGCTAGAGCTTCCGCTCCCATACATATTCCTTGTTGGAGTAAGTCCTCCGCTCCGCGACAACTCGCTGCTGCAGGACCGAGCAGAATGGGGTTGAGAGGGGAGGAGCAGCAGGAGGAGGATGAGGTTATTCCTCCGCACGAAATCGTGGCGAGGCAGTACGCTCAAAGTGTGAATTTTTCGGTGACGGAGGGGGTTGGCCGGGCTCTTCGCGGGAGGGACTTGGCGCACGTAAGGACGGAGATTCTTCGCAAGACAGGGTTTTTTGAATGACACGGACCGTTCGATTGAGCATTCTCAATTCGCAGGCCATGATGGGCGTCTTCGCTGGGGTCTGACTGAGGAAGATGGAGAACGATCTGCTGCACTGATGAGGGGTAAAGTTGGAAGGGCAGGAGACACCTTCTAGGGTAAGTTCTTGTCATCATTTTTGTTGAGCCGCAGCTTGGGATGTGGTGGTTATGGCTGTTTGCCACGTTCTTGCAGCCTTCCTTGGCCTGTACATGTAGATTCTTGGCTTTGGTTGCCTCCCTCCCATTGTGGCAAGTGTCTGATGACGTACTCTAGGACATGTAATCAGCAACTATATTCATTTAGTAATGTCTCCAGTTCGTTTGGAAGTGAGGATGTATACTCTTCAGCAATTACTATACGCAAAGGGGAAGCTCCATCTTTCTTGTCCAAAGCATGTTCCGCTTTACATACTGTGACACTTCAAAGCTTGAAAGTAAGGTACAATCTTGGTACTAGATATTTCAACATACCCAATATTACAACACAACGGGATTTCTGATGCCAGCTACGGCAAGAAAGAAAGGATGCATGTCTGGCACTTCTAAAACAGCGTGGCATTCCAAGGAACAGGAAAACCCACTGGATACGTGGAATACCCTTGCGGAATGTCCGTGCCATACTGGAACTGTCCATAGTACTTCTGCGGGAGGACTCGAAAGTTCTCTCCTCGTATGGCTTCAGCGGCTGCTAGCAAGCCGTAGAAGTAACTTAGGAAAAGTCCGTACATGAGAAAGAGCATCCCGATGGCGGAAAACCAATCCAGCCAGTCTATGGCCTTGAATCGCTGCATCAGGGTCGGTCGGATCTCGAGCGGCGCGGAGAGGGAGGAGGGCCCTCCCGAGAAGATTCCATCGGATTCTGCACTGTTAACGGGGACGGCGTAGAATGGCGCGGACGACATTCTAGCAATGCGCTCGAGAAGCGTGTACCGAAGGAATTACTTTGACTTGGCAAGCAAGAAGTTGTGGAAACGGCAGCAATAAATAGTAGCAGAGGACTTGAAGAGTTGACAAGGCGCTTGAATGATAGACAGGGACAGCGTCTTATAAAATCTTTACAAATCTGGCTGTGATGCAGGACCAGGTTGTCGCCCAAAGATGACCTAAAGCTAGTAGGCGACAGACAAATTCACAACGAACTCGTAAAGCTGATTATTCGCAGCCTAGGGACACCAGCAGTTCAGCGGCCATCATCACATTCCCGAGACACAAGGGCGCAAGAAAGCAAGGGTTGCATTGGAGGAAACGGGGGAAACACGGGGGTCAAGGACGAGTGAGGAGGAGTTGTGAAATCGAGTGGAAATAAAAGATTGCGGTGCGTTGCGGTGCGGTGAGAGGGCTTAGAGAAGCGGTTTGGGTTCGATTGGGGGGGAAAGGGTGAGCGCAGGAGGCGCTGTCGGAAGCGGAGGTCAAGGGAAAGGCGCAAGGACAGAACTGAGGTGGGCCGACGACAATTTCGGGCAGTGAATGGAAGGGGCTGGCTAGGGGGTCAGATGGGGGAAAGCGAAGTCTCGCTATGATGGTTTGCAAAAAAACTAGGTTGCTGGAATTAGTCTAGCACACCAGTCCAAGAATCATGCAATATTTTACCATGCTCCTTTTGGGCTTCCACATAGGCACCAACTCCCCAATATTTATGCTTGATCCGCAGCGTTGTTCATTCAGTTATGATACTTCAATCACGGGCATTCCCCCAAAATTTCGACTCCATCCTGTTCTTTTCGCCCTAACCTCCCCAACCTCCCTCGCCACCCCCTCCTCATCCACATTTGGGCACCGTGCCAGGTGGCACCTTGCAATTTGCTCGCATCCACGTAACACATGCGTGACACCCTGTGTGGTTACCGCGTTACAGGCGCGGAGGGTGAGAGTGGAGAGCAACGGGCAGTGCGAGGCGATGGTGTGAAGGAGGAGGTCGGAGAGATGGCTGGCACGGAAGCCAGAGAAGCACATGTGCTGCAGGCGATGGCATGACTGCACCAGCGGGATGAGCCCTGCCTCTGAGATCTCCCTGAGAACAAAAAGCAGGGAGGGAGGGTGTGCGGGATGGGCATGTGAGAGCAGCGAGGGGAAAAGAAGGTAAGGAAAGACACAGCTGACTTTTGAGCCGACTTGCCAGCGAGATGGGATGAGCCCCCCCTCTGAGATCTTCCCATGGGCGGAAAACAGGAGGGATGGGCATTTGAGAGGTCTTGGGGTGATGAAAGGAAGTACAAGGAAAGGAAGACAAACGAAGGGGGAACACGAGGGGAAAGGAAGGGGAGGGCATGGGATGGGAGTGGTGCATGGGGCAGAGAACAAGGGGGAGTGGAGGTGATTTGCCCTGGAAAATAAACGACCAAGCAGGATCAGATTGAACCACCTCGACACAGCATATCACCCCGCACCACCGCACTACACCGCAACGCACCTGCAGTACTCCACAGCGAGTGTGGAGAGGCGGGGGCAGGAGGCAGCAGCGAGCAGCAGGAAGGAATCGGAGAGCCCATCCAACCCCTCTAGATGCAGCCTCTCCACCCCACTCCACCCCAGCTGCAGAAGTGGCAGTGGGCCTGAATGAATTGCGTGAGACTGTAGCTGGTCACGCAACGAATTTTGAGTCGACTCAGAAGTCACCCCACTCCACCCCAGCTGCAGCAGCGGCAGCGGGCCTGACTGCACGGCGTGAGACTGTAGCTGGTCAAGCAGCGACGAGGGACCATCGGAGGCAGCAGGCAGGACAGTGAGCATATTCTGAGGCGATACATCTTGAGTCAATCCAGCTCTCGTGAGAGCTGCCTCTTGCGACGCCTCCAAGCTCGTAGCCTCAAAGGTGGTAGACCACCGTCGTGCATCCAGCACATCTCTTGCGAGCTGGTGGCCAGAGAAGCCGGGGCTCCATTTGAGCTGCAGCGATCGCAACCCCACTCCATGCACCACCACTGCCCGTAGACTCTCATCCGTCACCCTCGCTACTCCGCTGCTGCTGATCCCACTTCCTCCTCCCACCCCTCCTCCAACGCCTCCTCCTCCTCCCTCTCCTCCGCCTCCTCTCCCTCCCTCGCACCCACTCAGTGTCAGGCTGTTGATTGCCGGGCAGCCATTCAGGAGAGCCACAATGCCTCGGTCACTCACGCCCTCGCAGTCTACTATCTCCACACTCTCCAACCGGGCAGCTGTCCGGGCAGCCGTCACAAAAAACTGGTCGAGAGGGTCCGGACAGGCCATGACGGTCAGCTTGCGCAGTGCGGGCAGCTGCCCAGCAAACATTTCCAGCCAATGAGCATCGAGAGTGCAGTTGATGAGTTTCAAGGAGGAGAGGTTGGGGAAGGATGCCACGAGACTGCCCCCCCGCCCTGCTGCTGCCCTCCCCTCTGCTCCTACTTGCGCCTCTGCTGCCTCCGCTTCCCCAGCCCTAACTGCCCCATCCGCCGCCCCACGCCACCAATCCCCCTCATCCGCCTGCCCTGCGCCCCCATGCGCCCTCTCCCACTCTCGCCCCTCCCCACCCTCCATGCCGCCAACCCCTCTCTCCGCCTCTCCCTCCCCCTCGCCCATGCGAACGTCCTCCCCTGCCACTCCTCCTCCCCTTTCGCCTTCCCCTCCCGGTGTCCTTTCCGCTCCCCCTTCCGCTGCTCTCCCATCCAACCCCACCCTCCCTTCCGCTTCTCCTCCCCCTTCCTCTCTCCCTTCCCCTCTCCATTCCCCCGCCCCTCTCACTGCCCCTTCCCCTTCCCCTCTCCCTGCTCCTTCCCCCGCCCCTCCCCCGCCCGCCCGCCCTCCGCCAGGCGCGCTGCGCGCTTTCTTGGCCACAACGGACAGACTCAGATCTTCCAGAACCATCTCCTCCAATCCGGGGCACTTCTCCGCAAGCTCAGCAAACCCGCCGCCACTCACGTTCGGACAGCTGGCGATCGAGATCTCCTTCAACGCGCCGCACCGCGCCACGTGGCGCAGAAACCGGTCCGTTAAGTGCGTGCACTTATAAACCGTCACTTTGCTAAGCATCGAATGCCCTTCCACGCATTTCCAAAACTCGTCCGCTAACGGCAACGGATCGTGCATCTCGATATGCTGAATACTGCGCCCCCACGTGGCAATAGTATGCGTTAAGTAATCCCTTAGGCCCTGGTGAACCTCAAACTCCCCGCAGTTACAGATAGAGAGGTATTCTATCTGCGTGCCTGCCACTTGCTGAATCTGCAGGGGCGTGTTGAGAGAGAGCAAGCGCACGATGGCTGTCCCGTCCAGGATTTGCTGGTCGCTGATAGGAGAGGCGGCGGCGGCGGGGGACGGGGGAGTGGAGGCAGCGGCGTGAGGTGAGTCGTTCTGCGGTTCTTCCCGCCTAACTGCTGCCCCCTCCCCCCCTGCCCGCGTTTCGCCTCCCCGGGCTCTGCTCCGCTTCCCCCAACCTGAGTTCCATTTTCCCCCATCTCCGTTCCGCCTCCCCCACCCCCTGCTCTCACTCCTCCCCTTCCCCCTCCACCCGGGCGCTTGTGGTGGCGGTCCTCCGCGCGCTCCTCCCGCGGAGCCCCCGGAAGCACGGTGGGGCCGAGGCAGCGGACGCGCAGCGTGCGGATGAGGGGGAAGCGGCGCAGCACGAAGCGGATCTCCGTTGCGCTCACCTGCGAGCGTTACGGGGGGGGAGGGAGCGGTGAAAGGGAGGGGGGAGAGAAAAGGGGATGAGGAGAGAACCGGAATCGAGGGAGAGAGGGGAAAGAAGAGGGGGAAAGGGGGGGAGAAGAGAGAGAGGAAGGAGGAAAAAGAACTGAAGGGGACGGGGATGAATCCACAATCGACGGAAAGAGAAGCTCGAAACACCATTCCGAAATTGTCCTAGAAGATTCTTTTGGGACCCAAATGTGACCCAAATGTGACCCAGGCTTATCCCAGAAGAGACACTTCGGGATGGTTGGAAAGTGTTAGTCCCAAAAGAAACTTCGAGGACAGGAACATTTCGGCGTTTCCCTGCCAGGAAACATGATCAAAGATGATAATGCGGCAGTGCCAATCAAATATGATTTTCTCGCTCCGCGTACACAACAGAGGGGAAGTACGTGACTCTGGATGCCGCGGCAGCAGACGCTAGTAGCGAGATCTCGCAACCGCCGACAATTTACCTCGCTCTGCATGTAATGTGGCAGCAGACGCTCGTAGCGAAACCACAGGCGACACACGAGCGACACGGAGCACCGGTCCGCGACGGACAGATGCGAAAAGATCTTCGCAATCACGTCGCGCGGCAGCTTGTGGATCGCCGCCGGCTCGTATGCAGGCCATGGCGGCGGTTGGGTCGTTAGTAGGCGCGGCGGCGGCTGGCTCGGTGGGTGCGGATTACTTCGTGAACTCTGCTCTTGCGATGATCGCGACGGCCGCAGTTGCATGAGATCCATCAGCCTCTGTTATAAAGGGACTAAGGTGAGCTAAAGATTCATGAAAGGAGAAATGACGCCGGAAATAAGCATATGTTGAGCGATATGAGCAGAAACCGATATGTTTGAGGAGAAACCGACGAATTTGAGCCCAAAACCGAGGGATTTGAGCAAGAATCGTGTAGGTTCGAACCTTCGAATTTTAGTGAAATTTCAATTTTTTGAATGGGATGGGCCAGAGCAGATCGAATGAGAGTGAGGAGGAACGAGGAGAGGAGGCGGAGGGAAGGGGAGCGGAAGAGAGGGGAGCGAAGGGGAAGGGAGCGAAGCGGAAGGGAGAGAAGGGGAAGGGAGAGGAGCGGATGGGGAAGCAGGGGAGCACGGGGGGGAAGGGAGAAGGGGTCCAATCGGAGGACGGGAGAGCTCTACTGTAGATTCGCGTGCGTCGAAAGGCAGACAAACACAACCGCGCTTGGGACGAATGCACGCATGGCAGAACAAACCGCCCAAACCAACGAGCGGCTGCGATGAGGCGTGAAGTGAAATGTCCAATGCTCGGCGGCGGCGATTTGGTTTCGGCTGGCTGGCAAGGAAACTGGTAAGTGCTGCAGCAAAACGCACCGTTACAGAACGATACCAACCGATTAACCGTGTGACGCCCTAGATCACAGCGAGACCACATGGCACGGGACGGGATGGCACAGCAGCTGCTGCCGACGCAGTGCGAGAGGCTCCACAGTGTAATGCACTGTACTGCCAGGGTGGTTGTTTGCGGTGGTGGGTGGACGCACTGCACCACCTTCCATCCTCCATCGACCCCTGGGCTCTGGGTAGGTTCGGTTGTCTCACCTCATCTCATCACATTTCTAATCACAGCCACTCCCTGGTTGTCTTCGCAGCATTTTTCGGGAATCGGGTTTCGGTACAGTACAGTGCACCAATTCCCAAGGTGGTGGTGGGGTGACGCATCACTCCCCAGCTTACGGCGGGTCAAACTTCGTTCAATTTCGGTTCAGTGTAGGTTCCAGAGCGGTTTTCTTGCATCACCGCTTTGAACCGCTACCCACCAGTCCGAACAGTGATACCTGAACTGAATACTACCGAGGCGTGACCCGCCCTACATAAGGACGCATTGAAAGTAGACGATCGATCGTCAGTCGCGATCGATGTGCAGCTCAGTTGCCCTCTTTACTAGGCTGTAACCATGCTACAACACGCTTTTAAGCCAAATTTCTGTACAGTGTGTGAATGCGACTGATCACCGATAGCGGGAGATCTGTCAATTCTCAGCTGCGATCGTTACAACGTCGCGGTCGCCAAGTTGCGCCAATCGATCTGCCCACTCGATTGTGGGGATCGATATATGCAGACGATCCTGCGATATTTGCACTTCACCGCGTCCTAACACAATCCACCACCGCTGCGGATGGTTGTGCCATTCGCGGATCCTCGTCCGCTGAGTCTCACACTCGCCGCTGAGTCTCAGGTTATATTTCACGGTATTTTCGGGAATCAAGAATCGGGATTTGGTAATACAGCTCCCTAGGTAGTGGTGGAGTGGAGTTGTAAGTGACCCATCGTCCCTCCTTCCCTTGCTTTACATTCAGGGATCTTCTCTTCCTCCTCTCCCATTCTTCCATCAGATTTCACCCCAGTTACTAGCCGATGATAAAGTTAGCTCTTCAATTATCACTCTTAGCTCGTAACTCTCTTTACTATCACTCCCGTTATTATTATACTAGGTTCTGTTAGCGTGATTATCATGGCGCCGCCGCCGCCCTCGCAACCGGCCCAGCAGGACCAGATTCGCTTTCCTCCGACTTATCCGCCGAATCAACCTCCGCGCCACCCTCCAAACCAGCCTCCGAGCCTACGACCGAACCAACCGCCGCGCAATCCGCCGCCATGGCCGGCGTACGAGCCGGCGACGATCCACAAGCTGCCGCGTGACGTGATCGCGAAGATCTTTTCGCATCTATCCGTCGCAGACCGGTGCTCCGTGTCGCTCGTGTGTCGCCTGTGGTTTCGCTACGAGCGACTGCTACCGCATTACATGCAGAGCGAGGTAAATCGGTAGTGTTACGCATCATCGTTTCCGCTGCCGCCGCGGCGTTAGTGATACATGCAGACCCTGCATTATAACCGCATTTGCCGCAGTTTATGCCTTTTCAGAGCGAGGGAAATTACACTGAGGGCCCAGTGAACGCTCGTTCACCATTTTCCTCCCTAAGCAGGTAAATCGAGTTGAAACCCTAGAGATAAGACCCCGTTCTCGTTGCTACCCAATTTTCATTATCTCTCCGTCATCATTCCCTGTGCCCCTCCCGAATACCCCGCAGGTCAGCGCAGCGGAGCTTCGCTTCGTGCTGCGCCGCTTCCCGCTGATTCGCACGTTGCGCATCCGCTTCTTCGGCCCCACCGTGCTTCCGGGGGCGCCGCGGGAGCAGCGCGCGGAGGACCGCCACCACAAGCGCCCAGGAGGGGGGAGAGTGGGGGTGGGGGAAATAACAGGGGCTGGGGACGGTGGAACAGGTGCTGCCGGAGGCGGAACAGAAGCAGGGGGAGGCGGAACAAGGGCCGGGGGAGGTGGAACTAGGGGAGGAGAACGCGGAACGCGGAGCGCACCTCAAGCCGCCGCGACGCCCGCGGCCTCCGCTCCGCCTGCCCCCGTCCCCGCGTTTCCAATCAGCGACGCGGATGTTCTAGACGGATCCGCCATTGTGCGGCTGCTCTCTCTCAACACGCCCCTGCAGATACAACAGGTGGCAGGCACACAGGTAGAGTATCTCTGTATTTGCAACTGCGGGGAGTTTGAGATTCACCAGGGGTTAAGAACCTACATGTGCGATACGATCGCCACCTGGGGGCGCAGTATTCGGCACATTGAGATGCACGACCCGATGCCTTCCGCGGATGAGTTCTGGAAATGCGTGGAGGGGCATCCGGCGCTTAGCAAAGTGACGGTGTTTAGGTGCACGCACTTAACGGACGGGTTTCTCCGCCACGTGGCCAAGTGCGCCGCGCTGAAGGAGATCTCGATCGCCAGCTGTCCGAACGTGAGTGGCGGCGGGTTTGCTGAGCTGGCGGAGAAGTGCCCTGGATTGGAGGGGATGGTTCTGGAAGATCTGAGTCTGTCCGTTGTGGCCAAAAAAGCGCGCAGCGCGCCTGGCGGAGGGCGGGCGGGCGGGGGAGGGGCGGGGGGAGGGTTGGGGGAAGGGGCAGGGGGAGGGGTGGGGGAAGGGAGAGTGGGCTTGGATGGGAGAGCAGCAGAAGGGGAAGCAGAATGGGGAGGGGGCGGGGCAGGGGAGGATGTGCGCATGGGCGAAGGGGGGGAAGAGGCGGAGAGGGGGGCTGGCGGCATGGAGGGTGGGGAGTGGCGAGAGGGAGACAGGGCGGAAGAGAGCTTAAGGCGGACAGGTGAGGAGGATGCGGCGGTGAGGGTGGCTCGGGCAGATGGGATAGGCGCAATGCGGGCAGGTGAGGGGGCGAGTGAGGTGGATGGGTGGGGTGCGGTGGTGGGAGCGAGAGGAGAGGCAGAGGCGGGGACAGAGGTACAATTAAGAGCAGACGGGACGGCAGCAGCAGGAAGGGGAGGCAGTCTCGCTGCATCCTTCCCTAACCTCTCCTCCTTGAAACTGATTAACTGTGCGCTCGATGCTCATTGGCTGGAAATGTTTGGCGGGCAGCTTCCCGCCCTGCGCAGGCTGACGGTCATGGCCTGCCCGGACCCACTCGACCGGTTCTTTCTGACCGCTGCCTGGACAGCTGCCCGGCTGGAGAGTGTTGAGATTATAGACTGTGAGGGCGTGAGCGACCGAGGTATTGTGGCTCTCCTAAAAGGCTGCCGGACAATTAACTCCCTGACTCTGAGTGGGTGCGAGGGCGGGAGGGGAGACGGAGAAGAGGGAGGAGGAACAGAAGGGAGGCGAGAAGGAAGAGGAGGAGAAGGGAGAGGAGAACGGGGAGAGGAAGAAGGGAGAGGAAGGAGAGGGGAAGGAGGTGAGGGCGGGGGCAGTAGCAGTGCGGCGAGGGTGACGGAGGAGAGTCTGAGGGCGGTGGTGGTTCATGGAGTGAGCCTGCGATCGCTGCAGCTCAAATGGAGCCCCGGATTCACTGGCCAGCAGCTCGCAAGAGACATGCTGGGCTGTACACTCACTCTCTTGTCTCCACCTGCTTCTCGGGCGGCCTCTTTTGTCCCGGTTCCGGCAGCGGGGCCTGGTGCTCCTGTGATGCTGCCACCCCGTGGTGTGGATTCCCATGGGTTGCAGGCAGATGCGTCACAAATGCATGTGCTGCAGTTACATGTTGTACAGTCACCTGACACACACACACATTCCTTACAATCACCAGACACACAAATGCATCCCTTAGAGCCACCCGACATGCACACGCATCCCTTACAATTCCCTGACACACCCGCACACCCCTTACAATCACCTGACGCGCACGCCCATCACATACTGTCACACAGTTTACAGTCACAGCGGCTACAGTCACATGTGCTGCCGCTGCTGCAGCTGGGGTGGACTGGGGTGGAGAGTCTGCATCTGGAGGGGTTGGATGGGCTCTCCGACTCCTTCCTGCTGCTCGCTGCTGCCTCCTGCCCCCGCCTCTCCACACTCGCTGTGGAGTATTGCAGGTTCGTTGCCATGTGATGCGGTGCAATGCGGTAGAATGTGGTGTAATGTGGTGATGCTGGGTGCAGTGCGGTGCAGGGGTGTGTGTGGGGTGGAGTGGGGTGGAGAGTCTGCACCTGGAGGGGTTGGATGGGCTCTCCGATTCCTTCCTGCTGCCTCCTGCCCCCGCCTCTCCACACTCGCCGTCGAGTATTGCAGGTGGGTCGCGGTGTGATGCGTTGATGATATGTGCAGTGCGGTGCTGGGGTGGGGTGGGGTGGGCTGGAGAGCCTGCAGCTGCAGGGAGATCTTCGTGCCTGCGTGAGGTCGTGCCATCGCCTGCAGCACGTGTGCTGCTCTTGCTTCCTTCCCTTCCCAGCCTCTCACTTCATCTCCATCCACTATCCTCTCACTTGCCCCATTCCCCCTCCGCCCCTCGCTCCCCCCATGTCCGCCCACAGGGAGATATCAGAGGCAGGGCTCATCCCGCCGCCTACCTGCTTTTTGGTGCGTTTCTTCATCCTACCCTCTCACATGCCCATCCCTCCCTGTCTTCTGCCCGCAGGGAGATCTCAGAGGCAGGGCTCATCCCCCTGGTGCAGTCGTGCCATCACCTGCAGCACATGTGCTTCTCTGGCTTCCGCACCACCCACCCTATCCTGTAACATGTGCATCCCTGCCTTCCTCCTCCCGTCTTGCAGGGAGATATCAGAGGCGGGGCTCATCCCCTTGGTGAGGTCGTGCCATCGCCTGCAGCACATGTGCTTCTCTGGCTTCCGTGCCAGCCATCTCTCCGACCTCCTCCTTCACACCATCGCCTCGCACTGCCCGCTGCTCACCACTCTCTCCCTCCGCGCCTGTAACGGGGTTACCACACATGGCGTCCTGCGCGTGCTGCAGGGCTGCGGGCGAATCGCGAGGTGCCAGCTGGCGCGGTGTCAGGAGGTGGATGAGGAGTGGGTGGTGAGGGTTGCGAGGGAGGTTGGAGAGGCTCGGGGTAGAGGAACAGGAGGGAGTAGAGGTGATGGGGAAATGCCTGTGATTGAGGTATCCTGACCTCCTTTGTAAAGGAGTAAGATCGGTAATGGCGGTCTGCTTGCGGAGTAAAATATTCCGCGGCATTTGTAGTCTCAGAATGAGTCTTTGACTTTCCTGTCTGTTTATAAGTCACCCTGCCCAGGCCCTATCCTCAGGCCAGCCCAGCCCTACCCTAGCCTGGCCGAGCCTGCCCGCATTCCCGTCTTCATTCCCCACCCCATTACCACACTTTACCAAACCCATCGCTTTGACTTTCCAGTCAGTTCCTTGGTAATCCTGCCCAGGTCCTGTCCTCAAGCCCAGCCTCGTCCTCCTAGCCTAGCCTGCTTTCAATTGGCTTCATCATCATCACCACAGCTTGTCAGATGCTGACAACAAAACATGCCCCGCACTTCTCCTGGTGAAGGCAAGAAGCATGTCCAGGCGTGATGAGACAATTTTTGAGTCGACTTCGCCTCATCACACACCATTAAGTGACTACTGGGCTGAATAACCTTTTCTCAGAAGAGACATCAGTACTGCAACCTTGACGACACAACATACTGTCTCAGGGCAAACAAAACATGCCTAGATGTTGTTCAGCCAAGCTTTTGTGAGCACATGGTATTTAGTACAACCGAAAATCGCTGTATGACATGGTATTAGGCAAAGATATGCATGGTATTGTGGATAGCTACTAGCTACACTAAGCTAGGACGATCCAAACAGAGAATGGATCTTGTATCTTATCGGGGAGTACTACGAGGTGTACTGCTCGGTTGAGATGACCTAGTTGCGGGGCGGTTTCCCCTTCTCCCCCTTGCCCGCCTTTTTCTTCCCCCGTTGCTCCCACTGGCGCTGATGGCCGGGCGGAAGCACAGTTGCGCCAGTGCCCTTGCGCAACTGCCCGCGCACAGCCCCCTCGCTGAAGTTCGGGGTTGCGACAACCAGGTAAAAGCTGCCCGGGTCAGCCAGAATTTTCTCGAACACGGTGGAAAGGGCCTCGCCAGAGGCCGTGCGAATGTTGGCGACGTCTTCCCACACTCCAGTCGTTGCATAGCTGAGATATTCTTCCGCGGCGTCGGCGACAGCCGCGTCCGACGAGTTCTCTGCGACGGACGACGCGAGAACGACGTCGCCGGCCTGTGTGCGAACGACGCCCGTCGTGTTCACCCAATCAGCTCCGGCGAAATCCACCACCACGGGCCCAGTCGCGTTGCTGCCGCCGCTGTTGATCGTCGCACCCATCGGCAGCTGGGCCGCCGACACGCGGCGCACGGATAGGATATACCTGACGCTCATCTTCGCGCCGCTTTTATAGACGGTCAGAATCGCGTTGCCCGTCGCGTTCTCGTCGCCGCCGGCAGCGGTGATGACGGACGATCCGCGGAGGACGGTTCCCACCTTCCCCACCTTCTGCCCCAGCGGTCTCTTCTTGCTTTCCGCGGGGCTGGGGCTGGGGGCGACCGCGGGACCGGGTGCGGGACCAGCGGCAGGGCTGGGGGCGGGGCTGGGGGCGGGATGCGCCTTCGGTCCGCGGATTGTGCCTGTGCCCTGCTGCTTTCCGCCTGTCGCCTGCTTTCCGCCTGGCGCCTGCTTTCCGCCCGGCGCCTGCTTTCCGCCCGGCGCCTGCCTTCCGCCCGGCGCCTGTTTTCCGCGCGGCGCCTGCTTTCCGCCCGGCGCTTGCTTTCCGCCCGGCGCTTGCTTTCCGCCCGGCGCTTGCTTTCCGCCGGGAGCAGCCTTACCCCCGGGGGCTTTGCCCTTGGGGGTTGGCGCATCGACCTTCCCCTTGGGAGCGGGCGCATCGACCTTGTGGCCAGCGGCTCCTCTCGTTTTCGGGTTCGGCGCGGCGGCGGTAGTTTCGGGAATGTCGGTAGTTTCCAAGGTCCTTGGCTCGACGGCGGGAACGATGGGATCCGTGATGGTGACGGGGTTGGTGGGATTGGCGGGGTCGGCAGGTATGGCGGGGTCGGCGGGAATGGCGGGGACTGCTTGGAGCATTCTGGCGTCAGTTTGGCCTGAAAGGCGGGAGAGGAAGCAGCAGGGAATTTACGAAGCATGGTGGATTTAAACAGGGAACGGAATTCGGGCAATAACATATTTGGAGTGTTCCGAAGGGAGTTCGACTCCTAACATGCGCCCTGATTGACATCCATGGAAACTAATGCCGAGAAAGAAACCAATCTGAGAGGTGGAATACCGTATTCCCGTGACCAGATGACAGGGCCTTACATGAGAGGGCGAGAATCGCCAGAAGCGCCAATAGCAAACGAGTAGTCGACATAGCTAGCGTGGATTTGCTGTCGCACGTGATATGCTGGTGGTGATGACGAGACAAATGCCAAAAAGGTGGCAGGGTTGCGAGAATCGCTGGAAATTGATGTTGTTGCTAGAGCGTTAGGCGAAATGTGATGAAGGTGTTGTGTTTGCTACGATGGTCGAGGGTTTTTGTAGGGCTTCCATTCCATCACGGATGCCATATGCGATCTGGCAAATGGTCGGTGCTGGTGGGAGGGGAGAATTCCTCATCCAAGCCGCGACATTGGATTTAGAATGTCACGAAATGCGGCTCGGTGGAGTGTGCGACGTAATCAGCGCGAACCGACCAACTTGCTGGAGGGCGGGTAACGGCGATTGATGCTTTTGAAAATTATTTTTCATTGGGCTGGTCTCGCGGGCAGTTTTTTTTTGTCAGAAGGGTATTGTGACTGACCGTGGGCGACGGTGTCCAGGTGACCAGGATTTCGTCGGAAATTCGGCCGTCGCAAGGTGCTGCCAGCTGTGTGGAGCGAAATTTATCGCGGAACCTGGACGCAAATTCGCCTCCCTCCTCGAATCTGAACGGTCACAGGCGACGGTGCCAAACATTTTGACACACGAGATTATAACGTTTCATTGGACCTCCTGGACGTTCCTTTCCTCAGGGACACCCCTTGTTTCTGGTGCTTTCAGAACAAGATTTCGATTCGACTGCTTGGACCCGTTAGAGATTCTGGCAGAAAAACGCTTGGGCGATGTGGCCGTCAACTCAACTCAAACGGAGGAGGCAATATTTCGGGGAGTTTCGCCAAATCAAAACAAGAGCAGCCCAGGCAATGCGAAGTCATCGCCGTCAGCTTCTGACATCTTCGGCATAAGGTGATCAGATACTTGCAACTATAAACACCTAACCACCGCGAGTACTATACTGCATTTCTCAAAGTTGCAAATCATCTCAGCACCTACCATCTCGTCGATCCATCACCAGAAACTATCACATGTGCACACAATGCAGCTGAAAGATTCGGACAGTTGAGAGGTATTTACCGTATTCAATCATTGCTCTGCCGTTCTGGGGAACACCCATGCACCAATTTTGAGTTCCAATGTTAGTGCTTCTACAAAATATTAGTCACAATGAGATGCCATTTCGAGGATCATCTGTCAGGTCATTGAAAGTTTCCACTCTTCTTCGTGCCGCTGCAAAGACGGAATAGTCCACTATGGCCTGAAGGACAATACATTCAAGTTGAGAAGGGCATTCAATCGAGGGAGAGGGGGGGGGGTGGGGGAGGCAATGACCATTTAGACATCCCAGTGTGCTCGAATACAAATGACCTCACAGATAAGTTGTGAAATGCGGCTAATGAAAGGCCTAGAGGAAGTAGGGTTTTCAAGGAATCATCATGCCAGAGCACAACAAACCTTTTAGATAAGCACATCGATGCGCAAGTTTCCTCCACTCTCACAACCCACATAGGCCTCACCTGCATGTACGAATCAAATGCCACCTCCCCCTGGCCTTCCATGAGTCTCAGGGCGTCTCAGAACTAACCTCCATGTAAGAATCGAATGCCACCTCCCCCTGCCCCTCCATGAGCGCCAGTTGCGCCCTCCACCAGTCGCTGCCTTCCCCCCACAGGTGTGCATAGTCCCCCAGCATACGCACTTGGTACAGCCCCCCTCCGCCCCTTCCGCCCCCCCCCTTCCCTCCGCCCATCTTCCCCCCCTGGCCCTCTTCTTCCCCTTGCCCCCATTGCCCCCGGTGCTGCTCCCCCCTCTGGTTCGCGCGCAGCGGATCAAAGAAGGAGGGGGTTTCGTCACTCGCAATATACACGGACCGTCCAGGGGAGATGAGCTGGGGGAGCTTCACCGCCAGGCTGAGGAAGGGAAGGCAATCGGAGGGCGCAGCAATGGAGGGCAAAGGGAGAGTGGTGCAAAGGGGTTGGGCGAGGTGATCAACGAAGGAAGGAGCTTCGTCACTTGTGGTGTACACTGACTGCCCAGAGGGGATGAGGCTTGGGGCGCTTCTCTGCTAGTCTGAGGAAGAGGAAACGTAGGGAAGGCAACTGGGGGGGGCAAAGGGAAGACAAAAAAGGAGGGCAATGGGAGAGCAGAGGGAGGACAAAGGGAGGGAAAAGGGCAGCGCGAAGGGAGGGCAATGGGAGGGCAAAGCGAATAGGGGATGAGGCTGGGGAGAAGAGGGTGTGTGGCATTTCCAGCAAGAGGAAATTAATATGCGGTGAAGAATCAAGACGGTGAGAAACAAGCGCGAGTTTCAACCCGAGTACACTTGAACAGTAGGTTTTCAAGCAGAATACGCTTGAACAGAGCCGTTTCAAGCAGCTTACGCTTGAACAGAAGTATCCCGAGCAAGGTTGGGCCAGCGACTCGTATCCCTCGCCTTATCCCCTCGCCTCACATGCACAGCATCGTAGTCCCCTCCATCCATACTCGTTATAAGTGTATCGAGCAACTTACACTTCAATAGAGGTGTCTTGAGCAAGGTTGGGCCAGCGAGTCGTATCCCTCGCCTTATCCCCCCGCCTCACATGCACAGCATCATAGTCCCCTCCATCCATACTCGTTATAAGTGTATCGAGCAACTTACACTTCAATAGAGGTGTCTTGAGCAAGGTTGGGCCAGCGAGTCGTATCCCTCGCCTTATCCCCCCGCCTCACATGCACAGCATCATAGTCCCCTCCATCCATACTCGTTATAATCTGCCCCACTACCGCCCACAGCTCCGGCCGGTACTCTATGGCCGACCAATCGGAAGACACCCGGCCACCGTTCCTGGGGTCTTCGCAGTCCGCGAATCCCGTGGCTGCCTGCCGAACCAACAGGACAGGCTCGGATAGTCGAAGCAGGTCTTCCAGGGTTGCCGATTCCGGAGCTATTGCAGCAATAAGGCGTTCCGCCTGACCGTTCATCTCCTCCCCCATCTCCCTCCTTCGCGCCCGCTCGCCGTTCTCCCCATTCTCCCCATTCTCCCCATTCTCCCCATTCTCCCCATTCTCCCCATTCTCCCCATTCTCCCCATTCTCCCCATTCTCCCCATTCTCCCCATTCTCCCCATTTCCCCGCTTCTCCCCGCTCTCCATCTGCTCCCCTTTACCCCCCCCTGCACCTTCCCCGTTCCGCAACCCCCACTGCGCGCTCTCCCGCACGAACCGCTGCAGCGGAGCCATGGGCGCAAGGCTCACGCGCGCAAGGTCGAAGTACGCGAACAGGGGCTGCACGTGCCGGCGCGTGCCGGCGGCGCGCTCGTGCTCGGGCGCCGTGCTACTCTTGGACGCGTCCACCTCCGCAGCCACTCCACCCGGCGCGCGCTCGTGCTCGGGCGCGGTGCACTTGGACGCGTCCACCAGCAGCGTGCGGCGGAGCGCGCGCGCGACGGACAGCTGGCACGCGAGGCTGGTGCGCGTGTGCGCCACGCCCGCGCACGCCTCGTTGCGCAGAGAGAAGAACAGGAAGCGGCGGCGGGGGGGATGACGGGGAGCAGCGGAGAGCGCCCGCGCCCCCGAGGTACTGTCGCTCCCGCTCCCGTTATTGTCACTTTCGATACTGCCGTTCTCGCTGCTGCCCCGATCGCCCCAGAGGTAGCTTCCTGGTACTTTTGGCCATGGTGCGGAGTCGCCCCACCATGCGGCGGGCAGGGAGTCCCAAGGAATGCCGCTGCGCTCCTCCACCGCGCGCAGCTCGCGCTGTATCTCGGGGGAATCCACGAAGAGGCTGTACTCGCTTGTAGCGGACCCGGTACTCGGGGTAGGAAGGTCGGTTGAAGAGGAGTCGACAGATGATGGGTTTACCACCATTTCAGGCACAGCGCCTGGCTCCCGCTGCTGCTGCTTCCGCTGTTGCTGCTGATTGGTTGGAAAAACTGGGTGTAGTGCGGTGTCAGCAGCATCTGCAGAGCAGCTCCAGCCTGGCAGGCGCGGGGTGGAAAAGAGATTGGCGCGAACCATTTGAGCACGTCAGACTCCATATTGTGGAGAAATGCGGTACACGCTAAAGTGTTTTGCCATAACACTGTCTGGTTATCGCATACACATAACATTACTCAAAACGCTGGAACATGTGACCACTGCCATATCCTCATTTTGTAGTTTTTGAATGAAACGCTCCAATGTTGGTTGTTTGTTATAACACATATGCATATGCTGGGTTACAATACAAAGCAGCAAAACTAGTCTGCAAAATCAGGACAAATACTTCACAAATTCCCACATGGTACAAGTCTCACGTATCATTAGCTACTCCACGAGCCTCATCCGAAGCGGCATGCCGTATTTAGGGCTAAGCGCAATCCCCATAGTTGACAAGTGTACATAAGTGGGTGAGAGATCCCACTCAAGACAACTCAGCATGTGTGCAAGAACCACCTTGGCCTCCGAGAGAGCAAAGTTTGAGCCGATGCAATCCCGAGGGCCCGCTGAGAAAGGCAGAAAGGCCTGTGGGTGCGAGCATGCTCCCTGTATCCCATCTGTGGAAGTGGGGACGCATAGAGAGACGAGGAAGGGAGTTTTGAGTCGACTCCAAGGCTTGCGAATGCAAGCATGCTCCTTGTATCCCATCTGTGGGTGCGGGGATTTATGAAAAGGGGAGGACGGTATTTTGGAAGCTGCTGACGCACATTTTTTCCAGAGCATCTGCTTTGTCAGCAACTGTTGAGATGCGGCGGGTGGCCTTGGAAACTGCCAGTTAGGTCATGCGAAGTGGCAATGTTAGGTCATGCGAGGTGGCAATATTCTCCTGGCAGCTGTTCAAGGTTAGTATGTCGTGAGGTTAATATTGTACCATACATAAAAACACTCCAAGTGAATCACTTTTGAGAATTCTCAATAGTGATTTCCGTACAGTGCTGTACCATACATACATCCAAACACTTCAAACGAATTCGTGCTGCGCAGTCTCCTTGCGCACTCATTTAGGGTGAGAGCACACTGTGGGCAGGCTCCTTGTATTCCAACGTTGGGGGCAGATGGAGAGGGACGGCAGTAGGGGGAGGAAGGCTTGAATCCCAATGCATCCTCCCACCAGAAACGAGAGTCACTCTGAGCCATGGTATGGCTGTCCTGCGCACCTCTGAATCTCACCCGAACTGAATGAGCCGCTGAGATTCCTCCCCTGACCACCGCTGAGGTTTGATGGGCTGAACCTCACCTTTGAAGCGTGCTGGGTTGAACTCTATATCGTCCTCCCACCAAAATGCGGGCCTCGCTCTGCGCCAAGCCTCTCTCTGCGCCAAACCTCTCTCTGCGCCAAGCCTCTCTCTGCGCCAAGACTCTCTCTGCGCCAAGCCTCTCTCTGCGCCAAGCCTCTCTCTGCGCCATGCCTCGCTCTGCGCCAAGCCTCGCTCTGCGCTAGGGCGATTGCTCTCCTGCCCATCCTTGAATCTCAACCACTTGAACCGCTGAGCTGCCCACCTCTGTACGTTGATGCCCCAGACTCAAACCTCACCTTTGAAGCGTGCTGGGTTGAACTCTAGAGCGTCCTTCCCCCAGAAGCGCGGGTCACTCTGTGCTATGCTGATGGCCATAGTGATGCGTGTGCCTGCTGGGAGAGAGTAGGGGCCAAGGGAGACGTGCTGCAACAAGGAAGGGGAGGGAGCGGAAGCGAGGGAAGAAAGGTTGCTTTGCGGGTGATGACAGGGGTCGGGGGGGAGAGCCGGAGTGTCTCTAGCAGCACATTTTTGAGTTGACTCAGCGATAGCAGCACCATGTGCATCTCGCTCACCTGCCTTTTGAGTCGACTCAAAGGTTAGCTCTCTTTTGAGTCGACTAAAAAGTCAGCTCTCTTTTGAGTCGACTCAAAAGTCAACTCAGTGATAGCAGCACCATTTGCAACTCGCTCACCTGCCCCACTTGCCTGATTGTCCTCCAAGGCACATGCTCCCACACTTGACCACTTGCATTCGTACGGTCATACCCGCACTGAATTGCACAGGGCTCGACTTTTAAGTCGACTCAAAAGCCATCTCTTACACACTTGACCACTTGCATTCGTACGGTCGTACCCGCACCGCATTGCACAGGGCTCACCTTGCTTGCTTGCTTCGCGGGTGATGGCAGCGGTCGGGGGGAAGAGCCGCAGTGTCTCCAACAGCACCATATGCATCTCACTCAACCGCCCCACTTGCTCCCACGTCACTTTCCTTCCCCCCTTCCTCCTCCCGTTGCCCTGCTCCGCTTCCCCTCGCAACGCTTCCTTCTCCCCTTCCCCTCCTCCCCCCCCCTTCTCCCCTCCTACCCCCAGTTTCTCCGCCCCTCCCTCCCTGTTCGCCCCTCCCCCTCCTCCTCCCCCACCTTCAAGCGTCTCCCTCTCTCCCTACCACCCGCCACACCTCCTCCCTACCACCCGCCACACCTCCTCCCTACCACCCGCCACACCTCCTCCCTACCACCCGCCACACCTCCTCCCTACCACCCGCCACACCTCCTCCCTACCACCCGCCACACCTCCTCCCTACCACCCGCCACACCTCCTCCCTACCACCCGCCACACCTCCTCCCTACCACCCGCCACACCTCCTCCCTACCACCCGCCACACCTCCTCCCTACCACCCGCCACACCTCCTCCCTACCACCCGCCACACCTCCTCCCTACCACCCGCCACACCTCCTCCCTACCACCCGCCACACCTCCTCCCTACCACCCGCCACACCTCCTCCCTACCACCCGCCACACCTCCTCCCTACCACCCGCCACACCTCCTCCCTACCACCCGCCACACCTCCTCCCTACCACCCGCCACACCTCCTCCCTACCACCCGCCACACCTCCTCCCTACCACCCGCCACACCTCCTCCCTACCACCCGCCACACCTCCTCCCTACCACCCGCCACACCTCCTCCCTACCACCCGCCACACCTCCTCCCTACCACCCGCCACACCTCCTCCCTACCACCCGCCACACCTCCTCCCTACCACCCGCCACACCTCCTCCCTACCACCCGCCACACCTCCTCCCTACCACCCGCCACACCTCCTCCCTACCACCCGCCACACCTCCTCCCTACCACCCGCCACACCTCCTCCCTACCACCCGCCACACCTCCTCCCTACCACCCGCCACACCTCCTCCCTACCACCCGCCACACCTCCTCCCTACCACCCGCCACACCTCCTCCCTACCACCCGCCACACCTCCTCCCTACCACCCGCCACACCTCCTCCCTACCACCCGCCACACCTCCTCCCTACCACCCGCCACACCTCCTCCCTACCACCCGCCACACCTCCTCCCTACCACCCGCCACACCTCCTCCCTACCACCCGCCACACCTCCTCCCTACCACCCGCCACACCTCCTCCCTACCACCCGCCACACCTCCTCCCTACCACCCGCCACACCTCCTCCCTACCACCCGCCACACCTCCTCCCTACCACCCGCCACACCTCCTCCCTACCACCCGCCACACCTCCTCCCTACCACCCGCCACACCTCCTCCCTACCACCCGCCACACCTCCTCCCTACCACCCGCCACACCTCCTCCCTACCACCCGCCACACCTCCTCCCTACCACCCGCCACACCTCCTCCCTACCACCCGCCACACCTCCTCCCTACCACCCGCCACACCTCCTCCCTACCACCCGCCACACCTCCTCCCTACCACCCGCCACACCTCCTCCCTACCACCCGCCACACCTCCTCCCTACCACCCGCCACACCTCCTCCCTCACCCGCCTCTGCCACTCAGGATAGCGAGCAAGGAGGTACACAGCCCAGGTAAGTAACTTGGCAGTTGTCTCGTGACCCGAAGGAATGGGAGAAAGGGGTGGAAGAAGGATGGGCTATGTCACACCTCCTCCCTACCACCTTCCTCACCTCCTTCCTCACCCGCCTCTGCCGCTCGGGATAGCGAGCAAGGAGGAGCACAGCAGATTGCCCACGTGAGCAGATTGCCCACGTGAGCAGCTCCCTTCACTGAGCAGCCCCCTTTCACTGTCCGCTCAGGATAGTGTGCGAGGAGGAGCACAGCCCACGTGCGAGGAGGAGCACAGCCCACGTGAGCAGCTTGCCTGTTGTCCCGTGGCCGGACAGTGAAAGGGGGATGGGGGTGTGAGAGCCTGTTTTTGAGTCGAATCAAAAACTTGTCCCGTGGCCGGAAAGTGAAAGGGGGATGTGCTCCCATGGGGGTGTGAGAGCATGGGAGCATGTGACTGTGGTCCCCCCCTCACCCGCCTCTGCCAGTCCGGGTAGCAGTCAGCAGGTAGACGGCACAGGTGGGTAGCTTTGCTCTTGTATGGTGACCTGACCTGTGAATGGGAGGGGTGGAGAAAGGACGGAAGCGTGAGAGCATGAGAGTGTGGGAGCATGGGAGCATGACACAATGTCTCCCCCCCTCTCCTGCCACTCATATCATCAGGCATAGCATTCACTGCAGTGAGGCATAGCACTCACTGCAAGGCATAGCACTCACTGCAAGGCCTGCACCTCGTTTTGAGTCGACTCAAAAGTCACCTCCTGCCACTCATACCATCAGGCATAGCACTCACTGCAACTCATGGGAGCATGGGAGCATGGCACAATGTCTCCCCCCCTCTCCTGCCACTCATATCATCAGGCATAGCACTCATTGCAAGGCATAGCACTCACTGCAGTGAGGCATAGCATTCACTGCAAGGCCGGCACCGTCACCCATCACCATCGGTCACCAACCATCAGCAAACACTACAGAACCGAACTTCATCCCACATCACCGCAGCGCAATCACCACGTGCACTCCGCCTGCACCCATCACCATCATTCAGCACCGTCTAGCACCGCACACGCAAAGCACCACGCACACAGCACCTCTCATCACCGCATAGCAGCACCCACGCAACCCCCAGCACAACCCAGCACCGCACTGCACCGTACCGGCCACGAGGAAGGTGACGCATTCGTCCACGAGCTGCTGGTCGGTCATCTGCTCGTTGCTGACGTCATCCCTCGCTGCCAGCATCACTGCCAGGAGATCCTTCCTTGGTACGCCCTGGGGGGACAGGGGGAGGGAGGGGGGAGAGGTAGAGGGGGAAGGAGGGAGAGTTGGGGGGGAAAGGGGGAAGAGGTAGAGGGGAAGGAGGTTGATTGACGAACGTACAGCACATGCCAGCATCATCGCTAGCTGCCAGCATCACCGCTAGCTGCCAGCATCACCGCTAGCTGCCAGCATCACTGCCAGGGAGGTCCTTCCTTGGTGCGCCCTGAGGGGAATGGGGGAAGGGGTACGGAGAGAAGGGGGAAAGAGGGGAAGGGCGGAGAAGAGGGGAATGGGGGAATGGGTAAAAGGTGAAGGGGAGCACATTCTCCGCTGTGAAGGTGAAGGGGAGCATGGGGTAGGGGAGCATGGGGTAGGGGAGCATGGGGTAGGGGAGCATGGGGTAGGGGAGCATGGGGTAGGGGAGCATGGGGTAGGGGAGCATGGGGTAGGGGAGCATGGGGTAGGGGAGCATGGGGTAGGGGAGCATGGGGTAGGGGAGCATGGGGTCTCCTGTGATGAGTCGATATTTGAGAGACAGAGAGCTGGGTTACTTTCTCCACGCCCTCTCTCCTCTCCTGCTCTTCCTACTGCCTCTCCCCTTTTCAGACTTTCCCAGCACCTTCAAGCTCTCACCGCTTGCTCCTGTCGCCGCCTGGCAATGAGGTCCAGAGACAGCCGCCTCACTTTCTCCTCTGCCTGCTGCAACGCTCTGTTCTCCTGTGTGGGTATCCAGCTGATGGAACATGGGAGACAAGACACACGCATGGAAACACGGGGGGAAGGAGATGGATATGAAGTTGAGAGTACGGGAAAGTAATATGAGAGAGTAGTACGGGAATGCGGTGAGAGCAATATGAGAAAGTACTCTCCGCTGCTTGCTGCAGGGCTCTCTCCTCGGCGGGCAGCCATATTTTTGAGTCGACTCAAAAACGGCCACGTCACTTTCTCCGCTGCTTGCTGCAGGGGCAGCGGGGGGCAGCGGGGCAAGACAACATATCTATTAGGCGCCTCGGTAGATCTCTCCGCTGCTTGCTGCATTGCTCTGTGCTCCTGCGGTAGCCAGCTGATGGCATGTGGGAAGAGAGGGAGGGGGGGGGGGGAGGTGAGGAGAGAGGACAGGGAGGTAAGATGATATGTGTTTTTTTCATGAGCCTCAATAGTCCCCTCCTTTCTTGCTGCTGCACTGAGGTGACTTTTGAGTCGACTCAATAGTCCCCTCCTTTCTTGCTGCTGCACTGCTCGGTCCTCCTGGGTGGCCAGCCAATGGCACATGGGATGGGCTCACGTGTACAAGGGGATGAGAAAACGGCCAGAGAAGAAGTGCTCTGTGCTGCGAGTGCTGCGAGTGCTGAGCGAACTGAAGGAGCTACCCTGTTTTGAGATCCCACCAAACGAGCTCACGTATAGAAAGGGATGAGGAAGCGGCCTGAGAAGAAACGCTCTGTGCTTCCAGTGCTGAGCGTGCTCACCGCCTCATATACCTCCCTTACACTCCTCCCCTCCTCCTCTCCCCCTCCATATACCTCCCTCACACTCCTCCCCTCCTCCTCTGCCCGCCTCTCCTCGCTCCCTCCCTGCCCCTCCTCCTCCGTCCCCCTCCCATCACTGCTAGCAGGTCTCGCCCTGCTGCTGTAAGCAGCTGTGCTGGGCGCCCCTCTGCTGCTGACAGGGGAGCCAAAGGCAGCAAGGCCAATGATGCCAAGAGTGAGAGCGGTGAAGGCAGGGTACATGTCAATCTCACACCCCCCGCTGCCGCTGCGGCCGCCGCTGCCGCTGCCGCTGCCGCTGCCGCTGCCGCTGCCGCTACCGCTGCCGCTGCTGCCACTGCTGTTACTGCTACTGCAGTTGCTGCTGCCACTGGCTTGGGTTACGGTGTGAACCCACTGCTGCACTGCCCTGCGCGCTTGCTCGTCCATCACGGTCACTGCGTGCTGTGGTGGGTTGGAAGGGGTTGGTTGGGGTAAGAGGAGAGGAAGGGGATGGGACAGGAGGAGGGGAAGGAGATGAAGAGGGGATGGAGGGGTAAATGACGAAGGCCGATACCCCATAACTACTGCACCTCCTTGTTTGCTGCTCGCCAGGAAGCTCACCGCTCTCCACCCTGCTCGCCAGTGGGGTTGACTGACTGCCTGCCCCACTGTTGAGAAAGGCTGGTTTCGAACCGCTGCAAGCCTGCAAAGAGCATGGATAGATCTATAGTACTATTTCCTCCACTGCTTGCTGCTCGCCAGGAAGCTCACCGCTCTCCACCCTGCTCGCCAGTTGGGTTGACTGACTGCCTGCCCCACTGTTGAGAAAGGCTGGTTTCGAACCGCTGCAAGCCTGCTAAGAGCATGGATTGATCTATAGTACTATTTCCTCCACTGCTTGCTGCTCGCCAGGAAGCTCACCGCTCTCCACCCTGCTCGCCAGTTGGGTTGACTGACTGCTGCCCCACTGTTGATTAAGGCTGGTTTCGAACCGCTGCAAGCCTGCTAAGAGCATGGATTGATCTATAGTACTATTTCCTCCACTGCTTGCTGCTCGCCAGGAAGCTCACCGCTCTCCACCCTGCTCGCCAGTTGGGTTGACTGACTGCCTGCCCCACTGTTGAGAAAAGCTGGTTTCGAACCGCTGCAAGCCTGCTAAGAGCATGGATTGATCTATAGTACTATTTCCTCCACTGCTTGCTGCTCGCCAGGAAGCTCACCGCTCTCCACCCTGCTCGCCAGTTGGGTTGACTGACTGCCTGCCCCACTGTTGAGAAAGGCTGGTTTCGAACCGCTGCAAGCCTGCTAAGAGCATGGATAGATCTATAGTACTATTTCCTCCACTGCTTGCTGCTCGCCAGGAAGCTCACCGCTCTCCACCCTGCTCGCCAGTTGGGTTGACTGACTGCCTGCCCCACTGTTGAGAAAGGCTGGTTTCGAACCGCTGCAAGCCTGCTAAGAGCATGGATTGATCTATAGTACTATTTCCTCCACTGCTTGCTGCTCGCCAGGAAGCTCACCGCTCTCCACCCTGCTCGCCAGTTGGGTTGACTGACTGCCTGCCCCACTGTTGAGAAAGGCTGGTTTCGATTCGAACCGCTGCAAGCCTGCTAAGAGCATGGATTGATCTATAGTACTATTTCCTCCACTGCTTGCTGCTTGCCAGGAAGCTCACCGCTCTCCACCCTGCTCATCAGTGGAGCTTGGAATTAAGTTCCTCTGCTCAGGTAATGAGCTCACGCCTCCACGTTGTCCCTTGCCCCACCCACCCATCCTATTCTGTTTGTACCTCGCCCCACCCATCCTTTTCTGTTTGTACCTCGCCCCACCCATCCTATTCTGTTTGTACCTCGCCCCACCCATCCTATGCTGTTTGATTTGCCTGGCACTTACTAGATGGCCCATCCATGCCATGCCACACAACGTCTCAAAGCACTCTCCTTGAGGTACGACGGGCTGAACGCGGGACAGATCGTGTGATAAAAGAAGTGTTTTGAGACGCTTCAAAACACGGCTTTTATCACAGGTCACACAGCGTCTCAAAGCACTCTCCTTGAGGTACGACGGGCTGAACGCGGGACAGATCGTGTGATAAAAGAAGTGTTTTGAGACGCTTCAAAACACGGCTTTTATCACAGGTCACACAGCGTCTCAACGCACTCACCTTGAGGTACGACGGGCTGAACGCAGGGCTGATCATCTTGTGCTGCCGCGCCCAGAAGGCCCCATCGGAGAACACCAGCCCGTTCGCCAGGAAGCTCACCACCCGCCTAGCGTTCTGATTCTTTTGGAAGGACGAGTTTCTGGCTATAAGGATCTGAGCACATGCGCAGGTGGAGTTAAATGGGAGTGGGGAATGGGATGGAGGGAAAGGGAGGGGGGAATGGGATGGAGGGAAAGGGAGGGGGGAGTGGGAAAGGGAGAACACCAGCCCGCTCATCAATAAGCTCATCAGCCACCAGGCGTTCTGATTCTCTTGAAAGGACGAGTTTCTCGCGATTAAGGTCTGAAAGAACCGCTTGGGAGAGAGAGCGGCGGGGGGAGCGGCCAAGAGGAGAAGGGCGCACGGAGAGGAGAAGTGGGTGGAGGCAGGAAGCTTGCTTATTACGCGCCTGGCGTTCTGAGTCAGCAATACAATCTAGTGGATTCTCATGTAGCGACAAATGTATGGAGGAAATTTGATGGAAAAAAGTGTGTGTGTGTGTGTGTGTGTGTGTGTGTGTGTGTGTGTGTGTGTGTGTGTGTGTGTGTGTGTGTGTGTGTGTGTGTGTGTGTGTATGTGTGTGTGTTTTCCACGGCACTTGCCTGGTGGAAGATGTCCGGCTCGGCAACAACGATCGGCTGGAAGAGGCCGATGGAGAGGTCAAAGACCGTCCCTATTTGGCACCTCCACTTCCACAGCAGCCCGCCCTCGGACCAACCACACACCATACCCCATGCCAGGGAATGAACAACTGATGGCACTTATCACTGTCCCCATCACATGCCTGGTGGAAGAGATCAGGCTCGGCGACGATGAGTGGCTGGAAGGGGCCGATGGAGAGGCCAAAGACCGTCCCTAGTTCGCACCTCCACTTCCACAGGAGTGGGCTGACAGTTGCCGGACCTAGAGGAGCAGGCTCGGACGCAGGCATGGGCTTAGGCTCGCGATTGGCGAATTCCGGGAGCTGCCCAATGAGAGGCCTGGGAGGAAGAGGGAGGGAGAAGAAATGAAAGCAAAGGAAAGAGGAAAGGGGAGGGAGGGGTGACTTTTGGGTCGACTCATTAGTCACCAGGTCACCTCGATTGGCGAATTCCGGAAGCTGACCGATGAGAGGCCTGGGAGGAAGAGGGATGCAAGAGGAGGTGAAGAGGCAGGAAGGAGAGGAAAGAGAGAGGAAGGGAGAGGAAAGGGGGGGGGGGGAGTGAGAGGCCTGTTGGAAAAGTCAGCCGCTAACCACTGAGCTAAAAGGGCTTGTTCCATAGCGGGCGAGCGTGCCGTGCCCATAACCCCCCAATCCATCCTTTCCCGTGACCCTTTCCCAGGACCTTAGGCCGATCCCAGTGCTCCTCCAACAAGGCCGAGATACGAAAGAATGGGAGAGAAAGGGATAGATAGGAAAGAGACGAAGGGCAAGTGAGCGAGACGAATGGAGTAAGGCTCCTTAGAATATTAGGAAAATGCCCCTGTAAGGGACTGGAGGATACCTATTACCCGAGTAGCAAGAAACGCTTTCTTTGGGAAGCATCGGCGTCAAAGCAATAAGAGTATTTTTGAGACGTCTAAAAATCACTCTTATTTCACGTGGAAATCCACTGCTAGTGTAGCAAGAAACACTCTACCTGGGAGGCATTGGCGTCAAAGCATAAGCACGAGAGTCACTAGCGTTGGCGGAATAAGCGTGAGAGGCATTCGCATAAGAGACATTAGTAACGCGAGAGCCGTTAGCGTGACAGGTCTTTGACCCTCCGTGTAAGGAGTGATCACGTCGACGTGCGGGAGATGGGAACGAGGAGATGGGAAGGAGGAGAAGTGACGGAGGGAGTTCAAACTTCCAAACTGAAAGCGGGTACGTGTTGGAAAAGATGGAAATTTCCTCAGCGCATTCAGCTCCTTCCTACTGAGTTCAGCGTGTAGGAAGCTTGAGAAGCTTCTCAAGCTGAGCTCAGGATGAAGGAGAGGGAGGAAGTGAATACCACGCTTTGTGCTGTGTGCTTTACGGTAAAAACTAAAAAGCGTGTTGGGAGGTCTTAACTGCATCAAAATGGGAGTATTGTTTTTGAGACGTCTCAAAAAAAACCTCATCACACGTTTTGGGAGGTTTTAATTGCACCAAAATGGGAGTAAGGGGAATGCTTTGCTTCGTGCTGTAGGCGTGTTATGGGAGTTATGGTAAATATTACCTGAAGGGGAGGAGGGGAATGCCTTGTTTCGTGCAATGCCGACGGAAGCGCAGCGGCTTGATGAGAATGACGTAGACGCAGTAGCACAGCAGCGCGGCTAGTGCTGCGGGTAGCGCGGCGAGAAACACGGCCATAGTGATACCTAACATCTTAGTACTTAAAACCGCGGGATAAATAGACGCAGTAGTAGGAGTAACAGAGCTGGCTTCAAACGGAGGAGCCGGCGCTACCAGCGGTTCGGCGGAGGAGCCAGCACTACCAGCGGTTCGGCGGCCAAGGTGGATCAATGCACTTGGGGATGGTTGTGGTGTTGCCAAGATTCCACTTCTGTTTCGCCATAAAGCTGTAAAATGGGCTTTTGCGAAAGCATGCGATAAAGAGGTCTTCGCATGCTTGACCCACAGCGGTGCCACAGGAACGAAGGATGATTTTTTGGGCCTGCGATCCGACACTGGTGTGTACTCGACAAGAGATCCTCAAACCGAATTGTATGCTGGAGAAACACCGACGCACCACAAAAACACAGAATACAGCATTTTTCCTCAATATTGTCGTGGACCGCGTACTCAGACTTTAAATCCTCCCTGCTCCTTGTCGGCTGGGCTAACAAGCACTCATCACAAAAATCTCAACGAATGAGGCAAACGAAGCTTGGTCACTTTATTTCAACTTGGATTTGAAGTACACATTTTCGAGCTCATGCAATAATGCTGCAGCCTTCTCCCCAACACATGCAACCACCTCATTGGCCACACTGGCCTCCTCACTGAATGTCAAAGTTATATAATATCCTGCTTGCTGTAGTTACTGTAGTCATCATTATGAACTGTTGGTGGTGCACCTTCTTTGTTAGATTGCTATATGTACCGTGTGTGCTA